CTCTCCCTCCTTTTAATTCTGCCTTTCAAATGAACAAGTAAATCTTAAGAAAAAAAAAAAAAAAGAAAAAAGGAAAGTGATCTGAAATGAACTAAAGTGGAAGAATATACAATTGCTTTCTCATGAACTATTTCTGAGCACGGCAACACAGAGGATGCAGTCATGAACAGGGACACTGTGTCCCAATGCTGGAGCCTCGGCAGGCTCTGCGTGTGCTAGCTTCCAACCAGACTGTAGGCAGGGAGGAGTGAGGTGCACAGGGTCACTTAGGAAGCAGGGCTGATGGACATGTGGTGCCAAGCTGAACCTGGCTTTTCAGGGGTTTGAACAGAGGGGGAGGCCCGACCAGGGTGCAGGAGGCCTTACCATCTGCTTGTCGGAGTAGAGGGAGCGGTTGTGAATCAGTGCCATGCTGTGGCTAGTGTGGCAGCGTGTGCAGACAGAAGGCTCGGCGATGCGGCCACGGTCAATCTCTACCCGGGTCGTGTGAGCACACACTTGGCACTGGAAAAAGGCCTCCTGCATCTCAGGGATCAGCTGGGACGTCCTGATGACCATGCCATTGATGGTGATGAGCTGGTCAATGTCTGGGGAAAGAGACAGGTCAGCTTGCCCCAGGGCTACTCCCCAGCAATGTGTCTGCTACTGTATCAGCAGATCTCACCTGAGGCACAGGGGTGTCTGGGGTCCAGGCAGGCTCTGCTCTGGGCCTGGCCAGTCCAATGGGCACCTTCGCTGAATTGTGACTCCCCCGCCCCTGTCTTCAGCTAGGCCTGCTGTCTAGTGGGTACCTATCACCCCTTTCCTCGGCCTATCAGAAGCTTGTTGTTTTGTGTATCTGCCCCTGTGGCCTCCCACTGAGCCCACAGAGCCTCTCTGGGACTCAGGCTGTCTCTCCTGAGCAGCACTCATGGGTTGCTCTTGAGAATGAGTTCTGTTGTGCTTGTTTTTCAAATCCTACACATCACCACAGTATCTTGTGCCATGAACTTCCCCCGACACGGGCCCATCTTTCTGCTCTGTCTGGCTGAGACGTCCACTGTATTGTCTTGCTCTTTTATTGACCTCCCAAAATCTCAGGGGTATCTTCTGTATTTGTATTCTAAAATGATTCTCAGAAAGTGCCTACTTAGCAGTATTTATTACATTTCTACAAGTTCATTTAAGTTAGAAAGTTAACAGTCACACCTTGGGGCCACTGTTGTAGTACTGTGGGTGGTCACCCAAAGTGTTGATGACAGTCCGTACAAGCATGGCTGAGTCTTGACTGCTCTCTTGACTGCTAAAATGGGAAGGCAGTGGAGGATGGCTCAACTGCCTGGGCCCCTGGCAGTCACATGGGAGATCTAGAAGCTTCTGGCTGCAGCTTGGCCAGCCCCGGCTGTTGCAGCCATTTGGGGGAATCAACAAGTGGACAGAAGATCTCTTTCAAGCCAGTCTTTAAAAAAAAAATCACATCTTTTATAATGAAGATTCTAGAATAAAAGATTCGGTAGATTCCTAAGTGTAAAGAAGCTCTAAATACGTATTATTTCTATCAGTCTATAATTCATCATGCTCGCTGTTTTTATTTCTATCACCAATTCTTTCAACGGTCCTTGTTGAAATAAAGTTTTGTTTATCTCTCGCCAGGCTCTTGCCTGCTATGAAACACAGTACCTTCCGGATTCAGGTTTCTCATGTTCTTAGTCTTCAACGCATTGAACGGTCTCACTTGAATCTGATGCTCTAAGATCGAGTCAGGGTAACGGTCAAAGAAGATCTCGTTGACAGCCATGTCGAAAGTTGGGATAACTTCCTATGAAAACCAGAGAGGCTCAGCTAACGCTTGCATTTCTGTTGAGAGGCATCACAAGGAAAGCACTCCCCCAACTCCCTTCCTGAGTCAACATCAAACTGGAAGTTTCACTGATCAGGGATGGCGGCTCTACAGAAAACTAACTGTGGGCTCTTTCTCACAGAGCAGGGAAGCAGGTCAGTAGACCCTTCTGGCCTGCTTTTCCACAAAGCACTATCTGCAATGCAGGAAGCAGGGCAAGGGTTACCTGCCACGGACGTCTACAACAGCGGCCACAAGGGACCCCACTGGGGATCACTGTGTTGCAGGAACATTTAGCAATTATGGAGTCCCACCCACCTCCGTTAACACTCCGGCAGAAGCCCACTACCAGGACCACCAACATCACAGGCACACTACCACAGCTTCCGCTTGCCATCAGTAAGTGAGCTCACGCTTTCACGTCTTAGTTCTAAACACATCAACACTGACAGCCAAGTAGATAAGGTTGCATTTTTGGGTCCACATTTGTTAACATCGGTATCCCATTTTTTATAGAGCAGGAAAACAGTTTTTGGGAGGCTCAGGACACAGACCAATATTTATTCTAATATATCAAACCCAATACCAAATTGTTACCTGTGGGTAGGAGATGAGCTGCCTGTACAAATTTTTGTCAAAGGACTTTATGTGCTCACAGTTCACATTTAAAAATGGCTCTCCAATGACATTAATCTGTAAGACAAAACACTTGGTTACCTTGCTAACGTCACCACTTTGACACAACTAGCCTGCAAGCATAAGTAGAACATTGGATCACCTCTGCGAGTCGCTGCATGTACACAGGTTCAGTGATGTCAATGCCAACATTTTCTTCTTCTTTAGCCAGGGGGTCGATGAAACGCTGCAGAAATCTCTTCATGAAGAGAAAACAGACAACTATGAAGCACAGTGCATTTGAGACTAAGCAACTCAGTCAACTCAGTGAAGACGGACACAAACAATATTTAAAAAGAAAAAAGCAAAAAACCGGGAAAAACATCAATAGGTCTAAACAGCCTACAAACCAGCATCTCTGTAGTTACAGCCACTTAAGGAGGGGTGACAAACACTGCTGCTGAGTGTCTTCAGAGCCCTGCAGCAGGAACTGTGACACACACACACAGCTCACCTGAAAATTTTCTTTGCAAGTTGCCACGTTCACATCTGTCCCCCAGATCACAAGTTTCTGGCCTAAGGACTGCTCACTCGCCACGGCGTTATCTTCAGCTGCTGCCTAGGGTAGAACAGTGACCACAGCAGCACGTCAGTACCAGTCAGTACCCCTGGCTGCAGGGTGCCGTCAGGGACCCTGGCTCTGGGTACTCACCCCCTCGGACTGCAGATCCACCTGCAGCCCCTTCCGGGCAGAGCCCAGGTCAGGTCTCTGCCTCATGGGTGTTCCCCTGACACCACTCCTCGGGGTTCCCTCCACACGGGAGCTGGGCGTGCCATAGGTCAGGGGTGAACTGACATCGAAGTCCAGGGGAATAGCTGTCAAAACAGAATGCAAATATTCATGATGCAGTGACTCTTCGGCAGCCCATCAAACTGGAAATCGCAGCCAGAGTAAACTGATGATCAGACCGTGTGACAGGGAGAATCGGTCTGTGTCCTCAGCATGCAGGAGGAAAACGGCTTGCCCCGCTCAGTAAGCCCTTAACGCTACAATTTCTGTGCTCTCCTCCGGTCCTTTTGGCAAAGACCACATCAGCTCATGCACAGAGATGATAAGGCCTCGCCACACTTGCCCAACCGACCCGAGCTGAGGGATCATTTGCACACCCGAGCAGCGTACCTGAGGAAGGCATCTGAGGAGGGCTAGAAAATAACCGGTCTTGCGGGGCTGGGCTCTGCAGCTCGGCTGCGGGCGAGGTGGGCATCGGCTGCAGCTCGCCGGTAGAGGTGGAGTCCTCGCCCCGCCGTCTCTGCAACGGAGACGAGCGGGCATCTTCACTCCGAGCTTGTTATCAGAGCAGAAAAAGACGGCCGTCAACTCACGCGTGGCCTGCCCGCACCAGCCCCAGTCCCTCGGGGACACTGGACAAACACAAACGATCCCGCCAGGGTGAAGAGCATCTGAGCCTGCGTCTGCGCACACTGACCCGGCTGGGCTCTACGGGGGAGGCGAGGCGGAAGGGGCGGCACCTCCGGGGAGTGGGGGGAGCGGGGAGGCCTGGGGGAGCGGGGAGGCCTGGGGGAGCGGGGAGGCCTGGGGGAGCCGGGAGGCCTGGGGGCTCGGCCCGGCTCCCCGAGGAACCAGGGGCCGCTGCGGTGGGGACTCACGCGTCTGAGCCGGGGTGCTTCGGCCGCGCCGGCTGCTGCGGCGACTCGGGGTGGACGCCGGGGACGACATGGTGCTCGCTCGAGGTTATCTGCGCGACAAGGATAGGCTGGTGCCGAGCCCGTCGCCCGGCCTGCTCCCCGCCTCGCCGCGCGGAAGCCCCCGCTGGGCCCTGCAGGCCGGTGTGTGCCTACCGGGAGAGGCGGACACCTGTAAAGCAAAATCCCTTGGGCTCGGGGCAAAACCGGCCGACCCGACTCTCCAGCCACGCCGAGTGTTCCCGCCGGCGGCACGACCGTCACCGCCCCCAGCGGGGCTCCACCAATCACAGCGGCGCTTTCGCTTGGCCCCGCCTCCAGAAGGCACCACTGAATACCCACAGGGGGTATTTAATAGCCTGTTTCGGTGCCCCAACGGGAAGTGCAGTCAGTTCTCGCTCAGTTTCCCCTCTGTTGAAATGGTCTGACCCTCTACCAGTCGTCGTTTTCGCGGGAAATCTGGGGAGTCGGACCAGACCAAGTTGGTGGAGGGTGTTTCTCTACAGGACTGCATCCTCTGTCACTCTCTCGGTGTTGAAAAGGACTTGCAGGCCTCTGACCCGGGCATTTGGCGGGGTGGGGTGGTGTGTGTGTGCGCTCGCCTCTCAGATTTTGCCAACTCCAACACCTGAGTCTCGTCTTCTGTTTTCCCAAGCCAAAGCCCCGGACTCCTGTTTCTCCCAGGTTTCCTGATGGGCACGCTAAGTGTATCCGATGCACGTTCCTTAGTCGGCCAGGCGGCGCAGTCAGGCCCCCCCCCCGCGCAGGGCCTCGTGGAAGGGTCCGCCGACGCCAGCCCCGCCCCGCGGCGTTTCCGGGCCCGGGCCTTGGGCGCGCGTGCGCGATCGCTCAGGGCGCGATGATGGCGGACCCCGGCACCCCGGTGCAGGGCATCCTGCTGCAGCTGCGAGACTGCCTGTCCTCCGCCGACCGCTGCGGCGCTGCCATGGCTGGCAGCCAGCTGATCCGGGGCTTGGGGCAGGAGTGCGTGCTGAGCACCAGCCCCGCGGTGCTGGGTGGGTACCAGCCGGGCCGGGCGCTCTCCCCTGGGTTTCTGACTGGGTTAGAGCCGCTGAACCCAGTGGGTGTAGTGAACGCTGTTTCAGTCTTCGAATATCCGTGCATATGTGTAAAAAGCGATTTGTCCTTCTGCTTCTTACCCCACCCCGCCAGCCTGGTGTTTTTAAAATCAAATGTGCTTAAAAACCAAATCGATCCCCAATTGGGTCATCGTTGTCCTCAAAAGTTGGATGAGAGGACAATCGAAAAGTATTTTCACTTTCTTTTGTCTCACCTACATTCCCAGAACGCTTTCCTGGAGCTGAATGGTTTTCATCCTTGGTGAATTGGCAGGACTGAAAACAGAAGCGCTGTCCGCTTCGTGCGTGCCTTACTTGTCTCCCTTGAGGGGTTCCTAGAGGAACTACAGATGTTTTAACCTGGTTCAGGATGAGGCAGCTGGAACTGTTCCCGCCAGACACCTTTCCTTAAAGAAGGCTCTAAGGCTGCGGATGGTGGGGTTGGGGGATGAGGGGGCTCGCTCCTAGCATGCAAGCTGCAGGGTCAGGTCCCTGTTTGCCAAGGTTGTGGACCGTTAGAAGTAGCCTTCCCATCCCTGCCCTTGGTCCCATAAGATCCTCTCAGGAGAGGTTTACAGTCTCCTAAAATCTGTCCTGCATCTCTTCCTCCTTGTAAACGGCTTGGCTGGTTAGGGTGTTAGCAGCGTGCGCCCAGTTGCTTGGCACAGACCTTCCTGGCTTGGGCAGCCTCCTTTCCCTTTTCTCGGTGAACATTCAGATCTGTCACCAAGTGTGAGGGCACAGGGATCGCCTGCCTACTACGTCCTTGTGAAACATCCTCTAGAATTTTCTGCTTTCTTCATTGATGCCATAGACTGTGATGAGCTTTTTATCCCAAAGGCTGCCTGGAAAACCAAACAGCCCTTTATAGGTGGGTTTCCAAAATGCTTCTTTGTAACTTTTTTTTTTTCTTTCTCCAGCATTGCAGACTTCTTTAGTTTTTTCCAAAGACTTTGGTTTGCTTGTGTTCGTCCGGAAATCGCTCACCATTGATGAAGTAAGTTGAACATCTTCATTTCGTTTTCCTTGTGCATTTTTTATGTTGGAATGACTCTCATTCTCGCTTTTTTTTTGTTATTATTACAGTTTCGTGACTGTAGAGAAGAAGCCTTAAGATTTTTATGCATTTTCTTAGAAAAAATTGGCCAGAAGATCACACCTTACTCTCTTGATGTTAAGGTAAGGATGGGAAAACATCCACCTCTTTTTATGTTAAACCACCTATTTTCACTTATGTTACTAAGGTATTTTTATTCTGTTTATTCATTTCTTTTGGGAGATTTGCCTGATGATCATAAAAAATGAAATGGGCTGTTGATTATTGAATATTTCTTTGTGAATTTATTGGAAAAGCAGAGAGAGGTAGACACAGACAGAGAGAAGAGGAGATTTTTGATCTGGTGATTCACTCCCAAAAGCTCCCGAAAGTCAAGACTAGGCCTGGCTGAAGCCAGAAACCCAGAAATCCGCCTGGGTCTCTAACATGAGATGGCAGGGACCCGAGTACTTGAACCATCATCTGCTACCTCCCAGGAAGCTAGGACTTAAACCCAGACATTCTAAGATGAGGTGCAGATATTGCACGTAACTTTTTTTTTTTTAATTGGAAAGTCAGATGTATATAGTGAGGAAGAGAGACAGAGAGGAAGATCTGTTCGATGGTTCACTCCTCAAGTGGCCGCAACAGCTGGAACTGAGCCAATCCAAAGCCAGGAGCTTCTTCCAGGTCTCCCATATGGGTGCAGGGTCCCAAGGCTTTGGGCCATTCTTGACTGCTTTTCCAGGCCACAAGCAGGGAGCTGGATGGGAAGCAGAGCCTCCGGGATTAGAACTGGCAACCATATGGGATACCAACACATGCAAGACAAGGAGTTTAACCACTACGTTATCGCGCCAGGCCCTGCTCGTAACATCTTCTTAACTGCTGTGCCAAGTGCTCAGCCATATATATTTATACACACACACACACACAAACACACATACACTTGTTTAGGTTTCATAAACTAAAGCTCCTGTCAGAGGAATTACTTTGATTTTTATAATAAATTCTTGTTAGCATTCTGCTTATGGTATAAAATGATACCTTTTGCAGAAAATTATCATAAATTGGAGATTTTCACATTATGGAGAGATTCAAGAATACTTTAAAAAGACTGTGTTAGGGGCAGTACTGTGATGTATTGAGTCAAGTGGCATCAGTGTCCCATGTGGCCACTGGTTTGAGTCCTGGCTGTTCTCCTTGTGATCTGACTCCCTGCGAATGTGCCTGAGAAAGCAGTGGAAGGTGTCCCAAGTGCTTGGGCCCATATGGAAGAGCTGGCTTCAGCTTTGCCCAGGTCTGGGTGTTGTGGTCCTCTGGCAAGTGAAGTGGTGTAAGGAAGATTTCTACCTTCCTCTTACTCTCTCTCTAACTCTTTCAAAAAAATACATCAGTCTTGAAAAAAAAGAAAAGGAGTTAAAGAGTTTTGCCACAGAGGAAGCCCCTGTAGCTCCTGTGTTCCTTCCCTATGGACGTTTGGCCCTCCAGCCTCCCATTGTTCTGTGGCCTGCCCTCCGCAGAGCTCCTCTTTGTTCCCCGGAGAGCCAGCAGTTGGCAGTTCAGTCTTTCTCCACCTTATTGCTGCTTTGAACAAGCCTTACACCTCATGGTGCATTGTTTCTGTTGGTCCCAACTTTGGTGACAAAGCGGCATCCGTCTGAGACATTTGTAGGAAGATGCAGTTGCCCTTCGTGTCTTTGGCTTCCGCATCTGCCAGTTCAGCCTACTATGACTTGAAAACATTCAGGGGAAAAAAATTCTGTCAGTAGTATGTACAAACTGCCTAGTGTTGTCATTTTCCACGCACCAGAGTGCAGCTGTTCTCCGTTGCAGGAGCTGTGATAAGTCTGCAAGAGGTGAGTTCCTGTGTGTGGGAGAATGTCCAAATGCCGCGCCGTTGTCTACAGGGCTTGAGCATCTGGTATCCCTGAGAGGTCTTGGAACCAATCCCCTGTGGGTGCTGAGGGATCATGCAGAAATTGGTTCATTGATTTGAAAGGTAGCTTGAGAGAGAGACAAATCCTCCGTCTGTTGGATCACTCCCCAAATGCCCACAAATGCTGGGGTTAGGCCAGGCTAAGGCCGGGTAGTCCCAACTCCAGTCTGGGTGTTCCCTGTGGGTGGCAGGAGCCCAAGTCCTTGGGGCATCTCGTGCTGCTTTCTCAGCTGCAGGAGTAGGGAGCTGGCCCAGAAGCAGAGGAGCCAGTGTCGGGGCTGTGGGCATCACAGGCTCACCCACCACAGCACAATGCCCAAAATGCTTCTCATGGTGGTTTGCCTACATTTTTTTGTCCTTTTTGAGTTCTCTCTTGATTGAAATATTAATAGATTTTTTTAAAGTTTTCTCAGAGGTAACTAATACAATTTTTTTTCACATATGCAACTTCTTTGATATATAGTTGGTCTCATTTTTACCAAAATTTTGTGATGGTTCTTCATTCTTGTTCTCCACTTTGCAAATGAGATGGAGAAGTGAATGAAGACACGCCAGGCATGAGGCCAGCCAGGACCTAGTCCTTTCATGCTCTTGTAGAGGCCCGGCTGTTTTTCTCTAACTCTCTGTAACTATCATTTGATTAATTCATTTCTTTGTCATATTGTATACCATGAGAAGTTGTAAAGATGTAAAGAGGAGTCATTGCTTTTTGTCTTGCCAGAAACTCAGATTGTCTTGCAGGTCTCTCAGGGGTGCAGGATCCCAAGGCTTTGGGCCATCCTCGACTGCTTTCCCAGGACACAAGCAGGGAGGATGGGAAGCAGCACTGCTGGGATTAGAACCGGCCGCCCATAAGGGATCCCGTGTGTGTTAGGCGAGGACTTTAGCTGTTGGGCCACGGCACCAGGCCCGTTCCTTTGTGCTTTATGGTGATTGTTTATATGATATCCACTGCACGTCTGTACCAATGTTTTCATTAATATTTTCTTTTCCATTTAAGATTTGTTTATTTGAAAAGCAGGGTTACAGAGAGAGGGAGAGACAGAGGAAGACCTTGGATCTGCTGATTTATTCCACAAATAGCCACAATGGCAAGCACTGGGCCAGACCAAAGCCCGGAACCTGGAACTTGATCTAGGTCTCCTGTGTGGGTAGCAGGGGTCCAAACACTTGGGCCATATTCCACTGCTTTCTCAGGCTGTTAGCAGGGAGCTGAGATTGGAAGTGGAGCAGCTCGGATTGAGCCAGAGCTCGTATGGGATGCCAGCATTGCAGATGGCAGCTTTACCCATGCTGCCACAATGATGCTATAATATTTTTTTGTATCTGCATTTATATACTGTAATATTATAAGTAGTTAAGTATTACATATTATTATGTTGTATGTTGGAATTGGCCCTCTGAGATGTACTTTTAGCTATCATTGAGTCTTAACTTTTCTCTTACTGTGTCTCCTTTTGAAACCTAGAATTTTTGTACCAGTGTCTATACAAAAGACAGAGCAGCTAAATGTAGAATTCCAGCCCTGGACCTTCTCATTAAGGTAATTTTATGTTTGTAGGTATGTATTTTAAACATGTAACTTACAGAGTGGAACTTCAGAGTTTGGGTTACAGTTTGGGGGAGGATAAAGGTTAAGTTGTGTGGATATATGGATAACATCTGTATTTTCAAACCATGCCCTGACAATGCCCTGGTATTTCATTAGACCTTTCTGTGTAGTAAAAAAAAAAAAAAAGGATTCTCAAGAGAATTAAGAAAAAATAAGGACTTTATGGCTCTTGCCTGAGCCACCTTTGGGGCATCACCCCCCAACCCCAAGATCTTGGCAGTGGGAATGAACCTGTATATTGCCTTTAAATGGCATCTCTCTCTGGTGCGTCCCTGTTTCAGCATTCCTCTGAGCCTGGCTGGTCCTTGCTCTTGAGTGCCTATAGGGGATGGGTCTGGTCATGTTACAGATGTCTTGGGGCCAGTGGGCAAAGACCATCTCCACTCGTCCACCACCTACCTTGACCCCTGTCTCCCCAGTCACCCAGAGGGAGAGGCGGCTGGGGAAGCTGAGTGCTCATCCCTTGGAGACATAGGATTCAGAAAACTGGCTCTGTTCTACATCAGAGGATGAGATGGGGACGCCTTTATTTCCTCTGTTAGAAAATGCAAGTATTGTATTCTTTCAGTTACTTCAGACTTTGAGAAGCTCTAGCCTCATGGATGAATTTAGAGTTGGAGAATTATTTAACAAATTCTATGGAGAACTTGCATTGAAAACAAGAATACCAGATACAGGTGAGATGCAGTTAAGTTGGTTTTTATTTTTTTCCCCCGTTATTTCAACAACTTATTAGTGTACCATTTCTTCTGCCAAAATCTTTTTGTTTCCTAGATGAGGTTTTCCTGCTGAAAATAGAACAAAATGAATACAAAAGAAGTACAAAGCCTTTTGTTTACAAAAACATTAACTCGTTACAAAATGATTATGTGGAAAACTCACAACATGTGTCAAATAGAATCTAGTTTATGCCGAGAGCTTGGAGTGAGCAATCTGGAGAGATTCCACTGGGCAGAACTAGATACTTGTTGTTAACTGTGCATTTGCTTTTGAACTAAATCTTTTCTTGTTTTCTTATGGTTATGTTTTGTTACTTTAACTTATGTAAGTTTTAGTGCTCATTTTTCTGAAATTTATTCATCAGTTTTAGAAAAAATCTACGAGCTGCTTGGAGTGTTAGGTGAAGTCCATCCCAGTGAGATGATAAATAACTCGGAAAACCTGTTCCGGGCCTTTCTGGGTGAGCTCAAGACCCAGGTATGATGAGCTTGTTGAAGTTCTATCTTTGTAGACTTGGTTCTGTTTTTCTCCTTTTTAATGTTATATTCTGAAAATATTGCTTTTAGATGACATCAGCAGTAAGAGAACCCAAATTCCCTGTTCTGGCCGGCTGTCTGAAGGGGCTGTCTTCCCTTCTGTGTAACTTCACCAAGTCCATGGAAGAAGGTGCTGTTTGCTTTGAGTGCTTTTTTTATCTTTTCAGAAACTTCAGACTAACAAGAATCCTGTTTACTTTTCAGGGTTTTGTTTTTGTTTTGTAAATATTTGTTTATTTGTTTGAAAGGGAGAGTTATAGAGAGAGAGAGAAAGGGAGAGGAAATAAGGAAAGAGAGGTCTTCTCTCCTCTGGTTCACTCCGCAAGTGGTTGCGACAGCCAAAGCTAGGCATACCTGAAGCTAGGGTCCCAGAGAACTCTGTAATGAATTTGCTCTGTGTCTTGTTGGTGTCTGTGACAGAATAACATAGCAGTGGATACTCTGATATGGGGTTCAAGTATCTCAAGCAGTAATTTAACTTGCTGTGCCACATGAGTTACCCCTCTGTTCTAAAATTTGTGGGTACCTACAAAAAAAAACTTGTTGCGCTTTTGGATCGGTATTGCATTAAATTTGTGTCTTAATTTAGGGCAGAATTGTCATTTTTACTATGTTAACTTTTTCAGTCTATGAATACATTTCTCCTTTTACTTAGATCTTTAAATTTTTTATTAGCGCTTTGGCATTCTTAAGATGTAGAGCCTTACTTACTCATTTTAAAGTCTGTGTAATACACTTTCCTTTGTAGTTATCAACAGTGTTCCCCTACAGTAACTCAACATTAAAGGTTTAGAGGATGATCTAGCTGATATAATCTAGCCTTAAGGAATTAATTTCTTCTTAAAAAGCAAGTAAATATCTTTTTAAAAAAAGAATTATTTATTATTTTATTGGAAAGGCAGATATACAGAAAGAAGGAGACACAGAGAGAAAGATCTTCCATCCACTAATTCACTCCCCAAGCGGCCGCAACGGCTGGAGCTGAGTTGAGCCAAAGCCAGGAGCCAAGAGCGTCTTCCTAGTCTCCTTTGTGGGTGCAGGGTCCCAAGGCCCAGGCTGTTGTCCTCTACTGCTTTCCTAGGCCACAGGCAGGGAGCTGGAAGGGAAGTGGAACATTTGGGATTAGAACCGGTGCCCATATGGGATCCAGCACGTGCAAGGCAAGGACGTTAGCCAATAGGCTATTGCACTGGGCACACAAGTGAATATCTTGAATCATAAAAAAAATTATTTAAAACTATCTCTATACTTCCTTGTAATGCTTGTAATTTTTGTACTGCCCATATATGTTTTGTGTTTATTTGGTTGAAACATGAAATGTTGGTGTCCAAAGGTTATTTTAAAATTCTCCTCATTTTAAAATTTGAGATAGAGCCAGAAGAAACACGAGAGACAAGAGGCAGGAGTTGGGTGAACAGGGAGCCGTTGTGCAGTGAGTGTCCTTAATCTTGGGGACCATGGGAATATTCTGAGTATAGATGGTGACGGTCACACAGCACTGAGAATGTGTTTAGTGCCCTCACGTATTAGAACGATTACTATGTTGTATAGGAGGTTTCTCCACATTAGGAATAAATACAAGAGTGCACTTGTACAGGGAGTGGTACGATGGGGACAGGGGCCCTCCGGATGCTGCAGTGTGGAAGGCAAAGCCTGGAGAAGGTCATCAGGGGCCCATGGCCCTGTGCTACCGCTCAGCGCGTCTGCTTGTTCCAGAGCCCACTGCCAGCTGATACCCAGGGCTCCTTGTGCAAACACTTGTGTTCACGCCATTACATCCTATTTGGACGCCTTTCCCCCAACTCAAACCTGTTCTTTCAGTCTTTGAGTCCGGGACTCACAGCTGCAGAAGTCTCTTGGATTCCAAAGCAGGCTCTTGTGTGCCTCTTCAGAGCCTGTCCTCACATGTGTCTGTGTTTCTCTCACCTCTCAAGCTCTGTCTTCCTGTATCAGAGTCCTTGCAATCAAAACATAGACAGGAGCTCTGTTTGTACATCCCTGTTAGAGGGACTGAGAAGTCATTATTGGCTTGTGTACTGCTGCAGTGAATAATCTGGTGGGAGGCAGTGGTTTAAGTGATGGTGACGTCAGTCAGGACAGGATAAGAGAGCTTTCTTGGGAGCTGGTGTGATGGCACAGCAAGCTAATCCTCTGCCTATGGTGCCAGCATCTCATATGGGCACCAGTTCAAGTCCTGGCTGCTCTGCTTCCCACCCAGGTTCCTATTTATGGCCTGGGAGAGCAGCAGAGGACAACCCAAGTCCATGGGACCTATACCAACATGGGAGCTCTGGAAGAATTTCCTGCCTCCTGGCTCTGGATCAACTCAGTTTTGGTCATTGTGGCCATTTGGGGCATGAGCCAGAGGATGGTAGACCTCTCTGTGTCTCTCCTTTTCTTTCTAAAGTCTATTTGCCCTTCAAAAAAAAGAAATAAATATTGAAAGAGCGCCTCCTATTGGAGTCGTATGTTTTCCATCTCTCCTTATAGGTAATAGATTCTCTGAGGTCCAAGGTGATATTTTGCTTGTATTTGTAATTCCCGTAATAATTTGACACTTACTAAGTGTTGAATAGATGCCTGGGTGTACTAGGAGAAAAAAAAAAGCACATTTGACCTGAAAATGGTTAGCACCTTAAGCCTGAAAGAAGAGATGGCACCGTTTTTTTCACAGGTGAACAAAATGAGGCCCTCAGAGACTATTGGCTAGAGTTTGTAAATGATGAGTTGGAATTTAAATGGATCTGTTTGTTATGATGTGTATTTTTTTATTTTCTGCAGTTGCCACTGTAGCAGTTAATCACTTGGGCTCCCTGGCTGTAGGAGGGTCTATAGGGGACTGTGCAAGTTGATGCAGGGGTTGGGCTGTTTATAGGAAAGCTGACACTTGTGCAGTGTTGGCGTGGTGTTTGGGTGAGATTGGTACTGTGATCTGTGACAGAGTCGTATGCTTGTCGTTTCCCTAGATCCCCAGATGTCAAGGGAGATTTTTGATTTTACACTAAAGGCAATCCGTCCCCAGGTAGGAGTCATATATCACCCTCATTCTCTGACACCTGAGACTTGTGATTTATAAACACTGATGATGAATTCTTTTCTGAACTAGGTTGATATAAAGAGATACGCTGTACCCTTAGGTAAGATTCTGCGTTTAATAAGATACGATGTTTCAGATTACTAACTTAAAGTCTTGGATAAGCTTTTGCTTCTAAGCCATGGATGGAACTAATGAAACTATCAGTGGTGTTTTACCTATTTATTTATAGGACTTTGGGGGACTTTTTAGCACACAAGTACTGGGTAAGATGGTCACACTTGGGTTACATGACTTTTTTTAGGGCATCATTGAGTTGGTCCAGACTGGTTTTGACTTTGCCTAAATAAATCCTGATCCTTTTCCTGGCCCTTGTTTTGGGTTTCATCAGCCATATTAGGGCCTGTTGATTTCATTTGGGGCTGGCAGAGGTAGAGCACAAGTGGAACCCCTGGGTTGTCATCCTGTAGTAAGGCATAATCTTCCCTAAGGGTTGGACCTTGCCAATCTGCCTGCAGCTTGTCTTTGTTTTCTGAGCCGCCCAGTGTTGTCCTGTCTCACACGTGAGGGTTTTTGCCGTTGCAGCTGGCCTGCGCCTGCTCACCCTGCATGCCTCTCAGTTTAGCACCTGCCTCCTGGACAACTACAGCCTGTTATTTGAAGTGCTGTCCAAGTGGTGTAGCCATACAAATGTAGAGTTGAAGAAAACCGCACATTCGGCCCTGGAATCCTTTCTGAAACAGGTATAACTAATTCAGTTTTTGTTGAAAAAATCATTTCTCCACACTCCAAAGTGGAGTTTGAATCTTGTGCTTGCATGTTCTAAAAATAAATGTTAGTGGACCATTAGCTTTTCTTTTTTATACTGTAAAAGCTTGCTTCCTCCTCTCTCCTCCCTCCCTCTTTCTTTCTATTTTAATCCTCATTAGCTTTTGTAGTATGTAAAGCAGAAAACTTTCTTCTCGGTCACAGGAGTGACAGTGGGCTGAAAGAGCTAGGAAGAGGGCAGACTTATTCAGACTGTCAGGGCAGGTGGAGGAAGATGGCTGGCTGGAGTGAAGATGGTGGAGGGAGCCCTTCTCCAGGGAGATGAGTGGCTGCTGTCCTTGGAGGAGGTGTTGTCTGCGTGTCAGATGACCACAGGAGCAGGGTTTCCCAGCTGGCTAGGATGCAGTTGCAGTGGGTGTCTGTGAGTTTGTAAACGTGTCTCACTGACTTAGGGGACCGTACTGAGGTTGTGGTTCAAGCCTGGTCTCAAGGACATCCCAAGGATGTCCCAGGCTTCGCAATGCTTCTGGGAATTCTCATGGTTGGGATAGGACATTCAGGAACTGGTCTTGTTAGGGTGGCGGTGATGGACAATGCTGTGGAGTCACAGCACAGGTTTTGCTTGTAGCACTATTACAAGCAGATAAGTGGAAGTTGAATTCACAGGCTGCTCTCTGGAGAGAATTGGGCTGGGCTGTGTGGCCTTGGCCTGCGGGAGGGGGAGGAGAAAGCAGCATCTTGGGTTTTCTAGCCATGCGTGTAGTTTGACTTCCTGCTGACTTCCAGGAACTGATGCAGGTGCCTGCCTGCTACCCCACAGTGCTCAGCCTTCACATCAGGCTTGTCCTCTCTTGGGTGATTCTCGGGTAAATTAAACTTAACATCTTTTTCCTAGTCCTCCTCGTAGATGCTCCTTTTCAGCTTAATGTCTTTGATGCCATTAAATATGCAAGTTCAAAGATTTAAAAATTTTAATTTTTTTTATTGAAAAGGCAGATATGTGGAGAGAAGGAGAGACAGAGAAGAAGAAATTCCATCCACTGGTTCACTCCCCAGTGGCCACAATAGCTAGAACTGAGCCGATCCAAAGCCAGGAGCTACCTCTGGGTCTCCCAGGCAGGTGCAGCGTTCCAAGGCTTTGGACTGGCCCTGACTGCTTTCCCAGGCCACAAGCAGGGAGCTGGATGGAAAATGGAGTAGCCAGCACATGACCCAGCTCATGCAAGGCAATGACTTCAGCCACTAGACTGCTACGCCAGGCCTGAATATAACCTTTAAAAAGTGTTTTTCCTTGAATTTTTGATTAACATGAACTCATCAAATCAGAATTTTGCGTTTCCATTTTTACTTGAAAGAATTGCAGAGACAATGAGAGATTGATCTTCCATCCACTGGTTCTCTCCCCAGCTGGCCTCAATGGTTGGTGCTCAGCCAGTCCAGTGCCAGGAGTCAGGAGCTTCTTCCAAGTTCCCCACGAGGATAGAGGGTCCCGAGGCTTTGGGTCATCCTTACCGCTTTTGCAGGCCATAAGCAGGAAGCTGAATTGGAAATGAAGCAACCAGTGTGAACCAATACCCATTGGAATGTCACAGGTGGAGTTTTAGCCTGTCATGCAACAACACTGGCCCCAAGTTTTATTTTTTTTAAGATTGATTTATTTATTGGAAAGTCAGAGATACAGAGAGGAGGAGAGACAGAGAGGAAGATCTTCCATCCGATGATTCACTCCCCAAGTGAGCGCAATGGCCGATGCTATGCTAATCCTAAGCCGGATCCAGGAACTTCTTCCGGGCATCCCACGCGGGTGCAGGGTCCTAAGGCTCTGGGCCATCCTCGACTGCTTTCCCAGGCCACAAGCAGGGAGCTGGATGGGAAGTGGAGCTGCCGGGGTTAGAACCGGCACCCATATGGGATCCCAGTGCGTTCAAGGTGAGGACTTTAGCCGCTAGGCCATGGTGCCGGGCCCCCCAAGTTTTATTTTATTTATTTATTTATTATTTGAAAGGCAGAGTTACAGAGAAGAGATACAGATTTTCTATGTACTGGTTCACTCCCAAGTGGCCACAGTGGCCAGAGATGAGCTGGATTGAAAGTGGAGCAGCCAATATATGAACTGGAGCCATGTGAATTTCAGTGCCACAGGAGGAGGCTTAGCCTATTAGCCTACGACAGCATGGTACTGCTCCACCCCCAGCGCAATGTTTTCAGTTTGAGTTGATAAACCTAAGAGTGTCAAGACATAGCACATTTCCATTGTCACCTGAAATCCCTTTCTGTGTTCTGTCCCCACCCCCATGTCTAGGCAACCGGTGCTTTCTGTCGCTGGTCCTGCTGTCTTTTGTAGAGTTTTATGCAGATCTTACAGTGTATGTTCTTCGATGGCCAGATTGTTTTGCTTTGATGATATTCTTGGAAGTTAACCCTGTTAATGATGTGTGTGAGAGTTTCATTCATTGTATTGCTGTGTGGTATTCCACTATCATTTGTTCCTAGTTATTTCCAACTTTGAACTATTACCAATAAAACAGCTACAAGTATTTCGGGGGAGCAAAATGTTTACATTTCTCTGGAGTAGAAGCTTAGATGTGGAATTGCGGGTCATGTGTCAGGTGCGCGTTAACACTTGGTAAGAAACTGATGGACTCTTCCTGCGTGGTTGTATGACTTAGTGTTCCCCGCAACAAAGCATAAGAGTTCTAGCTATCCTACCTGCCCGTCAACACGTAGTGTGGTCTGTTTGGTTTTAGCTACTTTGATGGTTTATATTTGTAGTCTATTTGAATTTGGATTTGAATTTCTGTGTTACTCTTGAAGTTGATCCTTTTTGTTGTGTTATTGCCATTGCATCTGACTTGTGAAATGCTTATTTAAGCATTTATTTTAAAATTAGGTTGTCTTTTTCTTAATAAGTCTTAGGAGTTTTCTACATACTCTAGATACACATTTTTTAAAAAAGATTTATTTATTTTTATTGCAAAGGCAGATATACAGAGAGAGAGGAGAGACAGAGAGGAAGATCTTTAGTTCTATGATTTACTGCCCAGGTGACCACAACGGTCGGTGCTGAGCTGATCCAAAACCAGGAGCCAGGAGCTTCCTGTAGGTCTCCCACACAGGTGCAGGGTCCCAAGGCTTTGGGCCGTCCTCGACTGTTTTCCCAGGCCACAAGCAGGGAGCTGGATGGGAAGTGAGGCTGCTGGGGTTAGAACTGGCGCTCATATGGGATCCCGGTGCATTCAAGGCAAGGACTTTAGCTGCTAGGCCATCACGCTGGGCTTGATACAAATGTTTTTTAAAAATGATGCAGACTTTCTTCTGTGGTTTGCCTTTTCATTTTATTAATAGCATCTTTCAAGAAGCAGAAGTTTAAAATAAAAAATATTTTGGGGGCCCAGCGTGCTAGCCCAGTGGCTAAATCCTTACCTTGTATACACCAGGATCCCATATGGGTGCCAGTTCCTATTCTGGCTGCTCCACCTCCCTTCCAGCTCCCTGCTGTGGTCTGGAAAAGCAGTAGAGGACGACCCAAAGCCTTAGGACCCTGCACTTGTGTGGGTGACCCAGAAGGAGCTCCTGGTTCCTGGGTTTGGGTTGGCTCACCTCTGGCTGTAGCAGCTACTTGGGAGAGTAACCGAGTGAATGGAAGATCTTGCTATCTCTCTCTGGATCTCTGCCTTTCCAATATAAATAAATCTTCATTGTTTGTGTTTTGTAAAGTGTATTTATTTGAGAGGTAGATAAACAGAAGAAGAGGTTGTCTACAGCAGCCTTTGGGTAGGACTGAACCTGGAACCCTGGAACAGAATCCAGCTGCACATGGCGGCAGGAACCTCAGCTGCTTGATAGCTCTCTGTTGGCCAGAGACTGGGGTGAGGAGCCGGGCCAGGCGTCATCCAATCCAGGACTCTGATGTGACTACGTGGCTGTCTTAACGCTGGCATCTTAACTGCTACACTGCAGGCCTATTCCAGAGGTTTGAAATGTGGATGAAATCCTGCCTACTGATTTTCAGCCTGGTCCTTCATATGTCCACTTTGAGAAATTTTCGCCTTACCTGTGTTTGCAAATTGTTCCTTTTCTTTTTCCTTCTGGAAGTTTTGTACTTTAGTCTTAACCTTTACAGGTAGTCTACTCAGTTTTTGTGTGTAGTATAAAATAAGGATTGAAAATTCCTTTTTTCCTCCGTGTTTGTCGGTTCTAGTACCATTGGTTTAAAAAGACTATCCCCAGTGTGCTTTATCTGCTTCTCCAAGGACTTTTCCCTTTGCCTACTTTAAGAGATGCTTTACCGTTTGTGGCTGATTTTTTCCAAGGATGAGATAGCTCATCTTTCTTTCTGGGTGTTGGTTATGATATGTTAATGTTCTCTGAGCTCACTGGCCCCTTGGCCCTGACAGCTCTGTAACCCTCAAGATGACAGATGAGCTTTGTGCTTCACTCAGGAACCCTACTGCAAAGCCTGAGCTTTTGTGCAGATGTTTTCTGCATTTCTCTGATCTTTTTCAGTCTCTTTCAAATGTAGGACAAATGATAGGAAAATATGCATCACCTAAAATGCAGCCTTATTTAAGAAAGTATCTTTTCTGAGACAGCTGAATAGTAATCTATAGCCATTTTGAGGTGTATGGAATCCGGTTGAATATAAACCAAAAATTGAAATGTCTATGAAGAAGTCACAGGATGTAGTTAAGAACCCGCATTTTCCTATTAACATACTGTTAATCAATACCATGTCAATTAATGCCATAAGGTTGTAAATGGTTGTTGATGTTATGTCGGGGCTTTTAATTGATTGGGATGATACTTTGCTGGCTTTACCTTCAAACCAGAGATGGTCTCACCAAGAAATTGTTGAACCCACCAGGATAATAAGATGGTGGACTTTATGCTTGGTAAATACTTCTAATGAAAGAACCTCAACTGAATTTGAACTGTGGTAACGCAGCAAGGTGGAGAAATCCACCATGGGGAGGGGGAATCCCAGTGCCCATAACACTGTGTCACCTAATGCAATGTAATTAATAATAATAATAAAAAAAGAAAGTGTCTTTTCTGACCTTGATGAAGGCTAATGCTAAGCAAATTGAAGTATAAGGTGTTATGAGTAAAAGCAATAGAATATATATAATAGCATATCGTGTATTTTGCCAAGTCTCCTTTCTTTATATTTATATGGTTCTTTTCTTCTAAAAAGTAAATGCTGTGCAATTGCAGGTTTCTTCTATGGTGGCCAAAGATGCAGAGATGCATAAGAGCACACTGCAGTACTTCATGGAGCAGTTCTACGAAATCATCCGAAATGTGGATTCGAACAACAAGGAGTTATCCATTGCTATTCGTGGATATGGACTTTTTGCTGGTGTATGGCTCATTATTGTATTTTATCTCTTTATTTTACTGAAGTGTTTGAGGGAGTATAATTTATTGCATCTTATACTTGTGAAAGTGTTATTGTTGTTTCTATAACAGTTAATATTTTTTTAGTGTCTGTACTTGAATTCCGCATAGGTGTTATCTCAAATCCTTGTAATTTTTCTGTAAGCCAGATGTTATTCTGATTGACAGCTGAGGGACAGGTAACTTGTTGAAGGACATACAGGATTGACAGAACAACACATAAGTCCAAACCTCAGTCTGAAAACCAGAAATCCCAGGAATGTTTTCCCGCACTGGGCCATGCTACTGCTTATTTACAAAATAAAACTGGTTGGTTTTACTCAGAGTTTTAAGGAAGTTCCTGTGATAGAAAGCGATCTACCTATGCATATTAGAACAACCCTGGTCATTCCCTCCTGGTGGGTTTCTGTGTCGGCTGCCTCACAGAGAACATTGCTTCCTGTCTGTCTTCCTGCACATCTGTCCGTCAGTGCCTACTCTCTTGCTTTCTAAATCTCCATCTTCTTTCATCTGCTCTTTCAATACAGTCGGGGCAGATGGAGCAGAAAGAGGAGGCTTTGTGGTGAAAGACAGCAGGGAGTTACCCACTTCATACCCACAGATCGGCCCCTCAGCTGGCTCACGGAGCCTGGGCCGTGTCCATGGTGCAGCTGGAGTGCGACCAGTTAAAAGAAGAGTCTGGACCTAATGCAGAGGTCTAAAGAGGCCTTTGAAACCCTTAGAGACAGGGCAGTTCCATCATCAGATGTGTGAGTTAAAAAAGGCACCTCTGTGCTTGGTGTGTGGTGTCCAGCAGTGTGCACCCCAGTGGGTTTGGCTCCCAGTCCCTCCCTGCAAGTGACTACCCTTGTTTATCTGACACCTTCTATCGAAATCAAACCTAGAACAGAGGTAGCCATCAAAAAGTATGCAATTTCTGAATAAATATTTGATTACAGGTCATCATTAAAGGCGTCTTTAAAAAGTACTGTGTTTCTTCTCAACCTGCTAATAGTCTCAGGATGTAGCATGACGCCTTGGAAATCGTGAGTTTGACCTGGATGTGGTTGACACGGCCTTCTCCTCTGTCTTTCCTAAAGACCTGCAAGGTCATCAATGCCAAGAATGTGGACTTCATGTACGTCGAGCTCATTCAGCGCTGTAAGCAGATGTTCCTCACTCAGATGGACACTGCTGAAGAGCACATTTACCAGATGCCCAGCTTCCTGCAGTCCATTGCAAGTGTCTTGCTTTACCTCGACACGGTGAGTCGAGCTTGATTAAACTGATTACAGTCCTAAGTATTTACTTGTGTTCCTCAGATGATGTCACAGGCTCAAGTGTTGGTATTTTGTGCAGGCACAGTCATGCTCATAATGATATTTGTAATTGATATTTTGTGTTGACAGAATTGCTGTCATGAAGCTTGATTTTTTTTTTTTAAAGATTTATTTATTTTTATTGTGAAGTCAGATATATAAAGAAAGAAGGAGAGGCAGAGAGAAACATCTTCCTTCCGATGATTCACTCCCCAAATGACTGCACGGCTGATGCTGGGCCAATCTGAAGTCAGGAGCCCAAGTCCTCTTCTGGATCTCCCATGCGGTACAGGGTCCCAAGGCTTTGGGCCGTCCTCGACTGCTTTCCCAGGCCGTAAGCAGGGAGCTGGATGGGAAGTGGGGCTGCTGGGATTAGACACGCCACCCATTCATGACAAGGACTTTAGTCTCTAGGCCATGGCGCTGGGCCTGAAACTTGATATTTTTTAAAGATTTGTTGGAAAGGCAGATGTACAGAAGGAGGAGAAACAAACATCTTTCATCCATAGATTCACTTTCTAAGTGGCAGCAACGGCCAGAGCTGAGTCCATCTGAAACCAGGAGCCAGGAGCTTCCTCTGGGTCTACCATGTGGGTGCAGGGTTCCAAGGCTTTGGACTGTCCTCAGCTGCTTTCCCAGGCCACAAGCAGAGAGCTGGATAGGAAGCAGGGATGTTGGGATTAGAACCAGTGCCTATATGGGATCCCAGCACATGCAAGGCGAGGACTTCAGCTGCTAGGCTAGTGAGCCAGGCCCTCCCCTTTTTTTTAATCCATAGCTCTTTCCACGCTTCCAAACTATTCAGAATTGCCTCTTAAGAAAGAGTTGTGGGCTTGGTGCGATGGCGCAGTGGTTAAGGTCCTCACTTGCACACCCAGGATCCCATATGGGCGCCGGTTCTAATCCCGGCAGCCCCGCTTCCCTTCCAGCTCTGCTTGTGGCCTGGGAAAGCAGTCGAGGACGGCGCAAAGCTTTGGGACCCTGCACCCACTTTGGAGACCCGGAAGAGGCTCCTGGCTTCGGATCGGCATAGCATCGGCCGTTGCGCTCACTTGGGGAGTGAATCATCGGACTGAAGATCTTCCTCTCTGTGTCTTCTCTCTGTATATCTGCCTTTCCAATAAAAATAAGATAAATCTTTAAAAAAAAGATGCAGTTGTACCTGAATTGTCATTCAAGAACTTTTTTTTTAGTGTAGATTGTTGTAGTAATAAATGTCAAGTTTGCAGAGTGGATAGCAAGCCTGATTTTTCACTGACCTAGCAGGTGTGAAGTCAGGTGCATGGAGTGCTGTTGTTTGTGTTGCTCCCCTGTTGGTTCATCCCCCCACCCCCACACCTGTCTGCTCTCTGCTTCTGGCAGGTTCCTGAGGCATACACTCCAGTTCTGGAGCATCTGCTGGTCGTGCAGATAGACAACTTCCCACAGTACAGTCCAAAAATGCAGTCGGTGTGTTGCAAAGCCATCGTGAGGCTTTTCCTAGTCTTGGTCGAGAAAGGACCTGTTCTCCAGAATTGTGTTAGTACCGTGGGTAAGTTTGCAGTTTGCTATTGTTTTTATTATGGTGACTGATAGATACGTAACATGTGAATTGATATGGGTAAGCAGTCTGATTGCCAGACTGTATTGTATCCCTTTGAAAGACTTCTAAAATTTTCAACATGTAGTATTATCTTTGTTTCATCCTTTTGCTCTTGAGTTTTTATAATTCAAAAATTAAAACAAAAGATATTAACAAACTTAGACTTTGAGGGGTCAAGTTCTATTGTTGTTCCAGGAAACAATGATGATCATTTTTATTGATTGGTTGGTTGTATTGTTGACAGTGTTTCTTCCACTTTTCTCCAATCTCCTCCCCCGCAGTGCATCAGGGTTTAATCAGAATATGTTCTAAGCCAGTGGTACTGCAAAAGGTAAGTCAATTCTGAGTCTGAAGCTTCAGAAGTAAGTGTAAATGGCAGAAGTGTCACTGCAATTTCAGCATGCCTTTCTATAAGTCACATTTTATGTGTAGGATGTGATGCCCCTATGTGTGTCAGGTGAATACAGATCTCTAAAGGTCTCTTGGACCCTGGGACAATATGCAAGGATATAATGATTTTCTGGGAAGCATGACCTAGTTGCTGGAAGGTACAGGAAATAGGATGAAATGAGAATGAGCTATGAAATACGTGATGTGTTGTGCATTCAGTGGATGTTCTGTTGAAGTACTTGGTGGTATATCACAATTTTAGAATGGCAGAAGAGACCTTCTTTCTCCCCACTTGCTTTCTGCGTTGCTTTCCCCACATGATGTCCTTCTCGGTCTGGTCGTGTAGTCTGCAAGTGATTGTTTAGCATAGAAGATTTGGAAACATGGGCTAGTTGTGACTGTGCTGCTTCTGTGAACTGCTTGGTCAGAGCTGGTGTGTTGTCTTCCCTGCCAGGGCTCAGGGTCTGAATCTGAAGAACACCGTGCCTCGGGGGAAGTTAGAACTGGCAAGTGGAGGATGCCCACGTGCCAAGACTATGTGGATCTCTTTAGAAGCTTCCTGAGCTGCGACCAGATGATGGTAATATCTACAGTTTGAAATCCGTGAAAGTTCATTGGCTCCTCTCATTATTAGTCTTCATAATTTTAGCTCTAATTCTTGTATATTTCAGAATTGTATTTCATTAACTTCTAAATAAATGTACTTCAAGTAATAAAAAATATCCCAGCAGTATGAATCAGGACAGTTGAATTAATAAATGACAGTCTAGTAATTCATGACAGTTGAAAATGAGAGGAAGATAAGCTTTTTTTGTTTGTTTTCTTTCTTTCTTTTTTTTTTAAGAAAGCCAGATTTGCAAAGAGAAGGAGAGACAGAAAGATCTTGCATCCTTTGGTTCACTCCTCAAGTAGCCACAATGGCTGGAGCTGAGCTGATCTGAAGCCAGGAACCAGAAACTTCTTCCATGTCTCCCACATGGATGCAGGGTCCCAAGGCTTTGGACCATCCTCTACTGCTTTCCCAAGCCTCAAACAGGGAACAAGGCAAGGATATAGCCACTAAGCTATACTGCCAGGCCCAACTTTTTTTTTTTTTAAAGATTTATTTATTTGGGTTTGGTGTGATAGCCTAAGGCTAAATCCTCGCCTTGTACCACAGGATCCCAAATGGGCTCCGTTTGTGTCCCAGCTGTTCTACTTCTCACCCAGCTGCCTGCTTGTGTCTGGACTGCCCCACTTTGACCCAGTTCCTTCTGAGGACCTAGCAAAAACAGTAGAGCGTGCTTGATTGAGCCTTGCTACCAATGTGGGAGATGTAGATGCAGCTTTTGGCTTTTGGCTTCAGCCTGGTCTGCCTCCAGCTGTTGTGGTCAACTGGGGAACGAACCAGCAAACAAGAGATTTCTCCTTGCCTCTCTAAATCTAACCTAAAAAGAAAAGATTAATTAATGTAGCTGAGTTCTAAGTTACTAGCAGATGTTTTTTTTTTTTCACTTTCTGCTTTAGAAAGGCAGTACCCAGTATTTATTTGCAGTTTTTGATATTCTGTCCTACTGAGAGAGCAAGAGTTCCCATGTACTGCTTCATTGTCCAGCTGTTCTCAGTGTGTGTCTTTCCCCATGTGTCAGTAAAGCTGGGAGCTACCAGAGCGTGTCCCCCAGGCAGGTGACAGGGACCACTTGAACCATGACCCACTGCTTCCTAAGGTGCACACAGGAGGAAGCAGGTTGGGAGTGGGGCTGAGACTTGATATGCAATATGAGGTGTTCCAACCAATGGCCAAAAGCTTATCCCTGTGGCTAGTACTTTAACAGATACATTATTGAAGCATTAATAGCTTAGAACAAGCAAATTTTGTCAGTAGATAACTCTTACTTTGTGCTAATCCTTAGGTGTTTAACTTTTAATTTTAGGTAATAGCATAGCAACTGACAGTAATTTTATCCAAAATATTCTTTTTCATGTGATGTTAAATATCCTTACGTTTTGAGGTTAAGTCCCCTAAGCATGTTTGACTATAGCCAGAATAACTAGACTGTAATTTTGGAATGGTTGAATAACTTCGCTTTTGAAGTAGCGACAAATTATAATTTTAAATCTATCCTGAGAATGAATATATATCCATTCATATATATATATATGCATGCACACACTTCGTATGTGTATGCACACATATATATGTACATAAACTTAGTGCATTCCATGTGTTATACATACATGCTGTATGTGTGTGCATGCACAGATGAAATGGAGGAAGAGTGGGCTTTGGCAAGAATTAGACCCAAGTCTTCTCACTCACTGCTAAGTGTGAGTTTATTTGTCACGAGGCTGGCCAAGTCTCTTTGACTGAAATGATACTGTGATGATAATTTAAGAAGGTGAATGAATTATGAATTTTGTAGCATGAAAAAGGCTTATTCATTGTAGTTTGCGAATCACTGTTTGCATACCACCTAAATGTACATGCACACCTCTCGTATGAATCGGTTTTTTTATGATCTTTACATTGTTGATTATGGTGCAAAGGGTCAAGGGCTATAGGGAAGTGGGTAAGAACATTGTTTCCACATTTTCTTTTTTCCTTTCTGTATCTGGGGAAAGGGGAGAGAGAAAGGCAGAAGCCACACCCACCCTCCCAACCATTCCAGGGTCCCCGACATGGGACGTGCTCCAAGGGGCACTGCTTAAGTGGTTTCAATAGTTCAACGGTTCAGAATTGCTGCTAGTCTCGTCATTCCAAGCACGATGAAATCTCTTCAGAATCCACTGGCTGACATAGTCCACCTTAGCATTTCCACTCGCCCAGATGTTCACTGCCAACACTTGGCTTGGTAGTTGATCATGGTAGTTGATCAATTTATTCTGTCCTCTGTTATGGTACCAGGTGTCCTATGTAGGCTCCAAAGTACTGCTATATCCTCCACGTGCACTTGGGTATGCTGTCCACTGCTCTGTTGGAGCCACTGAGGAGGCTCCAAAGTCAGACCATGAAACTTGCAATTCTCTTCATGGTTGGGTTTCTGAATCAAGCAGTTCAATTGGGAGGAACGCTAAAGAAATTTTGTCTGAAGTGATCCTAGACTAGATTCCTGTGTGTGCTTGCCAGTATAGGGCACTGCACAGACTGTTGCCCCCGTCAGCCTATGCATATGCTGGTGGTTGCAATTGCTGGATCAGTTCTCCCTCCAGCCCCATCTTCTATACAAACCAATGGGTACTGGAGCCCATTTCAATCCTACCCACCACACATTTGACCCTCACGCAAACCAGTGGGAGCTACAGTCTAGTAGGAGCGACCTGCAGTAATCCCCACCAGGCCCGCCCCCTGCCCTGGTTACCATGCTTGCCAGTGTGTACAGCATACTGGTCCTGTCTGTCCTATATCCCATTCAGCTCTCATACATGTCAATGGGTGTTGAAGCCTAGTTCAACCCAACCAGCCCCACTATTCAACCGACACACCTGCTGACAGGTGCCACTTGCTGTCTAGCCATGCCTGCCCCAGTCTTGGTTTTTGTGCTCACCAGATGGAGTGGCAGCCCCAAAGGGAAGTGTCCACTGTTTGCCTACTGGGGGTCCACTCCCAGATCATGCACTCTCCAGGTGGTTCTGTAGTTTGGTTTGCAGTTTAGCACCCCTGTGCCACCGTCTGCCAGTTATCTCATATGTATCTTAATGCTTTTGACATACTTGTATTTTGTTTGTACAACACTTACAAGTCCTTTTCTCTTTTTTGAAGGATTGTGTTTTACCAGATGAAACATTTCTTTCTGTGACTTCTTCCCTTCAAAGACTGAATCGTTTACTCTATGATGAATTTATAAAGTCTGTTTTGAAGATTATTGAGAAATTGGATCTTACATTAGAAAAACAGACCATTGGAGAACAAGAGGTTAGTTGTTTCTCTCAATAATTATTTTATATCATTTTTTGTAAAGATTTATTTATTTTTATTGCAAAGTCAGATATACAGAAAGGAGGAGAGACAGAGAAGGAGATCTTCAGTCCGATGATTCACTCCCTCAAGTGACTGCAATGGCCAGTGCTGCACTGATAGGGAGCCAGGAGCCAGGAGCCTCTTCTGGGTCTCCCATGTGGGCGCAGTGTCCCAAAGTAGATTAAAGTAATGCTTTGATGAAAAGTTGTTCACTCTTTTTGTCTTTCATTCCTTAGCCTGTAGTAAAGAGTCATGGAAGTGCTGTCTTGTGTAGAAGTGACTTTGTATCGCCTCTCGGCCTTTTGGCTAAGATCGAGTGTGGAAGTGACTTTGTAGGCCTGGCTTGGTAGCCTAGTGGCTGGAGTCCTCGCCTTGCATGTGCCCAGATCCCACGTGGGCATCAATTCGTGTCCTGGCTGCTCCACTTCCCTTGCAATTCTCTGCTTGTGGCCTGGGAAGGCTGTCAAGGATGGCCCAAAGCCTTGGGATCCTGTGACCACATGGGAGACCCAAAAGGAGGCTCTGGGCTCTTGACTTCAGATCAGCTTAGCTCAGGTGAGGCCGTTGCGGCCACTTGGGGAATGAACCAGTGGATGGAAGGTTTTTCTCTATATCTTTCCTTCTCTCTTTACATCTGACTTTCCCATTAAAAAAAATTTAAAGAGGGAAAGAAATGACTTTGTTCAGTCAGGTAGGGAAGCCTGGGTTCCTCTTGTCCTTAGCTAAGGAAATGCCCGACTGGGATGCAGCGTGTTGGACGTGCTCTCGAGGTGGTCCTCTGTATCCTTCCCACCTGCATGGCAGAGAAGTTGTGACTTGAAGCTGCCCGGCTTGTCTCAGGAGTTGTGGTAACAGCGGGTGGGTGTGCAATGGCTGGGGCTCCAGCAGGAAACATGGAGAGCAGCTCGAGATAGCTGGGGTTCATGCCCGTGCGCTCCGGTGGGAGGCCGTTGCTGGAGGTGCACGGAAAGAAGACAGGCTCCTCAGGCTTGCCCTGCTCCTGTGTGTGCTCTTCTCCTGTGTGTGCTCTTCTCCTGTGTGTGCTCTTCTCCTGTGTGTGCTCTTCTCCTGTGTGTGCTCTTGCATTGTTTGCCATCTTTGTGTATTTCTAAAGGAATTTCACATGAAAAAAACCCAAAAATTTAAAAACCCTGCTGCAAGGGACTTCGTGGAAATGCTTCATTGACGCCCTCAGTGGCTCTGTGTCCTGCTCCGGCTTGTCCTGGGCCAGCTGCTGCCTTAGTCTACTCAACAGCCTCACCTGCCTTGTAGGTCCTAGTTCTCTGCTTCTTTTGCTTTAAAAATTTACTTTTCTCTCTTTCTCTCTCTCTCAAATGGCCACAAGAACCAGGGCTAGGCCAGGCCAAAACCAAGAGGCAGGAACTGCATCCTGGTCTCCCTCACGAGTGGCAGGGACCTAAGCATTTGAGCCATCGTCTCTGGCCATCTCTGGCCTTCCCAGAAGCATGAGCCGGAAGCTGGATTCAAAGTGGAACAGCGTGTACTCCACCTGTGCTCTGACAACTAGTTAAAGGTGTTGTGAGCAGTGGCTTAACATGCTACACCACAATGTGGGCCCCTGGCACTATGTTTCTCACTGCTCCTGTATGGCTCTGAATACACAAATTGTGTTTGGTAACGTAGATCTGGTAGCACAAACTTTAATATGTTTAAAACTCAAACTTATGCACTTCATAAGGTATCCAAGTTTTCTTTGTTATTTCTTACTGGCATTAATTCTTCCTGTTCTCTCAGGGTGAAAGCCGCAAGTCATTATTGTTAATTTCTGCATTCTGTTAAGACTGGCTTAACATTGCTACCCCTATCATTAAATGATGCCATCTTCTTGTTTGGCTTTTTGGTTCTTTCAGCATTTCACTTGGTCATTTCCGACGAGTCCAACTTTTGTCTCGTGTTTTCTGCCAATCACATCATTCTGATTAGCTGTGAACTACAGAGGCCCTGCCTGCCTCAGTTTGACGCTCTGTCCTCATAGCCCCAGTCTTAGACTGGGGAGTCCATTGGGAAGTGACCTGTTGAACAATGTGTGATTGAATGATACAGTGTCTGTTTGGTACAATTAATTTTTAAGGATGGAAATGAGGCCACTGGTGTTTGGGTGATCCCGACTTCAGATCCAGCTGCTAACTTGCATCCTGCTAAGCCTAAAGATTTTTCAGCTTTCATTAATCTGGTGGAATTGTGCAGGTATTTTTCTAAAATTCTTATTATTTTAGAATGAAAAATTATCAATTTTTGACTATAATATTATAAATACTTAGATAAATGTAAGAAGTGAAATAGTAAGAAACTTAACATCCAGAATCTCTTATATGGATCTTTACATCTAAATGTACAAGCTTGGAGTTATCTTTATTTACTTATTTTTAATGTGTAAAAGATCTTTGGAGAAAGAGAGAATTTAAAAATACCTAAAGGGATTAATAATGGAATCATAGTCCATAGTTTTTTTTATGTCATCAATGCTTTTGAAACTGAAGACAAATGAATATGGTATAAATTTGTGCCTTAAGTATTCAATTTGTTTTTTGCAGAGACATTCTCTCTGGGAACCGAGTACAATTTTTTGAACCATGGGTATACTCATTTACATACGAATTGATTGTACAGTCTACACGCTTGCCGCTCATCAGTGGTTTCTACAAATTACTTTGTGTGGCAATGAGAAATGTCAAGAAACTAAAGTATTTTGAGGTAAGACTTTCTTGGAGAACATCGAATAGTCTTTTTTTTTGGTTGCATGAATATTAGTGTGTCATAAAATATGTGATAGTGACATATGTAGTTTTAAAGCTTGATTTTATCATACATTTGAAAAGTGAGCCGCAGTTGGATGACAGTAGTGTTTTCAGCTTGGTGTTCAAGCCTGGGTGAGTGGCAGGGTCTCTCGGGATTCAGGGACCAGCAGCGCTAGCATTTCTAGTCGAGTCAAAGGCCAGCTCCAGATTTAATCTAATCAGAAACCTTGGGCGGGTAGGGCTCAGCAACTCAGGCTATTCTGGGTTTCCCATGAAGGTTGAGAGCCATGGGGGGAGCAGGAGGAGGCTAATCAAGTTGCTTGGCGCAACAATGCATGTTTCTGGAAGATGGTGAAAGGTGCGTAGATTTCGCCGGGTCCATATGCCTTTGGCCACTCACACACCTTCTCCTTTTTCCATTTCTGACTGTTCTCCACCTGGAAATGTCCTTGCATCCCAGGCTCCCTTATTTCCACAGGAGACATTGGTAAAGTGAGACGGTGAACCCTGTGAAGGGAACTACCAGATCCAGAATCCCCCGATTGTCGTTCATTGTACTAATTTGATGTTTTATCTGACAGGGAATTAGTCCGAGGAGTCCGAAGCACTCTCCTGAGGACCCAGAAAAGCATTCTTGTTTTGCTTTATTTGCAAAATTTGGTAAAGAGGTAACTTCTGAATGATTTCTCTTAGTATTATCATGAATTATTTTTAAATGGATATATATTTTAAAAATCCTAGTAGTCAAATTTGTTTATTTTTGTTCATTTTTATTTTTATTTATTTGAAAGAGAGAGAGATGAGAGAGAAATTTTCCATCCACTGGGTCAGTTTCCAAATGCCTGTAGTGGCTTGGACTGGGCCAAGCCATAGCCAGGAGGCTGCAAGTCAGTTCAGGTCTCCAATGTGGGAGGCAGGGACACAAGTACTTTAGCCATCCCTACTGCCACCTAGGATGCATAACGGAAAGAAGCGGGACTCAAACACAGGCACTTTGATACAGGTTATGGGAGTCCTAAACAGGCTTACTTCTCAGTTTGTTTACATATATATATATGTATATATGTATGTATTTTAAAAAATTGTTTATTTTTATTGCAAAGTCAAATATGCAGAGGAGGAGAGATAGAGAGGAAGAACTTCTGTCTGATGATTCACTCCCCAAGTGACCGCAATGGCTGGTGCTGTTCTGATCTGTAGCCAGGAGCCAGGAACTTCCTCCAGGTCTCCCACACGGGTGCAGGGTCCCAAGGCTTTGGGCCATTCTTGACTTTGTTCCCAGGCCACAGGCAGGGAGCTGGATGGGAAGTGGAGCTGTCAGGATTAGAACCGGCGACCATATGGGATCCCGGTGCATTCAAGGCAAGGACTTTAGCTGCTAGGCCACGGTGCCGGGCCCAACAATTTGTGTTGCTAAATTCAGATGGTAAATATGATCTGGAAAAACTATCACAGAAATCATTGTACTTCAGAAGTCCTTAGAGTGCTCTTAGAATAATCCAGTGGAGTGCTGACAGCACACAGTTAAATAGATGCTCTGGTTTTTCCCATAGGGTGAGATTTATCTCAACAAGATAAGTTTTTCTAGAGCTTTGTGCTTTATTTCTAAGTGAATGTGATCTTGTTAAATAAAGGCAACATGTTTATTTTTTATATTTGAGAATAAGGTATGTATCTTTAAATTGCTTTTCAAATTATAAGGCTCTGTACATTTACACAGCATTGTCTTTTCCCTTGAGGTATCAGTTAAAATGAAGCAATACAAAGATGAACTCTTGGCCTCCTGCTTGACCTTTGTTCTGTCCTTTCCATATGACATCATTGAACTTGATGTGAGAGCCTACGTTCCTGCGTTACAGGTAGCTGCATTATCTGAAACAAATCTGCGATGCTTGACTTGGCCTGCCTGGACTTCCCTTCCCAGTTGATGTGGGAGTTAAGCCTTGACTGTGTGGAGTGTGTGCAGCATGCCCAGATGGCTGGCCAACTTCTTGTCCTCATGGTTACCTCAACTGTACCTACTTACCTTTAGCTGTGTTTTGTGGTCCAGGAATAGAGAAGACTATTAAATAGAAACCATAATTAATAATTTTATCCCCCTCCTCCACTTTCAAATTAAGATTCCCTGCATTTCTTTTGTGTTGACATACAGATGGCCTTCAAGCTGGGCCTGAGCTATACGCCGCTGGCCCAGATCGGTCTGAATGCCCTTGAGGAATGGTCAGGTCACATCCATAGACATGTAATTCAGCCTTACTATAAAGACATTCTACCTTACCTTGATGGATACCTGAAGACTTCCACCTTGTCAGGTAAGGGTTAGAAGCATGGGAATGTATGTTGTAATTACAATGGCAATGTGGTAACTGTTGTAGGACTCTCAAATGTGTTTGGTATTTTTGTAACTTTCCCAGTTCATCCCGATATGATTTGAGTAATATATAATTGAAGGATCAAAACTGATTTTGATTTTACTATTGGCAATGTTGTGCATCTTCCCTGTGGCTTATGAAATGAACCAATGAACGCTATTTAAAGTTGTTTTTTGCTGTTGTTGATAGATGAGACCAAGAATAACTGGGAGGTGTCGGCACTTTCTCGGGCTGTCCAGAAGGGATTCACCAAAACCGCATTAAAGCATCTGAAAAAGACAAGGAGCATTTCATCTGTAAGAAACCCTTTCTATTTTCTTTGTCTTAAATAATACAGAACTTGGACTTAAATGCTTGTGGAAAAGAAAAAACATTCTTTAAGATTTTTGCAAGCAATGTAGTATGAAATAATTCCCGTATGTTTTTAGGAGTAAAAATATATAAAGTACAGCAAGTGCTTGTTTAATGTTTTGATCCTGTTTTTCTGTTTGTTTCTACCCTCAGCTGTAGTGTTTGGATAAGGAAGGTGAAAGGCAAGTCAGAGTCCTGATCGCATGGTCTTTAAACTGATATGTTTATCAGTGAATAAATACATTTTAAAAATATTCATTTTATTTTAATTGAAAAGTTAGATTTACAGAGGGAATGAGACAGAGAGAAAGATCTTCCATCTGCTGCTTCACTCCCCAAGTAGCTGCAATGGGGAGTTGAGCTCATCTGAAGCCAGGAGCCAGGAACTTCTTCTGGGTCTACCATCCTATCTGTGGACCATCCTTGACTGCTTTCCCAGGCCACAGGCTAGAACCTGGATGGGCTTGAGCAGCTGGGACACAAACCAGTGCCCATATGGGATCCCGTTGCATATAAGGCTACCACTCCAGGCCCTGAACAAATACATTTTGTCAAGTTCAAGTCATTATGGCTTTTAAAATTTTGATTAATTTTTTGAGATTAACTTTTTGGAGATGAATCACATGTTCTAATAGAAAAATAATGTAAGTAGGTAAAATTGAGTTAGTTTAGGAAAAATACCTACTTTTTGGTATGAATTAAAAATCAAAAATCTTAAGGATTTTTTTGTTCATTACAGAGGGAGAGAGAATGAGTCAGAATCTTCCATCTACTGGTTCACCTCAAATGACTCAAGCAGTTAGGTCATTTCTTTTGCTTTCCCAGGTGCATTAACAGGTTTTGGAAGTGGAGCAGCCAAGACTTGAATTGGTGCTAACATGCAGTACTGCTGTGAGAAGTGGTGGCTTTATCCCCTTGCACCATTAGCACTGACCCCTGGAAAAACTTTTATTATCTTAAAATAATAATGTACATTCTTCTCATTATTTTGGGTAACTTTTGATTGTGACACGTGAATGAGATGAGGAGTGACTTTACATTTTTAAAATAATTTTATCACACGTAAGGATAGCATTACTTTAGCTTATCTCTGGTTTCACAAATGAAATCTCTACTCCTGCTTAGTGGTGCATATTGCCTGAGACAGAGGTTCTCTGAATATGGACTGTGGGGCTCACAGGTGCAAGGCCAGAGGCAGTTTTTCTGTGTTGCCGTTTGCACTGTGGTTTTTCTGTGGGTAGTATAGCTGTCTCTTGGGACACTTTGTTGTTGCTTGCCCTGGGTACCAGTGTTCTTATTTTGTACTGATGGTGAGCCAAAATATGTACAGAGTAGGCCTGCTGCCAGTGAGACTTGGAGCTGTCTGGGGGAAAGGACCTTGTGTGGCAGAGCCAGTGTGTTCACAAAGCCATTTTCATTTAATACAACAGCCGATAGGACAGCCTCACACTGGTCCTTCAGACTTGGTTAGTCAACAGATGTTGTCCTTCACCTGGACAGTGATCCCTGCATTTTCAGGAAGACATCTGGTACCAAGAATAAAATATGAGCTTCTAAGCTAAGTGAAAATTTGAAAAAAGTGGTAGCCATCACATTGAATTTGCTAACCTCTTCATATTTAAGAAATTTTCTGATGACAATGGTGGTGATAGTACCAAATGTGATTGTTTTTGTTTGGCATGTGCAACTAAATGTGTCACCTTGGAAGAGCTGCATAATCCAATGATCCTGTCTTTTCAGATGGGCTGTGCATGTGTTAGCAGATCGTGCACTGGCAAGTGGTCCATTCAAACTGCAAGATAAAGCAGTGGACTTTTAATGTGCTAAGGTTTACATAGTTGTTAGCTTTCAGATTATACAATGCAACTTTTTTTTCCCCCCAGATTTATTTATTTTTATTAGAAAGGTAGATTTACAGAGAGAAGGAAAGACAGAAAGAAAAGTCTTCCATCCACTGGTTCATTCTACAGGTGGCCACAATGGCCAGAGTTGAACTGATCCAAAGCAGGAGATCAGCAAGCCAGAGCGTAAACTGGACACAGGTGTGAAACCAAAGCCACTCATCTGGGGTGTTTGGAAAACTGAGTGTTTTTCATTGGAGGAAGTTGTGTGTTATCATGTGATAAGTTTAGTAGTTTTAAATAAAACAATAATTTATATTGTTCATTTGAAAATGCTGGATCACTGGATAATGTAAATCTTTCAAGGTAACATTTCGTTGTATGTATGAAAAAACTCACAATTGTAAAGATTTTTTGATGTGATAAGTTGACTCATAGAAACAAAAATTTAATGGAATTTCTTAAGCTGAGAAGGGTTTTGCCAAGGTGTTTATAACCTCTGGCCTAGGATGTGAACCTCCAACTGCAAACTTCGGAGGGATGTGACCTCTTCCATGAATCTGTAGTCTCATTCACGCCTCTGTTGTTTGGGATGTAATTAACCACTAGGAGAAATGGTGATGGAAAGGGTGGTGTTGCAGTGTTTCTTCTCATCTCTTCTTACAATTGTTAATGTCATTGTTGCATGTATCCCACTGTTAAAATTTACAGAGTGAAGCACCATCCTTAGAAGATATAAGAATCAGAATAGTACAAATGCTTGGATCTTTAGGAGGACAAATAAATAAAAATCTTGTAACAGGTACATTTTCTTTTAAGTTAACCTCTCGGCTACTTGTCCTTTTATTGGAACAGAAGCAGACTGCATATATTCTGATGTTTACTAGTATATGCACTTTACATACTTTTAAATAAAATTTAAAAATGCAAAAATTTGCCTGATGAAATGCTTTCACTACACCCATACAATCAGGATAATATTTGGATATTTTTATATTGTTTTATGAGAATTAACATCTTTGTTAATAAAAATCCATCTGTTTTTTACTTTTGCAATTTGATGTTGATTGTACTAGTGGCTTTTGGTTATTTAGGGAGTTAGAGCTTGGATTTGTAAAGCGAATATTTTGAATAAGAGATTTTTGAAAGAAATGTTGTTCACTTCCTAGTTTTCACAAAATACCTTAAGTAATTGACACTGAATTTAGGTTTTAAACATTCCAAACTGCTTGACTTGTTTAACCACCATGTTCCATTCAGTTAAATTCCGAAATAGCATATCAGTGATTTCTGGTGTTGTAATTGCATGTATAAAGGGGGAGAGACAGGGAAGGTGGGGTGAGCGTTTGGCTTAGTGATTAGTTTTGTGGTTAAGGTGCCCACATCCTACATGGGAGTGCCTGCCGTGCTCCTGACCCCATCTTCCTGCTAGTGCACACCCTGGAAGGCAGCTGTGATGGCTCTTGTGATGAGGTCCCTGCCATCCCTCCTACACTCCAGGAGATGGCGTCTCTGGCTTGCAGCTGCTGCTGGGCCTGGCCCAGCTCTTGCTGTGGGCCTCTGGGGAGTGAGGCAGTAGACTGGAGTTCTCTGTGTGTCTGTTCCTTTCTGTTTCTCTGCTTCTCTAAGAAATTTTGTTTTTAAAAGAAAACAAGATTGAAACTGTTGGATGTATCTTCACAGTAGGATGCTGGACTGTTGTACACCACAAGTCAAGATATACTTAAATAGCAGAATGATAGGCTTACAGCTGCTTATGAAAGACTATACTATTGTAATGATATAGGAGAAATCAACTGGGGGGAAGAAATTTGGGGAGAGGTCAAGGGAAATCCCAGAGCCTAACGAATTGTATCATATAGTTGAAAATAAAATAGAAGAAGAAAAAAAAAGATGAATAACTTGCTTAAAAGTACAAAAGTGCTGTAGTTTAATTAAATAAGAAATACTGGAAAGACTAGTAATGGAAAGCATAATTTCTTTTGACAGCTGCGACTTCAGATGAAATGATGAAGAAGTGTATGGCGTGGGACGTGGAGAGGAGGCTTGGCTTTGCGGTGCCCTTCAGAGACATAAAGCCTGTCATCTACCTGGAGGGCTTCCTGCCTCGCGTCACAGAATTAGCCCTTTCAGCCAGTGACCGTCAAGCCAAAGTACTTTTAATTTTTCATGTCACTCATTATCTAGAGTACATTGCTTTTAAAACCTATTGGCTTAGAAGTTGATGCTGATATTATTATTTTTGCGTTTGTTTCCCCCCCAGTAATACGGTAAATAGAAAACTCACTTATTATAAGTTGGTGTTGGGGCCAGTGTCATGATACAGTGGGTTAAGTTGCTATCTGCAACCCAGGCATTCAGTATTAGAGCTCAGGTTCAGGTTGCAGCTGTTCTATTCCCAGTCCAACTCTCTGATAATGCATCTGGGAAGGCAGTGGAAGATCATTCAAGTACTTGGGTCTCTGCTACACATCTAGGAGACCTACATGAAGTTCCAGGCTTTTGGCTTTAAATTGGCTCAGCCCAAGCCATTGTGGCCATTTGGGGAGTGAACCAGTGGATGAAAGATCTCTCTCTTGTCTTTTCCTCTCTGTAACTCTTCCTTTCAATCAAATAAGTAAATAAGTAAATAAAATAAGTGTCATTGATAAATGGAAGTTAGATCATCTTAATAGGTTATATCCTTGCAAAGCATAATAGAACAAAAGCTTTGTTTTCAAAAAATAGTTTTATATGTTTTATTTATTTGAAAGACACAGAGAGAGTGAATGAGTTATTTGTCATTTGCTTATTTACTGCAGCAGCAAGGGCTGGGCAGGCCCCCAAAGCCTCGTACAGGGCTCATTCTGAGTCTACCATGTGGTGCCAGAGACCCCAGAACTGGAAGTTTACCTGTTTCCTCCCAGTGTGTGCGGCAGGAGGGAGCCAGAATTGGAAGCAGGGCTGGAACCTGTATCCAAGCAATCCAACATGGAACAGAGGTGTCCCAAGCTACATCTTAACTGCTGTGCCAGATATCTACCCTTACCAAGAACTTTTAGTTATAGAAAATGGTGCGCAAAAGTGTTGAAAACTGATACTTGGTTGTTTTGGTTATCTGAAAAGAGAGTAGAAGTGGATCATCTGTACCATCAATTTATAAATATTTCCTATGATTATATTAACCCCAATGTATAAAGTTTATAAATTTTTTTAAAGAGTTCTCTCTATTTATTTGAAAGACAGAACAATATAGACAGAGATCTTCCATCCATTGGTTCACTCCCCAAATGACCAGAAAAGCCATATCTTTTCACAGAGAAGGTAGAGACCAAGCACTTGGGCCATCTTCCATTTCCTTCCCAGCCGCATCCGTGCGAAGCTAGATTGGAAGTGGAGCCGCTGAAACTCAAACCAGCACCCAGTGTGGAATGCTGATATTGCAAGTGGCTATTGAACCCGATGTGCTGCAATGCTAGGCCCTGCATTTCAATTCTCAACTCTTGGATAAAAATAAAAGCAAATGGAAACCCTAACTTAATTTGAGAAGCACCAGTTCCAGTTAATTTATAATTGAGTTACATGAAAATTATAAAATTTTTAAAAGATTTGCAATACATGTTTTTTAAAAGGCCTAAATTGAGTAGCATTGAATAGCATATTTTCTTGCAAATGGATAATTTAAGCTTTTTTGACCTCCTGTCCTGCTTTAGGTGGCAGCCTGTGAGCTGTTACATAGCATGGTCATGTTTATGCTGGGAAAAGCAGCTCAGATTCCTGAAGGAAATCAGGGCTTCCCACCCATGTACCGGCTCTACAAGCAGACATTTCCTGTGCTGCTTCGCCTTGGGTGTGATGTCGATCAGGTAAGAGGTGAAGTACTATCTGGTTCCGTAGCCAGTGAAGCCTGCTGCACAATCACCCAGAAAACCTTTAAATCTTGCTGCCTGCCTGCTACCCCACACCCCAGTCTAATCGGGACTTTTCAGAGCTCTTCTAGAGAGTTTTAATTGCTGCAGGGTTTGGGGGAAATCACCGCTCAAGTGCTGGTTTTTGAGAGTTGAGGCATCCAGAGGTAAACTGGCTGCTTCTCCTCTCCTGGACGGGGTGACGATGCCGGGTAGTCTTGGAAAAGGTGGGAAATGTTGCAAACGGCACTTTCCTGAGGAACTGCTGATAGATATTCCCATGCTGCTGCAATGAGGAAATAGGTAGAAATCATCTTAATTTGTTTTATGAAGTTAGCTAAACCTAGATATCAGAGTGGGGGTTGGTTCCATGGTGTAATGGTCAGCACTCTGGACTCTGATATCATGAAAATGAAATATGAAATTCATTTTTAAGTATACTTGGAAAATTGTGTAATGTTACAAATGAATAAGATCTGGCTGTAAAGTTGCCCCGTGGTTAGGTAGCGTTTATGGTGAAAACTGGAACTGTACCACGGTAATGTAAGGAAAAATGATGTGGCTCCTTAGAAGTATAGAAGGCACCCGAAGTAACTCAGTGTTACCATAATGGGATAAAGAATGGCTGCCTGAATCTCACAGCCAAATCCCTTTCTGCATTCATTGCTAGTATCTGGCTGGGTTTTGGGTCCCAGCAAGCATCGGATGAGTAAAAGTGAGCATTGAAAAGCCCCAGAGTGTCTAAATGGCCACCTGATCAGTCAGAGGAACAGTGAGCTTTGGTGGGTGCAGTTTTCTTTGTTGGGCTCAGGAAGCAGAGAAGAACAGCTGGAAGGAACATGTTCTCATGGGATTGAACCTGAAATGGAAACTGGTAGAACCGCAGCAGACATGTTGCCTCCTTTGGCCCCACTCTGAAGGCATCTGCGGTGATGGGCTTGCTTTTGCAGGTGACCAGGCAGCTCTACGAGCCCCTCGTCATGCAGCTGATTCACTGGTTCACCAACAATAAGAAATTTGAAAGTCAGGATACCGTGGCCCTGCTAGAGACGATCCTGGTGAGTGAAGTGGGCTCTTCTCTTGCTGTTCCCATCATGTGTATATAGTTTGACTTTTAAGAAAATTCTCTGTGAAGAACCAAAAAAATAGCCTCTACTTTGGAGGATTTTCTTTTTACTTTCATTTTGTTTGTGAAATGCAATTTTAGTGGACACAGTATCATATATTTGAATGAGACTTAAGTATATGTAGATATGCAAGTGGTTATAAATTTTATATACTTCATCTCAATTATCATTGTGAAAAGTAGGAATATTCTTAGACTGGCCAGAGAACGGTGGCAAACATGTGTCATTTAAGAATGAAAGGAATTTTTGAGTGTCTCTAGCATCCAGGGTCAGTGACTGAAGGGCAGAATGAGAAACCACAGCTTATTTTTTAGACAGAACTCCCCTGCAATGGCTCAGAATTTGTTCATCAGCTCACAGGGGGCAAAGGCAGAGAAGTCAGCTAAATGACGTTCTTCTGATGTTGATTCTGTTATCAGAACTTTATATCTGATTCCTTTAATTTTCATCTCATTTGTTTTTTCCTACTATTTCAGCCTGTCATTTTGTGTTGTCATGTATTCACTTTGAAAGGGAAACACCCAGTTTACATGTAATTTTTTTGGAGCAAACCTCTCTTAATTTTGTATTCTTGCAAATTCATCTAAGTTTGGATCTGTTCTGTCTCTTTTTGCTTAGTGTGAAGTGAGCTAGAGCTAAGCGGGAGTTGACAAAAGCATCAGAGAGAAGGAACAAAGGCATCAGGTCCCAGCTGGGGAGGACTTGGGTCTGCTTCTGCAGAGCCTCATGGGAGGAAAGACCAGGAGAGGCATGAGACAGAGCAGTGCAGGACCCTGCCTGATATGCCCAGGATGGCACCCAGGGCCGCATGGCTATACCTGTTGGGTAGCATCATTACTGATGGTGCTCCTTCTAGTGTCAGAGTCAACCTATTCAGGCATCATGTCAGGATAGTGGAGAGTTAGTGAACATTTTATATTATATTAGGTTAGAGCTGTGGTTTTTGGGTCCCTGCAGTGTCCAGACCAGTGAGACCTGCCTATAATAAATACAGTTAATAGAACTTCATTTGTGCCTGTTGCTATTCAGGGATACGTTTATTCTTTCTCTTTGGTAGTTTCTGTGTTGGTTGTTTCTTTGCCCCTTTTGATCCTTGAAGGTGGGTCATGTGAGAGCTTCTGAGGGAGCCAGTGAGGTTACAGTGAACGGAAATGGGATCATGGAGGGAGAAAGGTGAAAAGGAGCTGCAAACCAGGCCATGTGGCACTCGGGTGCAGGAGGTCCCTGATGTTGCTTGCTGTTGACCCTCATGCCGAGGCCAAGAAATGCCACTTGTTCACATTCAGTTTTGACTTCTGAATGGCACGGTGGCCAAGGCTTCCACACATGGCAGATAATGGGGAGTCAGGTAATACTCCTGCATTCTGGTGCTGCTTTCCTGAGAGGGAACAGTACAAGGGGACAACAGAACACTGCTTATTTCTATGTGCACACTGGTCAGATGTCCTTAGTTGCTTTCTATAAATATGTCAAGGCTGTACTGGTGTTGACTGCCCTAGCCAGAAGCTCAACCGCCAGACAATGTAGTTCTTGAAGCAACCGAGGGACTTCTCTCTTCCATCTCAGAGCACCTCAGATGCTGTTCATGGTTTTTATCAAAAAAAAGTGCAGCCATTTATTTTTCTTCAGTGAAGGGAAAGATTTATGTGGCTGTCATGAAAATTCTTTCCCCTCTCTATGGGCCTTTACCTTATTGATGTGTTTAGAAGGATATGTTTTCCATCTACCAAGAAGAAATAGTTACTTGAATCCAGCTTCTGGTCAGCCAACTTGGTTTCCCTGATGTTAACTTCATCCTGATTGGTGCTAAATTTTAGCCGAGTTCAGAGGCAGCCCAACAATACTTGGTCGTCGTGTTCTGAATGGATAAACAAGTACAATGAAGGTCCTTTGGTTTTGTTTCAGGATGGAATTGTGGATCCAGTGGACAGTACTTTAAGAGATTTTTGTGGTCGTTGTGTTCGAGAATTCCTCAAATGGTCCATTAAGCAAACAACCCCGCAGCAGCAGGAGAAGAGCCCCGTGAACACCAAATCGCTGTTCAAGCGGCTGTACAGCCTTGCACTCCACCCCAATGCTTTCAAGAGGCTGGGAGCATCGCTTGCCTTCAATAACATCTACAGGGAGTTCAGGTACGGGAGCAAACCAGGAAGCAGATCCAAGACACTCTTGAAGCTTTCAGTAGGTATTGATTTTGAAGAGGACACAATTCATCCATGCAAACACATATCCTGCTTTATCTTATTATGTACTACATGCTGTCCTGTGTTGTGGGGATTAACATTTATGAAGGTTTAATTTACACACAAGAAACTTGGAAATGACTGAGCAGTTAGGCATTCTAACCTAAAAGTATAGCCCTTTTGTAAATGCAGCACAAGAATTCTATAAAGGGCCTTCTGGAAGCCAGTCGAAGTTCTCCAGAGGCCTGCCTGCCAGTGGAGTTTATTCTTGAGAAAAGACTTCAGGCAGATGGAAGCCAGCCGAGACTTGTCAGATCGCAGAGTGGGCAGGGCTAGGAACTGGCTGTGACCCCTGTTGATGCAGGAGCCTGGCGTTCCTGGACTGCAGCATTTGCCAGGGGAGGGAAGCGCTATGAGGCTGGTGAGTAGGCTCTATCTGCCGTGGGAAGTAGTGTGGGTCATCTTTGCTGACAACCCTTGGAGAAGTGAGTGGCACACTTGGATTTTCTCCCTGAAGTGGCCTGCTGGTGGCTGTGTGGAGAGTGGACCCTAGTGGGAGTGAGGTTGAGGGCCATGACATCGGGGAGGAGGTTGTTGCTGAAGCCTAAGGGACCACGCATTAGTCACTGTCCTCAAAGGCACTGCTGTGTGCTTGCTCATTCTTTCATCCCTTCATTTCACATTATTTATTTGTAATAGTATGGGCTGGGGTCTGTGCCAATGATGGGGGGCTGCACTTCAGAAAGAGAGATAAGAATGAACTAGTCACATAGCTAAATATAAGGATTTGTGGCTGAAGTCAGTGATGTTAAGTAATTGTACGCTATTAGTAATAGCATGAGGTACCTGAGCTTATTGGGTCAGAATATCCTCTCTGAGGAAGTGGTAGTTGGGACAGAGTTGAGTAAACAATGAGAAGGTGAAATGGGTAGTTAGGAAGATGTAGCAAATAGATGACAGTCTGGAAGAGACCAATGATAAAAAAGTAAGAGGATGCATGGATGAGAATCTGTGTGTGTGTATACATTTGTGTGACTACTTCGAGTTTGAAGTCATGTTACTTTTTAGCTTTTTAAATTGTGACCTATGTGCAAAAGAGCATATGAAACATGTGAAGTTTATATACTACTAATAAGACAGGTTCTGCATAGTCATTCTTGAGATCAAGAAATTGCCAGTGTCCTGGAAGCCTCCCAAACTGTGTCCACCCTCGCTCACCCAGAGGGTTCATTGTCCTAACTTTTATGTCACTTTCTCCTTCTTTATAGTTTATTTACCTCTGCTTCTGTGTCTGAACACTGTGTTCCTGCATTTTATAAGACTGACGCTACTAATTGTAAGCAGAGCTATGTGAGGCCAGGGCCATCTCCTGTCAGGTTGGGGGTCTTGGGAGACAGGCTCCTGAGTGGGGATTGGAGAGATTGCAAGAACCCCATCCAGGGAGGAGATGGTTCCAGCAGGGGTAGGGGAACATCTGGCCCCACCAAGGGCAACCACAGGGGAACTTGAAATTCAGTGGATCTGTAGAGGGCTACATTTTTAGTTGATATTTTTGTATGGCCCTTGACAGAAGACTGCCCACCCCTGTTGTACAGGATCCACAGTTAGTCCTGGTCAGCAGGTTTATCTGCTGGGAGTTCACTGTTGCAGGTGTGGGCTGCCTTTTGGGTTCTGCCTCTCAGCTCACAGTGAACTACCCCAACTAACAGGCATGGATCAGAAAGAAATGAGTCCAGTCAGCTGATCTGGGCAGAACACAGAACACAGAACACAGAACACACCCACACATGTGGACGTGGTGGCCAGGTTCAGAGGCCCGCCGAGTTGGGCTCACGTGGGCCTTGTGTCCAGGTTGCAGGCGCCCCGCAGAGCTGTGTGCTGGGGGAGAGAGCTCTCAGCAGTGTCTGCTGTGGGCTGATGCTCTGCTGCTGCTTGTCTCCTAGGGTGACCCTTTTCCTCTTTGCTGTATTTGAGCGTCTATTCTCTTCTCCCTTTGCTCTTGTCATTCTTGCATGCTCATTATTAGTTGATCCACACTTCAATGACTTTTTTGAGAAAGGGTTCCTGGGAAATAAGTTTTTATACTATATCCCATATATCCTATATATGGGAGCCAAGTATTCACTTTTCATGTTCCCCAGAGCTACCTTGGCATAGTTGAGAGCCTTATTTTGTTCCATTTTTCTGTATTTGCATGCTTTCACTGCTTTCCTGGTGCCAAATATAAAAACTCTTGCTCTTCAAATGTCTCTGCCCTTCAAATGTCTCAGCAATTAAATACAGCCAACTTTTATAGTCTTACTCTGAGTTGATTCTCCAAGCGAATGTTTTCTTCTAGCTTTGCCAGTTTGTTTACCAAGCACCACCCCCTTTAACCTTTTTTTTGAATTGAATATTTACTTATTTTTATTGTAAAGTCAGATATACAGGGAGGAGAGACAGAGAGGAAGAGCTTATGTCTGATGATTCACTCCCCAAGTAGCCTCAACAGCCAGGGCTGAGCTGATCCGAAGCCAGGAGCCAGGAGCCAGGAGCCAGGAGCTTCCTCCAGGTCTCCCACATGGTGCAGGATCCCAAGGCTTTGGGCCATCCTCCAGGCCACAAGCAAGGAGCTGGATGGGAAGTGAGGTCGCCAGGATTGGAATCAGCACCCATGTGGGATCCCAGTGTGTGTAAGTCAAGGATTTTAGCTGCTAGGCTACTGTGCCAGATCCCCCCTTTAACCCTGTTTAAACTGCACCTCCCAGCCTTTGCCCCAAGTTCTGTTTTTTGCTATTGGCGTCCTGAATTCTCAGTGTCAGATCTGGGTGTGATACATTGGAGGACATTTGGGGATGAGAGTCTGCCCCACTTGGAATTCAAATTTAAAACTGGAAATGTGTGTGTGTGTGTGTGTGCCTCTATCCATCCATCCATTCGTGTGTTAGCTGATACTCCTGCCAAACCAAACAACAGTCTGCAATTCCTGTCCCGAGTTCTCCGCAGCCTGCATGCCTTGCTTGGCTTCTCTTGTTCTGTGGATGTGCTTCTTCCATGTTGGGGTGCAGCACCCCAAAAGCAAAGGGACAGAAGACTCAAATGGAACTTCTGACTCTATTATCCAAAATCTTTACCCACTGTTTGAGTGTCCTGGGTTGGTAAGAAACACATTTTCTAGTGGGAGAGCTTCCCTCTTGCAGCTTAGTTGTTAGCTTGGATGCCTTGCACCAGCCGTGACTTTCTGGGTGAATAAATAACCTTTTGAAATTCCTTTATTTTGGAAGAATATGGCTATGGCAGTATATATTTATACTCTTGCATTGAATTTAATGAGTCAGAGAAGCTGTTCTAAGCTTACGTGCCAACAGGCCAAGGGATGGAAGAAAAAGGTGGGTTTTGTGTGCACAGAGAAGAGGCCAGTTGTCGCCCCTTTGGTTTATGTCATAGCCTTTTTTCTCAGTCTGCTCTGGGAAGTAGTAGTCTTCTTTGAAAAGTGTCTGAGCCGTTTTTTCTAAACCAAGCGTAATTAGTGTGTGCGTTCTTTGACACCGTTCGTCTCTGCTGTGTGCTCTGTGTTCCGGCTCTTGGGTGAGATTCACTGTGTTTGTTTTCAGGGAGGAAGAGTCGCTGGTGGAGCAGTTTGTGTTTGAAGCCTTGGTGATTTACATGGACAGCCTGGCCTTGGCCCACACAGACGAGAAATCCTTAGGTTCGTCTCCCGGAAGACCTCTGTTTCCTTGCCGAATCTGTTTGCCTTTCAGGTCTTAACATGATTCTGTCACAAGGAGTTGTGTTTTTCTTTTTCCATGTCTCCCACGAACCTGGCAGATATGAAGGGGAGATGTACTTCTCAATGCCTGTTTTCTTATTCTCTCATCCTTCAAGACCCACCATATACCCCTGGTTGCCAAAAAGGCTGACCTTGGTGTCATAGGTGGCAGCTCACCTCTCCATGCCACAGTGCCAGCACCAGCAAAAGGCTTTAAGCTCAGTCTTTGCCTTCAAAGAGTTTGAATTTGCCTTGCTTATCTTAATTGTCCATGTAAATAAATTTTCTCAGCAAGTGGAACTCCACTCTAAAATCATTGCCATATTTTATAAGCATAGGAAGGAAACCTTTTCTTGGTGAGAAAAGACAAAATAAGTTGTGTAATGCTCATTCCTAAATAATTCTAGATTTCCGTGGGTAGGTGGCCATATTATTAAATCATCATGTAATTTATGACTTAGAAGAAAACCAGAGATCACGGAGCATTCGTCCCTTCAGGACAAACCACATAGGCTGTGACCTGGTGTGTGGGTCTCAGAACACCCACAAGGTCCACAAGGTCCCTCCATGTTCCATTTGTCAAGTGAGGCTGTGTTTACCTGGTTCGTGCTGTCTGGTTACATGTGACTTTCCTTTGTGTGTGCAAATGTGCATGTTCATGTACCATATCAAGATGCAGGCTTGAATATGGGTTTTGATTTTGAACCTATGATGTAAATCATTTTTTAAAGTTTATGTTATGTAGTATGAAATGATTTAAAATCCATAGTAAGATTATCTTTGTAATGAAAACACTTAGGCCAACAAGTTCATAATGCTCATTTATTCATTGTAATTCGTGCTATGTCTTCTCTGTACTTGAGAACAGGCACAGTTCAACAGTGCTGTGATGCCATTGACCACCTAAGCCGCATCATCGAGAAGAAACACATTTCTCTAAACAAACCCAAAAAACGGCGCTTGCCACGGTGGGTGTGACTGGTTTCTTTTTTGCCCCGTATGAAACTTACTCTTAGCTATGGTTGTCTGGGATGGATGTGTTCAAGTGTAAGGAATTAGTTTTTTAGGCAAGGAATGTGTGGAAGAGTCCACTTTCTTAAACATGTTGTTTGAAGATGTTTGATTTAAGGATAAACTTTCTATTACCTTAGGTGCAAATGTAAACTTATTTGGGAACTGAGCACTTTATTTTACTAGCACTACTTATAAATGTAAATTTAATGTAGAATTGTTTTCTTAGGATATATGTAAATTATTATCACTTAATTGTTTTATTTAAAGAATTTTCCATAGCATTTTACATGTACTTGTATCTTTTTTTTTTTAAAGATTTATTTCTTTTTTATTACAAAGTCAGATATATAGAGAGGAGGAGAGACAGAGAGGAAGATCTTCCATCCGATGATTCACTCCCCAAGTGAGCCGCAACGGCCGGTGCTGTGCCAATCTGAAGCCAGGAACCAGGAGCCTCTTCCGAGTCTCCCACATGGGTGCAGGGTCCCAAAGCTTTGGGCTATCCTTGACTGTTTCCCGGGCCACAAGCAGGGAGCTGGAAGGGAAGTGAAGCTACTGGGATTAGAACCAGTGCCCATATGGGATCCCGGTGCGTTCAAGGCAAGGACTTTATCTGCTAGGCCATGGCACCAGGCCCACATATTATTGGTTTGTAAAATGTTAAGAGATACAAAGAAAAGTTAAAAACTTTTTTCAAGATGTTTGCTATTGTGCTGGCCCTGCCTCTTAGGCCTGGGGTTGGGTGTTTCTGGGCTGTTGTCCTGGCTGTCCTGGAGAGCATCATCTAAGGTATGTCCTTCGAGTGTCAGAGTTCAAGGGTGTGAACAGCCGCTGTTCTGTAGATAGCTGCTGCAGGTGTCTGGCTGCCGCAATACAAATAAATAAATTTTAAAAAAAGGACATATGGCAGTACTTGGCATGCTGTTCTGTTAACAAAGGCTTTTTAATTTTTCCCGAGTAAAAAAAAAATTAAAAAGTGAAGGTCAGCAGCCTTTTGGCTAGTGATATGTGATTGCGTCCTAATGATGAAACACGGGATGAGTGGCCTTCAATGAGGGGTCTACGTATGTCAGCGTGTTAAAGTTCCCGGATGATTTCTGGACTCTGGGGTTGCCAAACATTGACTTCAGAGTGTGTCAGTGACAGCCGTGTGTTTTGTGTACATAGAGGATTCCCGCCTTCAGCATCTCTGTGTCTGTTGGATGTGGTCAAGTGGCTATTAGCCCGTTGTGGGAGGCCGCAGACAGAGTGCCGACACAAGTCCATTGAACTCTTTTATAAATTTGTTCCCTTATTGCCAGGTACGTTGATCCTTGTATCTTATAAAATGATGGGTTTGACTGTTGTGAGTAGCACAGATAACACAGATTTGTTGAAAATGTGATTCTTCTATTAAAAATAATGGTTAAAAATAATATGTTTTTAATAAATGCAAAATAAAATTATCTTTAGTAATTATATCAGGTTTGTCTGACATGATGTTCTGACTACATTTCTCAAAGATTTATAGAAAGAAAAGGTCCCAATTTCATAGTAGTCAAGTGAAAGACAAGATGATTTAGAATTTCTCAGTGTGATCTTTATTTCAGCTACCATTTTGATTCCTTTCTGTCCCCTTTAAAAAAAGTAAAGAGTGATTGGGTGACCACTATAGTCCACACGATATTCAGTTAGGATTCAGAATATTAAGTTAATGAAGGGATACAATCTGTTTTGCTTTATAATTAATAAAGTTATTGGAGACCTATGTTGAAATCTTCTCAGATCACTGTGCTGCTAAAGGAAAGCAGTGAAGTCAGGCTTTTTGGCAATTACTCACTAAACCATGAAGATTATTGAAGTATTTGCTGAATTTCTCAGGAGTATTTGTTTTAGCTTTCTCCATCAGCTTCAGATCAGGCGTGGTAGCTTTGGTGTGGAGGGGAAACTGTGCCTCAGTATGGAGTAGGTGCTGGCTTCCTCTATCACCTGTGTGGGTACCAGCCTTGAGCCAGTCATGCTGTGTGTGGCTGCGTGTGCCTCTGAGTGGGGCGAGCTTGCTGTAGGGCAGAACGGGGATGGGATCCGTGGTCCAGCTGGGTTTTTATGGAACAAAAGGGAAATGACTTCTTGTTTCTTGTGGTTCCTGAAACTTAGGATCCTACATCTTATGATGCAATAATCTATATATTATCATGTTAGATGAGAGTACTTCAAAAAGTGTGAGGAAAATGAAACAAAAAAATGTTTCTGTGGGGATCTGTATAGTGGGTGAAGCTGCCTCTTACAACGCTGGCATTCCCGGGTAATCACCAAAGCCAAGAGCTTCCTCGGGGTCTCCTGTGTGAGAGGTGGGGCCCAAACATTTGAGCCATTCTCTGCTGCTTTCTCCAGCCATCAACACGGAACTGGAGCAGAAGGAGAGCAGCTGGGACATGGACCAGCACCCAAGTGGGTTGCTGGTGTTGCAGTCAGCAGTCCGACTCACTGTAGCACAGTGCTGGCCCATGAAACGTCCTCTTCGTAAAACATCAGAAATAATTACTGTTTTGACTTCTTCTCTAACTTTGTTTGAATCAGGATGATTTGATTTTTTTTCAGAGCATACAGGATTCAATTTTGTGTATTTCTTCCTTTGATAAAGTTTAGTGTCTAAACAAAAAGCAACTTTGTTTTCTAAAGATACATTTATTTGAAAGTCAAAGCTACAGAGAGGGAAGGACATAGAGAGAGAGACAGACAGAGAGACTTCCATTTGTTAGTTCTCCCCCCAGATGGTACCGGGCAGGGGTGGATCATCCTAAAGCCAGGAGGTAAGAGCTTCTTCTGGATCTCCAGTGTGGGGACAGGGGCCCAGTCACCATGGGCCGTGTCCTGCTACTTTCCTCAGGCTGTTAGCAGGGAGCTATATTGAAGTGGAATAGCTGGGACTAATTCACAGAAGATAACGCGAGAGCTGGGGATTGTTATCATTTTAATTTTCAGATGAGGAACCTGAACCACTGAGAGGTCAGGGCCCTGGCTGGGTGCCCAGTCAAAGCTTTCCTTTGTGCCTGTTTACAGGTGTCTCATATGGGGTCCAGTCATTCTTAAAATGTTCAAAGAAGCTGAAGAGAATGGCTTTGGAGGAATTACCTTCTTAGCAGCAGTTCTAGTGAAACAAGTGATGAGTGCTATAGTAAAACAAAGATTTTCCCATATCATTTGGCAGTTTTAATTAAATGCAGGCGTTGGATTAAAGCAGCTGATTCCATGGAGGTTATTTACATGTGTTTTGTCTCTTTCTGAAGGTGGCAAATCTGCTTCATTATGGCTGAAAGACTTCATCAAGAAAGAAGAGCCCTGTTTCCTCATCAGCACATTCGAAGGAGGTGGTGGTGGTGGTGACCAGCATGCAGGCATCCTTGCTCAGCCCACCCTCTTACACCTTCAGGGGCCTTTCAGCCTGCGCGCAGCTCTGCAGTGGCTCAACCTGCTGCTGGCTGCACTCGAGTGCTACAACACATTCATCCAGGAGAGGACTATTCAAGTGCTGGATGTCCTGGGTAGGTCAGGCTCCGCTGCCCAGTTAACGTGGCCAGTTCTGCTGGGAACCATCCTGGGAACATGGCTGGCCATGTGTCGGAGTCACAGCAGCAGTGACTCTGCCCAGCGTCTGGGGAGGATCAGACCACACAGCCCCAGGCCTGCTACTCTTGCACCGACTCACTCACCAGTGGCCTCAGTGGCCAGAGCTGAGCCTATTTGAATCCAGGAGCCGGAAAATTCTTGTGGGTCTCCCAGGCAGGTGCAGGGTCCCAAGGCTTTGCACCATCCTCTCCTGCTTTCCCAGGCCACAAAAAGGGAGCTAGATGGGAAATGGGGCAGCCAGGACATGAACTGGCACCCATACGCAATGCTAGCACATGTAAGATGAGCACTTTAACCACTAAGTTACCACACCAGATACTATGTTAACAGTATAATCTTATTATTTCTAGATCCTGAAGCTCAGTCTTCACTTTTGAAGGCAGTGGCTTTCTTTCTAGAGAGCCTTGCGACACATGATATTGCAGCAGCGGAAAAGTGCTTCAGCACCGGAGCGACAGGTGACAGGCCCAGCCCGCAAGAGCAGGAAAGGTACAACTACAGCAAGTGCACAGTCGTGGTCCGGATTATGGAATTCACCACAACTCTGCTCAACACCTATCCAGAAGGGTGGAAGGTAGGACTGCTTGTGCTGTGCCCTTAATGCGAGGTCAGTTACATGGCACAGGAGGAATACTTGAAAAGTTCCAGTCTGGTGTAGTTTTGATTTTTCCAGAAATTTCCATTGGCAGAAGAGATACTTCCATTTATTTTAACTGGCAAAAGTTATTTATGTTTTTGGTGTATGACATGATGATTTCACGTATGTATGCATTGTGGGACAAGCCTAAGGAATAGCTCTACCTCAAATACCCAACCATTTTTCATTGTTGCTACTTAATATTTTAAGAATTTAACATCTACTGTCTTACAGATTTTTGAGAGTATAATACATGATTAATTAGCTATAGTGACCATAATGTATAATGTTTCTGAAAATAATAAAGCTTGTCATGCCCCTCAGATTTTCCTTGTGTGACTAAGTTACAAAATGGTCTTTCCAAACTTTTTTTGGATGGTGCATTTCATATTGTGATAAGACATTCATGTTAGGAGGCATTTATTAGTATGTTTGTAAATATGTCTGTGATACTTGGACTATCACACCCCTGCAGCCAGCCCATCACGTGTGTGTGGGACAGTACTTGAGAAATTTCATAAAAATGCATGTTAAGAAAGAAACCACAGTCATTTCTTGTTAAATTCCATTTTCCTGTGACCTTTGGAAGTGCCCTCTCTATCTGAGGCCCTGTTCTGGGCTGTGGTGCTCCAGGTGTGCTGTAAGCCACAGACTGAGCAGCCATGGTCCAGGACAACCCCTGCCACCTGCTGTCCTAAAGAACGTCTCACCGGAACACGGCAGGGCCCCCTTGTCTGTCGGGATGGGATGGGAATCTCAGCAGAAGTCGTGTGACCTCCATGGAACCTGAAGGGTGTACTCTGCAACTCCTGACAGAGGATGCTTTGTAACTCCTGTGCATGTCGAGTGGATGTCCACTTCCTGTCCTGTGGGCCCCTACACTGGGGGACCCTGGCCCCCAGACCCACTTACAGATGTGCTGTCATGCCCACAGCAGGCTTTCTCTCTGCAGCTCCTGGAGAAGGACTTGTGCAACACGACCCTCATACAGCTCCTGGTGCGAACGCTCTGCGAGCCCCTAAGCGTTGGTTTCCACGTTGGTGACGTCCAGGTCATGGACCATCTTCCCAGTGTGTGTGTGAACCTGATGAAAGCACTGAGGCAGTCTCACTTCAGAGACCTCCTGGAGATGCACCTGAAGGAGGAAATGAAAGCACGGAGGTGGGCATGCCATCGTGCTCAGCCACACGTTGTACAGTTGATTCCAGGGTCCAGAACCTTGCAGGACTCCTGGCAACTGTGTGTGTGGCTGCTGAAGTTCATGGGTGGGTGCTCATCTGCTATTTGGAAATCTTGTCATTAGCAAATGTCTTCTGTGTACCTGGGGTCACAAGAAAGGAAACCTGCCATGCAGTTGGCATCACATGTGGTTTTCATGTGGGTCAGTGTGCTGGAGCTATGCCTTCCAGGACTGCGGTACTGAGTCTGAGTGCTGGCTTCTGCAGCAAATGTGTCAGAATGCTTGGGCGTTTTACAGTGTGTGCTGATAATGTGGCAAGATGTTAACTCCCTGAGTTACCTTTTGGTTCTTCCTACATACCAGCCTTGAGGAGCTTTGCACAGCTGACCTGTGGGGTCCCGATGCTCACTTGGAGAGGACCAGACTGGCTTCTGTCGTGTCTGCCTATAAACAGCTCCACAAAGCCGGGCTCCTGCATGTCGTTCTGCCATCTCAGGTAACCACTGCTGCTTTATTCCCATGTTTCTTTCAACTCCATTAAGGTAACTAATTCATGTACACTCTGTTAATAAAAATGCCCTTTTACAGGAAATCCTGGCTTCTAGATACTTGGGCACTTTCTGGGATATAAATGTAAGGGTAGGTACAGGAGTCAGGTGACATCAAGGATTTTTGGATTGTTCTAGAGCAGCCTCCTGAAAACCTGGAAAGCCTACTGTGCTGTGTGGTACGGCCATGTAAAAGCATACTTGAAAAGTGTGGCTTAAAAAGCAGCATTGTGCTAGTGTTCCTGCAGACTGGGAGGAAGTTGCCAGTGTTAGCTAACGTGGGCACGTCCATTGAATCAATGAGAGGTGTGAGGTGGGGTTTCTCTGTAAAATGCCCATTTTTCAGCGTTTCTATGTTGGCTTTGTTTTAGGACCCAGACCTCCAGCGTTCCATTGGCACAAGACTTCTTTCCCTGGTGTACAACAGCATTACTCCTGGAGACGGCACGCAGGGCCTGCCTTCGTTGGAGCCTGGCTGCCAGCGGCTAGCCAGCGGATTCCTGGAGTTGGCCTTTTGTTTTGGAGGGCAGGTAGGAAAAGTACCTGCATGCTCCATTTTCATAACAAGGGAAGGATATGAGCCCAACTCACATCATGCCTCTAGATGCTATGGCATAAACTGGAATTGATTTACACAAGCTTTATTTCCACAAGACTGTAGTAATACATTTTTTAAAGAAGATTTATTTATTTACTTTTTTTGTAAAGTCAGATATACAGAGAGGAAGAGAGACAGAGAAGAAGATCTTCCATCCATTGATTCAATTCCCAAGTGGCTACAATGGCTGGAGCTGTGCCGATCCGAAACCAGAAGCCTGGAACCTCTTCTGGGTCTCCCACATGGGCACAGAGTCCAAGGCTTTGGGCCATCCTTGACTGCTTTCCCAGGCCACAGGGAGGAAGCTGGATGGGAAGTGAGGCTGCCGGGATTAGGACCTGTGACAGTATGGGATCCTGGCACGTTCAAGGCAAGGACTTTAGCCACTAAATTACCGTACTGGGCCCCAGTTATTTTTTTTTTAATGAAAGAAATAGAGCCACATCCTTCTTCAACAGAGGTTTTGTCTTCCTGATTTTATTTTGAGAAAGGGTTTAGGCACAGACCCTTTTGTGAGCATAAAGCTGACCTGTACTGACACACAGGCATCCCCTCCTCATCAGATTTTTGCCATTTTGTTACAGTGGTATAATCCTTCATAAGGGATTATAATTCCATCAGTCTCTTAGTTAAGTGTACCCCAACATTGCTAGTACAAAATCAGACAATCCAGCATCCTGTTGTCTACACTTGTCCAACAGTTTCATTGGGAATCCATCTTTCTTCTGGAAGCAGGGATGCATGTTGCATTATAACCCCACATCTGGATATGATAGACCCCGGTACTCCATCATTATGCATTTCCATAATTGGGAAGCCATGAAACAAGGTCAACCACTGGTATGAGTTAGAATGAGAGCCTCAACAACAACAACGACAACAGTAACAACAAATTACAGCTCCATGAAAAAACATCCCGCTGAGTAACCAACACATGGGTGACAAAAAGGAAATACAAAAGTCTCTTGGAAAAAATGATACCACCGTATAATCCATGAGCCAGCAATGAATTCAACAAGAGAAAAGAGTATTTGGAATAAATAAAACTGAAATAAAAAGCATCAAAACACATAGGATGCAGCCAAAACAAAACAGAACAAAACAAAACAAAACAAAAACAGTTACACTTTCCATGCTGGCTTCTTTATATAAGAGAGAATGTATGGTGTTTGTTCTTTTGTGATTGACTCATTTCAGGCCTCAGTGCTTCTTCCCACAGATGGCTCTGGAGGGCACCTTGAGGCTAGTCCCAGAGGCAGCACAAGAAGTTGCAGTGGCTCTTTGAGCCTTGCAGGACTGACTTCAGAGTCTGCAGTGGCTGAGGTCTGCAGCCAGCCTTGGGCTTCACGGCAGCCCTCGGTCCCCTCTTGTGCAACTGAAACCTTTGTCTCTTTATCTGCCTGGTGTGAACAGTAGCTCATTTGAGTTTGCTGAAAGCATCACCAACTCTGCCCTTGCTGCAACAGCAGTCAAAGATTCTGGAAATCCACTGGTCAGAGGCTGGTCAGAGGAGTTGCTCTCCCAAAATGAAATGTAGGAAGTAGAGGCAAACTAGAACAGGTGCAATGTCACTGGGCCTCAGTTTCCCCCACCAGGCTTGCTTGGGATCCAAGTGGTTTTCTGTGTCCTGGCAGGGAGGACCTGTATCCCCTGCCATGCCACTTTTCTGCTCTTGCAGTGTGAGCACCTCGTGAGTCTTCTCCTGGACACAGTGGTGCTGTCTACTCCGTCCCTGGGCAGCTCTCAGAGAGGCAGCAGCAGCAACAGCTTCTCCCGCGGGGAGTATTTCTATAGCATCTTTCCAGAAACCATCAATGCTGAGTTGCTGAGAAATCTTGACCTCGCTGTGCTGGAGCTCATGAAATCATCAGTGGATAATCCCAAAATGGTAATGATTATGCTTTTATGTAACTTTTTTTGTTTGAATATTATGCTTATAATTAGTTGTCATATCAATGAAATAGTTCACAAACACAAAGCTAGATTTCTTTCTGGAAGATTAAAAGCTTTTGCTAATATTTGAAAAAGAGACAGCACAGCTTAAATCAATAGTTAGTGAGTGGCATTAGGGTGTTGGAACATTATTTTTTCCATTCCCATCCGTTATGGTCCCACAGTTTGTAGGCCTGCCGTAAGGGACAGCTTTGCCCAGTCGTGGTGGCAAAGCTCACCTTGTCGCGAATGTCCTGAGTGAGGACCAGTACTGCCCTGGCCTCATCAGCCCCGGGCCTTTCTGTACTCAGCTGCCGTGGCCTCCTGCCCTGTATTGTTTCCCATGTGCTTCAGGCTGTGGTTCCTCTCTGCCTGCTATGTTGATTCTGGAGACCAGTGTTTAACCATATTTAACCATATCTGGTTTGCCTGAATTTACTGAGCTTCTGGGACTTTGAAAGGTAACCTGTTCTGTGTGGATGGTCAGAGGCAGCCACCCATTGGTGTGGATGTTTCAAGAGAGAGGATGTGCTTTTCTATTACGTAGAGCTTTTACTCCAAAGTACTTGTTTGTTGTAGATGATTGTTTTTTATAGTACTTGCAATGGAATTTTGTTTTGCTTTTTCTCTTTTGGGAAAGATTTGATAACTTAATTTGAAGGACTGAGTGACATAGAGGGAGAGGCAGAGAGATCTTTCATCTGGTGTTCCTTTTACAAATGCCCATTACACCATGGTTGGGACAGGCAGCAGCCAGGAGTGAGGAGCTCTGTCCAGGTCTCCCGTGGGTGGCAGGGGCCTTGTACATGCTCATCTCCCACTGCTTCCCTAGGCACACTACCAGAGAACTGGGTTGAAAATGGAGTTTCTGGGCCATGAAGTGGCACTCTGATGTGGGATGCCAATGTTGCAAGTGGTGGGTCATCAGAATGAGCTGAGTCATGATGCCAGCACCTGGATTTATTATTCTTACCATCAAAAATGAAGTTGGGTAGACCCACAACACTCATGAGACTTGGTATTTTCAGGTTTTGAACCCTGCACACTTTTTTGATGAAAATGATGGACAAAATCCTATACATGGCTTCTTCTCCCAGATCCTTTAAAATGACAGAATGAGATTTAATGGGGTTTTAAAAAGACAACAAAGTGGTTTTTTTTAGCTTGTTTGTTTTTAAATTTACTTGAAAGGCAGAATTACAGAGAGAAGGATTTTTCATCCACTGGTTCACTCCCTAAATGGCTATAATGGCTGGAACTGAGCATGTCTAAAGCTGGAAACTAGGAGCCTGGAGTCTCCTCTGGATCTCCCTTGTGGGTGAAGAGACCCAAGGACTCATACCATTCTCTGTTGCTTTCCCAGGCACATCAACAGGGAGCTGAATGGGAATTGGGGCATCTGGGCCTGAACTGGTGTCCATATAGGATGCTGGCACCAAAGGTGGAGGCTTAACTTGTTATGCTATAGCACTGGCCCTAGAGACAACACATTCTTAAAGAACAAGGAGAGGGCCCAGCATGATGGCCTAGCAGCTAAAGTCCTCACTTTGAACTCACCGGGATCCCATATGGACACCAGTTCTAATCCTGGCAGCTCCCCTTCCCATGCAGCTCCCTGCTTGTGGTCTGGGAAAGCAATCAAGGACGGCCCAAAGCCTTAGGACCCTGCACCCGTATGGGAGACCTGGAGGAAGTTCCTGGCTCCTGGCTCCAGATCAGCTCAGCATCGGCCATTGCGCTCCCTTGGGGAGTGAATCACCAGACGGAAGATCTTCCTCTCTGTATATCTGACTTTGCAATAAAAATAAATAAATCTTAAAAACAAACAAACAAACAAAAAACCAAAAAAACAAGGGGAAAGGGAGTCGGGGAGGTGGGAAAGCTGTAAGCACAAGGACAAACGTGACAGATTTCTGAGTCCACGATGGCTATGATGGAATCTGGCGGAGAGAGCCTGGGCAGTACTGTGTGGAGTAGGGTATACAGGACAGGTTGAGGGGCAGAAGGGAAGATTGTGGAGAGTCAGTCTCCCTGCTAGTTCTTCCCTGTCTCTAGTGCTTGGCGTTCCTGCTGTCGGAGCAGCCTAGCAACAGCAGTTCTCTGGAGGGTGCAGATCTGAGCCTGGCTGGGTGGGAGGGTACCTTCACAGCAGTGAGTCAGTTAGGCCTGCATAGTCCTTTCCTTTGCCTCGTCTAGCCACTGGTGTAACTTGGACTGGGTCTGTGCCCTGGTTGGGGAGTCAGGATCTGTTGACCCATCATCACTGCAGCCTTGGGACTCACAGTGAGCGTCAGGCTGGCACACTCCGGCAGTTCCACAGGGTGAGCCTGGCCTGAGCACATGGGCCTAGAAGCCTCATATTCTAGGACAAGGCAGCTCTTCATAGAGGATTAAACAGTTCAAACCATGCACTGAGGTTTAAACAGAGGCAAAAGAAAACTTCAAAGGGATGAGATTCTGTCTATATTAAATAAGAGTCGAGGCTAAAAGAGAACAGCAGAGAACAAAAAGGACCCTAGGGGAATGGAGCATGGGCATCAGAAAATAAAACTGGAAGTGTCGTTGAGGGGCTCTCCAGTGACTAGATGCACACACAGAGAATGGGGAGCAGGGGAGGAAGGAACCTGGGGCATGCGGCAGGAGCTTGGCTCCAGGGGGCAGGGCCAGGGAGCCTTTCACTGATGCCACAGTGTGGGGGTGCGGTGGGGAGTGTGCTCAGAAACCAGGGATAGGAGTTCTGCATGGTGTGTAGAGAGGGGTACCTCCTGAAGTGCAGTTTCTGAGTGATGCAGCCACCAGGCCTGGGCATTGGCATAGAATAGTGAGAACTGAGTGTCCACAAAGGCAGAGCAGAACTTCCTGGGCAGAAGTGATGTAATTAATTTGGGAGCAGTTGATTCCAAGTTAAGATAGCTATGTTGAGACAGCCAAGAGAGTAGACCGAATTCATTTCAGAGAGGACAAAATGAACAAGGGAAGTGATGCTGTTACACTACCTGGTACGCCTGTGATACCGACTGTTGATACACTCCAAGTTCAGCTGTCACTCTGTTGGAATGGTGACTGTGGGACAGCACATGTGTGTCTGGGTGTGTACACATGTGTTCATGCAGTGATGATGGTACAGGCACAGATGAGACCTCATGCTTCTCCAGGCAGGGCTCTGTTGAAGATGCCCTGGAGTAAGCACACTGGGAGTGGCAAGAAGAATGCGTGGACTAAGGTGAGGCCACCCCTGCTTTCTCTGGGGAGAGTTTGTGTTTTATCGAGGTACTGTTCTCAAGTTCAGGATTTTGGGGTAAATACCTATTACAGAAATGGTCTCTTGACCAGAAGAGATTTGGAGTAAGAGTTTGTTTGGTCTCAAGCTGTTGCTGTCAGTGCTGACCACTCTCCTTCTGTCACCACACACTGTTTCAGGTGAGCACCGTTCTGAATGGCATGTTAGATCAGAGCTTCCGGGACCGGGCCAGTCAGAAACAGCAAGCACAGAGGCTGGTCTCCACGATTCTGCAGAACTGGAACAAATGTGACTCATGGTGGGCCAGGGAGTCCACACCCGAGAGCAAAATGGCAGTGCTGGTGTTGCTGGCCAAGATTTTGCAGGTACTTTGGGAATCTCTAAAAGATAGTCATGTTTGTTGTTTTGTGCAGCTGGTGTCTTTAAGAATGTGATGGAAGGTGTTTCAGAAGCTTCCTGATTGGACAGGAAATAGTTTGAAGGGCTGACAACTGGTTGCATTGCATTTTTAAAAAGATTCTTCCATGATCTGACATCATTACTTCTTTTTGACAATTTACTTTTTTAGTGTACCATTTCATGCATTGTTTAACTGGTAGGCAAGAGTGATGAAATGGTGTTGAAGCTCAAGATCAAGTTCATGGTCTCTTTCTGAAATCTAAGTATTTGAAAAATGTAGTACAGGAATTGGAGGTATCATAAAGCAATATGTCTTGTTTATTTCCTTTCTTCCAGATTGATTCCTCTGTATCTTTTAATACAAATCATAGTGCATTCCCTGAGGTCTTTATGACATATACCACTCTACTTGCTGATTCACAGTTGGGTTTACACTTAAAGGTAAGTGATTTAAAATTATTTTCTCAGATGAAATTCTGTTTTAATTTCTACAGTTTTGCATATTTTGATTTTTAGGATTCAATTTAAAACTCTCAAACATGTACAAAAATATACTAGCACAGTGAGCTCCAATGTTTGTGACCGCCTGGTCTGGATAGGTATAGGTGTGTGCACAAGTTTGTTGCAGGGGTGGAGTTAGCCCATCCTTCACCTCGGAGGAAACTCTGGGTCTCCACGTGTCAGAACTGCACATGCTTGAGTAGGTCTGCATCACGGAGGGAAGTATTTCTTCTCTATGTAAGTCGGAGATTATCTTACCTCGAAGAGTTGACATTTGTATTTGTTTTCTGTTGCTGTAACAAAATGCTTGAGACTGCAATAAAGAGAAATTTCTCTTTTTCTCACATTTCTGGAAGCTAAGAAGTCCAAGAACAAGACTCTGGCATCTGCCTGGCATCTGGTGAGGGCCTTCTTGGGTTGGTTAAATGGTGAGGGCATCCTGTGGAGAGACAGAGCAGACTGGTACCTCAGACATCCTGCTCTGCTTAGAAAACCACTGATGCCATCCAGGGGATCCCACCTTCAGGACCTCATCTAATCCTAAGTACCTTCCGAAGGTCCTGTCTCCAAACCTCATTAGTGTATACTTAGAAATTAAGTTTCCAAAAAATGATCTTTAGGGAAAATGTTCAACCCATACCACTTTTCTTATTGTCTGTTGGAATTGCTGCATTGACTGTATTAATTCTTTTTTTTTTTTTCTTTTTTCCTTCTTCTTTTTTTTTACTTAACATGAAATCTCCTGGTTATCTTTAAGGTAAAGGATTTAATATTGTAATTTTTAAAAAGATTTATTTTTATTGGAAAGTCAGATTTACAGAGACAAGGAGAGCCAGAGAGAGACATCTCCCATAATTGCTTCAATCCTCAAGTAGCCACAAAGGCCAGAGCTGAGCCTATCCAAAGCCAGAAACCAGGAGCTTCCTCCAGGTCTCCCACATAGGTGCAGGGTCCCAAGGCTTTGGGCAATCCTCCACTGCCTTCCCAGGCCATAAATGGAGCTGGAGGGGAAGTGGAGCAGTTGGGACATGAACCAGTGTCCATATGGGATGCCAGCATTTGCAGCCAGAAGAGCTATTGTGTTTGACCCCTAATATTCTGATTTTAAGGTTGCTTCTTTTAAAGTCCTGGAAGGGAAGTTCTCCCCCCCCCCCCCAATAAATCTCTTTTTAAAAAGATTTATTTTTTTTTCGGAAGGCAAATTTTTACAGAGAGAGAAGGAGAGACAGAAAACTCTTGTTTACTCCCCCAATGGCCACAATGGCCAGAGCTGAGCTGTTCTGAAACTGGGAGCCAGGAGGTTTTTCCTGACTTCCCATATGAGTGCAGGGGCCCAAGGCCATTCTCCATTACTGTCCCAGGCCACAAGCAGAGCAGCCATGACACAAATCGGCATCCGTGTGTGATGTGAGTGCTTGCAGGCAGAGGATTAACTTGATACATCACTGTGCCGGGCCTCAGTCCTTACATTTTTCAATGAAAGGGATCTTTTTCTGTTCCATGTGATCTGGTTAGTCAGGTCTGCCTTTGTGTCTGGACAGGAATTTCTTTTGTGCTTGGAGAGCTGCCTCAATATGTTGTCTTGTATAAGTGTGACATGGAGTTGAAGTTTGCCTCAGAGGTTATTCAAGATGCTCTTCCTCCACAAAGCATGCAGTTCTGCTAGGGTCACTATAGACTTGGATATAGCATCCCATGTATTTCCACGTGCACAGCCCCAGGTCAGCCCCGGACCACTGGACTCCAGGCTGAGGTTGGCTTGCAGTATAATCGAGAGTTGTTCTGAGGTCGCTCATGGAATCCCAAGTGCTGTGTCTGCAGAGTCTTTAATAGGTCAGAAAGTCATTTGTAGTGCAGGATTGCAAAGTCACCAGCAGTGTACCCTCAGGTCTGTGTTGTTCTGCAGGGCCAAGCCATCATTCTCCTGCCGTTCTTCACGGGTCTGGCAGGAGGCAGCCTGCAGGACCTCAAGCGCGTCCTGGAAAAGGTCATCGTCTCTCACTTTCCAATGAAGTCTGATGAGTTTCCCCCCGGAACACTGCGCTACAACAATTATGTGGACTGCATGAAAAAGGTTAGTTTCAGGTTGTGTGAACTGAAACTGAAACAGGGACTGAGTTTCTGTTATATTTCTTGATGAAGACACCTGTGATATAGCCAGAATCAGGAATACTTCAACTGCCAAGAGTTCTACGTAATTCATTTGAAAACTTGGCTTCTGCAGAGCTGGGTGTGTATGTCAATCCCTTGGAATTCACTTTCTCTGTTTAAACATTCTTAAATATGCTATGCATAAGAACAGAATTTATAATGTCTAAGTAAGTTATGAACAGTAAAACCAAAAGAAGCTAAGAAATAGAATGTTGCCATATGTTCTAAATTCTGAGATTTAGCAGAGTGGTGACTGAGAAGGATTGAGTGATTATCACTGACACGACTTACTGTACCTCTGGAAATCCCCATGGTACTGGTGGCCTGGATGAGGAGGTGTTTCTGTGCAACTATGGAGTGTTGGCATGGGGAAGCTCCTTGATTTTCAGGGACCCTGTGTTGGTTTGCCTTTGTGCTCACACAGCTTCCAGCCTGTCCCGCTCATGCTGAGTCATCCTCTTCTGGAAAGCAAGAAGCTGGAAAGGGTGGCAGAGAGCGCAGCCCAGCCCAGCCCAGCCCAGCCTGTGCCTGCCCCAGGTCTTCCTGCAGGCAGCACATGAATGAGTTCTGCTGATAACCATTTGCCTGCTGCAGCTGTGGCAAGGCTACGAATGTTTGCACTGTGTACTCAGCTAGAATTCAGGAGTTCACAACCCTTACTGGAAAAAAACAAGAGAGTGACCCTTGGAGTGGGTGTTGTCTGCCATCTTCATGATGCACTGAGCTTTGGGAGAAGGTCTGAAGTCCCCAAAGTACTGAGATAAATGGTGTCCGTTCTCAAGGAGCCTATAAGCAGAGCAAGAAAGAGTCAGAAGGCAAACAGAACCAGTGATTAAAGCCCCATGATGAACACTGAGGTGGAAACACATGGAGGGTCTAGGCGTGGAAGATTGGGCTGTGTTCTGAAGATGCCCATGCTAGTACACCCTGTCCTGCATGCTCCTCAACAATGAGAGATGTGACTGTTACTCCTCCTGTTGGGAGTGTGCTGCACTTTTCTGAGAAAGAGAATGCAGTAGAAGGGTAGCTGCCTTTTTGGCCAAACCCAGGACTGTCCTGAAAGACGTCACTGCTTTCTCCCTAATTGGTCTCTTTCTTGGGTCCTTTGTCCCTGGGACTCAGTCACCAGGTTGTGATACAGGAGCCAAATGACTGTGGGGAAATACCAGTTGATAGATAGCACCTGTCCACATAAACGCTCAGCTTGCCCTCTGTGTGTACTTTGGTTCAAGGGTTTGGAACAGTTGAATGTCCGTATAACCACCTGCTTACTTTGATAGTTGCTAGTACTGTGTCATATGTGCTTTATCCATATGTGTGCTTATGCAGGATTTTTGGTTTGTTTTGGCTGAAATATTTGCAAGTCAGCTTTACACATGCATGCTTCATCCCTAAATGGTTCACCATGCACTTCCTGAGAATAGACAAAACTGTCACCCAATCGAAGGAAAGATCTGCCAGTGCCTTCTGCAAGTTAATAACCTTCATATTTCTCCAGAAGCCCCCACGTGTAGCTGGCTTGTTTGTTTTTTGAGATAGGATATAATTGATAACTGCACAAGTTGTCTCCAGTCTTTGATCTGAGGAAGTTCACAGTTCCTTGTCCTGTGAGAATCAGTTTTTGGAAGAAATTGGGGGAGCTTTTCATGCGTATTATTTGCCTATTTGAGAGGCAGAGAGACAGAGAGGGAGAGCACCTGTCTGTGGTTTACTCTCAAAATGCTTATGGCTGCTCTTAGTGAAGGCAAACCAGGAGTTAGAGGCTCAATCCAGCAACCCATTACCTGCTACTTTGCTATTACCTGCTGCTTTGCAGTATGAAAGAGTGGACACTGATATCAAACTTTTGCACTCCAATAGGGGGTACAGGTCAGATGCCACCTGGTCACACGCCCGACCCACAGGTTAACCTTCAACAATGGTGGGATGGCATCATGAAACTGTCCCTGCTGCTGACCTCAAATCTGGCCGCAGGCTGAAGTAGTACCTTCCCTCTGTCTCTGTTATATGGTATATTTTCTTTCTGTGATAAGCAAGTGAACAGTGGAGTGATGCATTAATGTTGGTATCAGGTCAACAGCTTGTTCCTCCCAGTATGCTGCTGTCTGCAAAGATTCTAAATCGACACTAAGTAACTTCTCTTTGATGGTGTCTTCATACAAATGTTAATGCAAATAATAATTGAACATCTGGGAAAAAATGCCAACCAGCAAGAACAAGGAGCTCAGCAAGAACCTAGTCTGAGAGCAGCCCAGACCAGGCCTGGTAACAGTACCCACCAGCATATGTGTGGCTTAGGCCTGGGGCAGGCCAGGCTGGGCCAGTTCATAACACCCACTGGCAGATCTGAGAACCAGGATGGGTGCAGGATGGGCCAGGTGGGGCCACAACACCAGCCAATTCACATTAGGGCTGAGACTAGGGGCTGGCTGGACTGGGCTAGGCTGTAGCACCCACCAGCAAGAGCTGGAACCAGGGGCAGACCTGGCCAGGCTAGGCTGTAGCACCTGCTGGCAAATGCCGAGGTAAGGCAGGTCATGGTGGGCTGGGCTGCAGTACCTACCAGCACATGCAAGACCAAGGGTCAGGGTGTGAGCCCGGCATAGGGGCTGTAGGGGGCTCCCCTGCTGGGCCACTGCTCCTACTGGTGAGTGTGAAAGCTGGGACTTGGAGCAAACCAGGCAGGCCAGGGCCACAGTACCTGCATGTGAACAGGGTTAGGGGGAAAGTCCATTGGTACATGTATAAGCCAGAGTAAGTGCAAGCTAGTTGGGCTTTGCTGTAGCATCAACTGGCAAGTGCTAGGACTGGGGGCAAAACCTGTCATGCTAGACTGTAGAATCACCTGGAGATTGAAAGATCTGGGAGTGGGAATGGGCCCAGTAAGGAAACTGTGGGTATCTCTCTGATGGACTGCAACTCCCACTAGTGAGCATGAGAACTAGGGCTGGGGACGAGTCTGGATAGACAGGCAGTGGCACACACTGGCATGGGTGTGGGCTGGATAGTAGGGTCAGTTGGGTTGAGCTAGGCTTCAATGCCCATTGACATGTACGAGAGCTGAATGGAATGTGGAACAGATTGAATGAGCATTGGCAAGCACAGGAATCAGGGCTGGGCACAGGCCTAGTAGGGATTACTGTAGGTCATTTCAACTAGGCTGAAGTTCCTGCTGTTGTGTGTGAGGGTTGAGTGTGCAGTGAATAGTGGTGGGCTGGGCTGCAGCACACATTGGTTTATGTAAGAGATGAGGCTGGAGACAGAACTGACCCAGCAATTGCAACTACCAGTATCTGCATAGGCTGATGTGGGTGACAGACTGAGCTGGACCTTGTACTGGTAAGCAGTCAAGTCTGGGATCACTTCAAATGAAGTTTCTTTGGGGAACTCCCCCACCCACCCAACTGAACTGCTGGACTCAAAACTCCAACCATGGGGAGAATTGCAGGATCTGTAGTCTGACCATGGAGTGCATGTGTCAGAGCTGGGCCTCCTTAGTGGCTAAGATGGAGCAGTGGCAGACATACCCAAATGCACATGGAGAATATGACAGAATATGGCAGTCCAATGGGGCCTACAGAGGACATCTGTTGTCATAACAGAGGGTGGAGGACAGAACAAATTGGCCAACTACCCCAGCTAAGCATTGGCAGCAAATATCTGGGTGAATGGAGACTCTAAAGTGGATTTATCAGCCAATGAAACTTGGAATGATTTCCTCATCTTAGGATAGGTGAGATAAACAGCATTTCAGAACTATCGAATCTACTTGAGCAGAACTCGGAGCATCCTCCACATTAGGGACTCTGGGATGACATTGGGTGGCCATTCCCTTCCCCAGGTACTGAGGCGGTTGGGAGGCTGGGTGCTGCTTCTCCCCATCCCCCCAGACACAGGAAGAAGTAAAAGAAAAATTGGCAACAGTGGTTTCACTTACTTACCTAGTCCTTCCCACCCTAATCAACTATATAAACACCATCAAACATAAAACTTGTGTATTAAAAAAATAAAAGGAGTTCAGAAGGAAGAACTCAAAAACATTGCAGAACAGTGTCAGAGATGGAGAGCAGACCATGAAGGGCATCTCAGAGTTAAAAATGTAAAAGCAAGGTTGAACTAGAGCTTAACTTGTTATGTTGGGAAAATAAAAATCCAGAGTGACTCCTACAAAGTCAGCAGACTCAGAGATGGGTGAGAATGTCAGAACAGCCCGGGACATCTGATGTAAGTGTGGTAAAGAAGCACGAGGCCAAGACTGCCTGGCTTGTTAGAGGAAGAGGACCTCAGAGAAGTGGTGTTTCAGAACCAGAAACAGCTGCAAAAATAAAAAGAATTACAATTGAAGTTCTTCACATACGTTGTTATATGCCAGGCAGTTTTTGTGGCTGCAGAAATGACAAAAATAATAACTTTGGACAATTCTCAGAATTTGTGTTATACTCTATTTTCAGAAGTGAAAATTAAAAACCCAACAGATTTTAAAAAATATTTAATTGTTTTATTTGAAAGGCAGATTTACAGAGAGAAGAACAGAGAAAGAGATATTGAGGGAGAGATCCTCCATGTGGTTCACTCCCCAAAGGGCCACAACAGCCAGAGATGAACCAAAGCCAGGAGGCAAGATCCTCATCCAGGTCTCCTATGTTGGTACAGAGACCCAAAGACCTGAGCCTTCCTCCGTTGTACTCTCAGTCAGTAAGCGAGGAGCTGGGTAGGAAGTGGAGCAGTTGGGACATGAACTGGCACCCAAATGGGATGCTGGCTCATGCAGGCAGATGATTAGCTTGTTGAGCCACTGTACCGGCCCCCTGCAACAGAGTTTTGATGGTGGTGGTGGTTTCTTTCCTAGCTTTTAGATGCATTGGAATTGTCTCAGAGCCCCGTCCTGTTGCAGTTGGTGACAGAAATTGTTTGTCGGGAACAGAAGCATGTTATGGAAGAGCTATTTCAATCCACTTTCAAAAAGATTGCCAGAAGGTAAGCTGTTGTAGTCTGGAACCCCAAGAAATAGCCACATTTTATTTCTGTGGGAACTTTTCTTCTTTGTTTCAAAAACAGTTGAGTGTCAATTGAACTTGCCACCACATTTTATTTCTTTTTCTCTAAAACAATATAACAAACCAAGCCCTATTGTGAAACTTTTAAACATGCTCTGAACTATAAGTGTAAATGAAGCTCTGGATTAAACGAATGTTATGCTTTACCAGCTTCACACCTTGTAACCTTACCTTTTTTTCTCTTTTGCTGCTGTTGTTATAATTATTATTTTAAGATTCACTTATTTTTGTTTGAAAGGCAGTTACAGAGTTACACTGGTTCACTCCCCAAGTGGCCGAAAAGGCCAGAACTGAGCTTATCCAAAACTAGGAACCAGGAGTTTCTTCTGAGTCTCCCATGTGGGTGCAGGGGCCCAGACATTTAGGCCATCTTCTGTTGCTTTCCTGGGTGCAGTATCAGGGAGCTGGATTGAAAACAGAGTGGTTAGGACTTGAACTGGTGCCACATGGAATGCTGACACTGCAAACGGAAGCTAGTTTGCATAAGTGCCAGCCCCTGTTACTGTAACTTAATGCATATCTCTGGCATCATCCTGTTTCACATCTAAGTCCTGTACATATATCTAAATGCTGTTTTCTTTTATAGCTATATTGGTATTATCACATGTGTAAAAATGTTAGTAATTCCATACTCGAGATTTCCCTACTGGTCTCAAGTGTTTACTTATCATTGAGTTATTTGGGTGTTGATCTGAACAAGGACCCCTGAAGTAACTGAGCCATCACCTTCTGCTTCTCAAGGTGTACTTTAGCAGGATGCCGAAGCAGATGTGCAATCTCGGGCTCTAACCAGATCTAACTCTGCTATGTGATCCAGGCATCCTAACTAGTGACTTAACTGTGCCAATCAGCCCCTTTATTTCTTGTAACTTTAGAGATAACAGCGCCCAATGTGATGACTCCAGTGGCTGAATCTTTGCCTTGCAGGTGCTGGGGTCTCAAATGGGTGCCAGTACATGTCCCAGCTGGTCTGTTTCCATCCCGCTCCCTACCTGTGGCATGGGATGGCAGTCAGGATGGTCCAGGGCCTTGGAATCCTGCACCCACATGGAAGACCGGGAGGAGGCTTCTGGCTCCTGGCTTCAGTTGGGCTCAGCTCAGGCTGTTGCAGCCACTTGGGGAACAAACCAGTGGACAGAAGAGCTTTCTCTTTATTTCTGTCTGTGGAAATAAATAAATCTTTAAAATAAATAAATAAACTTAGCGATAACACTGTCATGAAGAATTTATCCCCATCATGTATATTGTCTGCAAAATACAGGGAAAAACATGAGGCATATTTGATGGTGATGTTTGAAGTCAGGGCTAGATACAGTGGCTTCTTGAAATTGTTATACTTCTAGCAAATTTGTGAATATTGATATAAGCTTGTCTTTTTGAGTTCTATATAACTTCTAACAAAATTCGCTTTATCTAAGTACACAATTCAGTGATTTTTAGGAGCAGTCTTGCATGGCGAAAACACCACCGTGGAGCATTTTTATCCTCTCGTGTGATCACCATGACCGTGTAAAATTGATTTCCATCCCTTGCCCTCAATTTAATTTCTGTCTTTATGAATTTGCTTTTCTGGGCATTTTTTGTTTAAAATGCTATTTGGATATGGTCTTTTATGTCTGGTTTCTTTATACAGCATAATAATGTAGCATGAATTAGTAGTAATTTATTACTTTTTATTGGCCTTTAAAAAAGTCAACATGAACCAAATATTTGGCCCAAGAAAAGAACATACATTCTTTTTTGGGCACACAGGGAATTGCTTTAGGAAAAACCACATGCTAGGCCATAAAACAAGTCTTAATACAATTAGAAGGGTTAAAATTATGCTGAGAGTATTCTCTGATCAAAATAAAGTTAAATTGGAAGTCAACAACAGAAGTAAACTTGGAGAATCTGAAAATATTTCTAAATAACTTGTTCATTAATAACACATTTCTAAATAACCCTTCAGCTATGGAATTATTAGGAAAATCAACTTGGGCTTTGAATAAAGTGGGAGTGAAGCCTGTCCGGCTTCCTGAGCTGCACCTGAAGCATTGTGCAGACGGAAACATCAATCTTTTAGTGTTTGTATTAGAAAATATTTCAAATCAGTGATTTAAACTTTCTGTGTTTCTGTAAAACAGAGGGGAGGGTGGAAACAAAGGGGGTGCTGAAGGAGTAGTAGTAAAGATTTGAGTCAAAATAAAAGAAACAGAAAATGGGAAAGTTTCATGAAACCATTAGCTAAAATCAAAGCAAAATTTGTAAGGTTCTGTCGCCACTGACTACTCTGAAGTCTAAAAAAACTGCAAAATACCTTCAGTAACTTAACTGAAATGGGCAAATTCATGAAAGTCACACATTATCCAAACTGTTCAAGAATAATACGAAGTCTGAATAATACATCTGAGGAGTAAATGAACTGAATTAATAATACACATAGGCATTTTTTTAATCCCAAATAGTTTCACAGGTGAGTTTTATCAAATATTTAAAGAAGAAATAATAGCAACAATGCTTGTTGAATATACAACAATGCTTATTAATATGCTATTAGAAAACTGAGGCAGGTCAAACACTTTTTAGCTGCTTTTGTGGGAGCAGTAGTACCTTGATAAAAAGACCAAAAAAAAAAAAAAGATTACAAGCAAATTGCAGTCCAATGTCCCTCATGGATATAGACCCAGAAATCCTCAAAGGTATGTTAGCAAGCCAAACCCAACAGCATATAAAAAGTATAGACCACAACTAATTGGCAAGACTAGTTTTATACTAGGAAATCAGTGTCTCATGCGATGTTAATGGAAGAAAAGGAGAAAAATGTAATTTCAGTCAACACAGAAAAAGTTGTTGACAATCAAGCAAGGTCTTTCCTCCTTCCCTGCCCCTGCCTCTTTGCAGATTTATCACTGAAGAAAGGGGACTGTGATGACATGCTGGTATAGTGAATCCAGAATGTGCCGGGCCTAGAATGCCAGCCAACTGTTGGCTGCTTTCCTCCCAGTAATGAAACACTTACCTTGAAACAAGTTAGCCTGGGGAATATCATAGTACATTTAATCTGCCTCCTACTAATGGCTGTGGATTTGATTTTTGAATATAAAAACTGTTGCTGCAGGGAATCACCAATGGCTTATGTCATTTTGTGTTTTGTTGTACCTTTTTTGAGATAGATTCCTAAATGTTTGCCTGTAATTTCGCTAGATATCTCCACTGCCTTTGTTCGAGACTGTATTGTATGCGTTCCTGCAAGCAGTGTGCAGGAGTGCATTTTTTTCTTAAAATTTATTATTTTAGTTGAAAGTCAGACTTGCAAAGAGAGAGACAAGACACAGAGATCCTTCTTTTGCTGACTCACTCCCCAAGTAGCCACAACAGCTGGAGCTGTGCTGATCCAGAGCTAGGAGCCAGGAGCTGCTTCCATGTCTTCCACACAGGTGCAGGGTCCCAACGCTTTGGATCATTTCCACTGTTTTTTCAGACCACTAGCAGGGAGCTGGAATGGAAGTGGAGCAACTGGGACCAGAAGCGGCACCCATATGGGATACTGGTGTTGCAGCCAGAGATTGGCATTTCACTCCACTGTGCAGGCCCTGCAAGAGTGTTTTATCATCATTTTACCAATACAGGTTTTCAAACACTTGGATTCCTTTTATTGGTTAAAAGGTTGCTATAAGTTGTAAAATACAAATTATGAAATATTTAATTGGGCATGAACTCAAGCATCTTTTCACATAATTGCCATTTATTTGCATTTATTTTTGATTAGTCATCTGTTGGCCCATTTTTAACTTTTATTATTTGTTTGAAAGGCATAGAGAAAAGAGAGATTTTTTTCCATCTGCTAATTCTTTCACCGAATGGCTATAGCAGGTGAGGCTGAGTGAGGCTGAAACCATAAGCATAGAGCTTAAGCCGGGTCTTTCACGTGAATAGCAAGGATCCAAATCTTTGGGCCGTTGCTGGTTGCCTGAAAACCAGGTTGGAAGCAGAGGTGGGGTTGGGACCCAATGTAAATATCCCAAGCTATGCCTTAATTACTGTGCTAAGTGCCTACTAATTTTATTTTTAAAGATTTATTTTTATTGAAAAGACAGATTTACAGACAGCAGATACAAAAAGATCTTCATCTGCTGGTTCACTCCCCAAGTGACCACATGGCTGGATCTGAGACAATTCAAAGGCAGGAGCCTGGAACTTCTTCCAGATTTCCCACATGGGTGCAGGGTCCCAAGGATTTGAACCATCCTCTACTGCTTTCCCAGGCCACAAGCAGGGAGCTGGATAAGATCTGGAGCAGCCAAGACACGAACTGGCACCCATATGGGATCCTGGCATATGCAAGGCAAGGATTTAGCCACTAGGCTATCATGCCGGGCCCTGGTTTTTTTTTTTTTTTTTTAATTATTTGAGAAGAGGATGAAAGAAGCAACTGCTCCATTGCTGGTTCACTCTCTAAATGCCAGCAGCAAATGGACCTGAAGTAGGCCAAAGCCAAGAACCAGGAACTCGGTGTGAGTTTCCCACATGGGAGGCAAGAACTTAGACCTTGAGCTTCCCCACTCCCTTCCAGGATCTACATCAGCAGGAATTGAACTCAGGAACCGAGCTGGAATAGGAATCCAAACACGTCTGATTGGGCTGTGGGTGCCCCAAGCTCTATCTTAACTGCTGTACCAAATGACTGCCCCTGTTATCTTGTTTAAGAATTAATTAAGGGGGGCCTGGCGCAATGGCACAGTGGTTAATGTCCTCGCCTTGCACACCCGGGATCCCATGTGGGCACCAGTTCTAATCCTGGCAGCCCCGCTTCCCATCCAGCTCCCTGCCTATGGCCTGGGAAAGCAGTAGAGGATGCCCAAAGCCTTGGGACCCTGCACCCGCGCGGGAGACCCCGAAGAGGCTCCTGGCTTCGGATTGGCTCAGCTCCAGCTGTTGCGGCCGCCTGGGGAGTGAATCATCGGATGGATCTTCCTCTCTGTATATCCGCCTTTCCAATAAAAATAAAATAAATCTTTAAAAAAAAAAGGAATTAATTAAGGAGCTGAGAGAGGGTAGGAATTTAATTTTGAGCTATCATCACTGCCTCTCAAGCCCTGCGTTAGTAGGGAGGTGTCTTCAGGAACCTGGAGTTGGTGTATAATTCATGTACTCTGAAAAAACAATTCAAGCATGTTACCTGCTAGGCTAAAGGCTTGCCCCAGGCCCATCTTCCAAAATTAGATTTTTGTTGTTTTTCTTTCGTTCGTCTTCCATGTAGCGTTTAATACAGGAGTTGAGTGTTTCCCGGTTGCCATTCCTGTGCACCTCTGATGTGCTCGCTAGCAGCCTGTTCCTCAAGAGAAACTGAAAGCAAGGACTGTGTGGGTCTTGGTTTGGGCTGAGTGCCTTAGCAGCATCAGCTCTTACAACATCAGGGTGCTAGAAGATTTCATTGCCTGTGGAGGACCCACTTCCTAGTTCAAGGGTGGAGGCTTTCCCTGTGCCTCCTTATAGAATAGAACAGGTGAGATTTCCCTGGGGTCTCTTTTGAAAGGGCATTGAGCCCTTCTCAAGGGTGCACACTCAGTGTCTGACCAACTCCCAGAAGCTCCTCCTCCTCATAGTATCACATTTGCAATTAGGATTGTAGCACACAGGGGCTGGCAGTATGATGTAGCATTTCATAGGGGCACAAATTTGTGTCTCAGCTGCTTCACTCCCCCTGCTAATGAACTGGGAAAAACAGTGGAAAATGGTCCAAGTATTTGGGTCTCTGCATCCACATGGGAAACTCAGAGGAAGCTCCTGGCTGCAGCCTGTTTCAGCCCTTACCATGTAACCATTTGGAAAGTGAACCAACAGGTTAAAAATCTCTGTCTCTTTCTGTAACTGTGACTTTCAAAAAAAAAAACCTTAAAAAAAAAAAACATCAGTATGTGTAATGTAACTTTAAGTCACTCTCGTGTTTGCAGACTGGTATTAAAAACCTATATAGTGGGCCCGGGACAGTAGCCTAGTGGATAAAATCCTTACCTTGCATGTACCAGGGTTCCATATGGGCACCGGTTCTAATCCCGGCAGCCCCGCTTCCCTTCCAGCTCCCGGCCTGTGGCCTGGGAAAGCAGTTGAGGATGGCCCAAAGCCTTGAGACCCTGCACCTGCATGGGAGACCCAGAGGAGGCTCCGGGCTCCTGGATTTGGATTGGCTCAGCTCTGGCTGTTGCAACCAATCAGCAGACAAATCTTCCTTTTTGTTTCTCCTCCTCTCTCTGTATTTCTGAGTTTCCAATAAAAATAAATGAACTTTTAAGAGAAGAAAAGCCTATATAGTATCTAGTGCCTGTTGCTTTAAAATTGTATGACCAAATTATGTTCTGAATGGCGTTTTTGCTCAATTTACTATCCAACTTTGAACATCCAACAGCCATCGCATAATCCTGCTGGTGTTACTTTTATAAATGATGACATCAAATTTGCTTTCCTACGGATTTATAGATATTATTAATGATCATTCATATATCTTTTTCAGGAGATAAAGGGCCACCATAGCGGGTTGTTTTTCTGCATAGACAATAGGAAAGGTGGTTTCTTGTTAGACAAACAATAACATTTTAGTGTCAATAGTAAGAATTTGATCATTTGTAGGCTGATAATCTTCCAAAGATGTTGAAGGTGTGTGCATATTTCAGCAACACCAAACTGAGCATAAATTAAAAGGTGTTTTTTTCCTCTTAATAGTTAAATGAAATATTTGGAGATGAATGAAACTACAGTTTGTGTACAAATGCTTTCTGAGGTTCATGGGAGCTGTATCTGCCATCCTTATAGCTACATTTGTATTTGATCACTCAAGCCTATTTTCCTGTTATGCAATGGACACACATGAAATGTTTCTCTCAAGCATGAATGTCTGTGTGATTGTGATTGCATCTTTTTTTTTTTTTTTTTTTTGCTTAGGAGTTCATGTGTCAAACAGTTAGACCTTCTGGAAAGTGTGTACCGTATGTTCAGAAGGGACGAGCTGCTTCCAAGCACCACTCGCCAGGCCTTTGTGGACCGCGTGCTGCTCACTCTGCTGTGGCACTGCAGCCTGGAGGCTTTGAGAGAATTCTTCAGCAGAATCGTGGTGGATGCCATTGACATGCTGAAGCTCAGGTTCATGAAGGTATCCTGCTGCTTCTTAAAGTGCACTCCCTATGTGGATGTCCTCAACTTTCCTGCTTTACCCCGTTGTAACACCTCATTGGTTGTATCTATGTTTAGACCCTGGACAACTGGGTACTCTTCTATTCAAGAGATTTAGCATTTGTGACTATCGAAAAGGGGCATTGAACATTAAAATTGATGTATTTGGTAAGATTTAGTTCATGCTTGGAGAGACTGAGGACAATTATCTGTTACATCTTCTCAGTTGAATGAATCTACGTTTGATACTCAAATCACAAAGAAGATGGGCTATTACAAGATGTTAGAGGTGATGTATTCTCGTCTTCAGAAAGATGATGTTCACTCTAAGGAATCTAAAATTAATCAAGTTTTCCATGGCTCGTCTATTACAGAAGGAAATGAACTTACAAAGACTCTTATTAAGTAAGTATTGTTTAATTTGTATGTCATTTGACGTGTTAATATTTTAGTATAATATTTTACGCATCCATATACTGTGAGTCAAATGGTTGTTGTATTTAAAAATCCTTTTTTCTTATATATGAAATGCTTAGATGGACTCTAATATGTTAATTGATAACAGATATATTATCCTGTACTCATCTTTTATAAAGACCAACACTCTTTTTCTTTCAATGTTTTTCTTCTGTACTGTTTTTTCCCCAGATAGCTTGATGTGCTTTAGGTAATGTAATTTACAGTGAAGAAGTGATATTAGTTTTTTCTATTGTTTCACTTTAAAGAAGTGATATATATTTTTAGCAAATATTCTATAGAGGAATAACCAAGTATGTCTTTAAAACTCACCTTTCAGTGAGGTTCCCTTCCTAGGAAGCATTGAACATGGCCTTTGCTGTGCCTCGTCTTGCATCTCTAAGCACATTTAACATTACTTTGCTCTTCCCCTTGTCCTTACCCTCCCTCCTCCAAGAGCGACGTCACCATCCTGTCACGAGCATCAACAATGCACAAGGAGTCATATTTTACTCTTTCTTCATCTGTATGTTTCCGTCCTCCTCACACACCTGATTGCTCGCCAGATTTGCTGGTTTTGTCCTGTCAGCATCATTGAAACCAGCACCGTTGTCACCTTCCTATGTGTTTGGTTATGTCTGGGCTCCCTTGGGAGCTGCTGCAGGTGTCTGCTTTGCAGGAGTCTTCCCTCCTCCTGGGCCTGTTCCTGCCGCCTGTCTGTTCTGCTGCCAGAGGCGTAGTTTTTTGCTAATATGTTTTCCCTGAACTTTTTCTTTTTAATTAAGACAGGATGATTTATTAATCTTGTTAGAAATTCTGATAGTTGGGCCCGGCGCGGTGGCGCAAGTGGTTAAGTCCTCGCCTTGCACGCCCGGGATCCCATATGGGCGCCGGTTCTAATCCCGGCAGCCCCGCTTCCCTTCCAGCTCCCTGCCTGTGGCCTGGGAAAGCAGTTGAGGACGGCCCAAAGCTTTGGGACCCTGCACCCTCGTGGGAGACCCAGAAGAGGCTCCTGGCTTCGGATCGGCATAGTATCGACCCGTTGCGGCTCACTTGGGGAGTGAATCATCGGATGGAAGATCTTCCTCTCTGTATCTCCTCTCTGTATATCCGCCTTTCCAATAAAAAATAATAAAAATAAATCTTTAAAAAAAAAAAAAAAAAGAAATTCTGATAGTAAAAGGCCACAGACTAGTATCCCCTGAACTTTTGAAGAGTCCTTGTCTGGGTGGATTTCCAAGTTTTTGTAACAAGATAAACTTCTCTTTTAATTCTGTTTCTGTAGACAATTTGAAGTATCTGATAGATCTGGAGTACAAGTCTGATTGTTTCATTTTCCCTAAGACCCTTGTTGGTACTCGTTACTAGGATATAATGGGCTAATTAATCAGTATTTCCAATTTGTGTCCAGTTTGTGTCCCAGCTGCTCCACTTCCAATCTAGTTCCCTGTTTATGGCCTGGGAAGGCAGCAGAGGATGGCCTATGTCCTTGGGATCCTATACCCATGTGGGAGACCTGGAGGATGCTCCTGGCTCTTGGCTTCAGATTGGCTCAGATCTGACTATTGTAGCCAGCTGGGGAGTGAGTCAGTGGATGCAAGATCTTTCTGTCTCTCCTTCTCTCTAGAATACTGCTTTTTCATATATATAATTGTACATATATTTAAAGGGAGAAGTCAGCTATTGGATGCAATCAGGTGATCCTACAGGGATGAGGCCTCATTCCTTAGTATTATCCTTAGGCAGATTTGCAGAAAGAGACAGACAGACAGGGAGAGAGACAGATCTTTCATCTGCTGGTTCACTCTCCCAATGGCTGCAACAGCTAGAACTCAGCCAGGAACCTGGAGCTCCTTTCAGGTCTCTCACATGAATTCAGGGGCCAAGCACTTGAGCCAACATCCACCACTTTCCCAGGCACATTAGCAAGGAGCTGGATTGGAAGTGGAGCAGCTGGGCCTTGAAGTCACACCCGTATGGGATGCTGATGCTGCAGACAGAGGTTTATCTTAGTTTGTCATGGCAATGGCACATGGCTACTGCTGCTTTTATGCCCTTTCCCCAGCACACCACTTAACTTCTTTTGAGTGACACTCTTCTCTGCTTACAATACCTGTGTACGTGTCTCCTCTAGTTAACTTGCCTTTGCTGTGGGTGACACCTAAGAGAGGGTGATAGGAATCGGGGTTGGGGTGAGGGGACTTTGAGTAGCACTGTCCATGCTATGTGAACCAACTTGTGACCTGGCTCTCCTTTGCAGATTGTGCCACGATGCATTCACAGAGAACATGGCTGGGGAGAGCCAGCTGCTGGAGAGGAGAAGGCTTTTCCATTGTGCTGCCTACAACTGTGCCATCTCCGTGATCTGCTGTGTCTTCAATGAGTTAAAATTCTACCAGGGTTTTCTATTTACTGAAAAGCCAGAAAAGGTGGGCCTCTCTTGAGATGTTCCCTGTTGCTGTCATCATGGGCTTTCAAAAGTTAGATATATTAGCAAACGATACTCTGTAATTTCCAACATCTTATGTTGAACATGTAGAGGTTTTTTGGCTGTTCTACATGGATATATTTTAAAGCTTAAATGTTTTTCTGTGAGTTATTAAGTAACATGAATTCCACAGTAGCATTGATGACAAGACTCCTTTGTTCACATATTTTTATATCTGATTCTTTGAATTTACAGAACTTGCTTATTTTTGAAAATCTGGTAGACCCAAAGCGCTGCTATTCATTTCCTGTGGAAGTTGAGGTGAGTGACAGTTTCACTTTCGCTTTTTAGGTTTAAAATCCTGATCAAATGTTTATAGAGAAAAACAAATATGATGTTGAGCACGTTAAATTGCCAATATTCAAGTCTGTTTTCTACTGTAAAAACTGACCATTTCATGTGTTTTCCACAAAACTGGCAAGCACAACAGGTGGTAATTTAAATTTGATGTTTCACCTCAAGCAACCACAAGAAAATTCATGAGAACTCAATCTCCTGCCCTCCTGCCCCATCTTAACTAGTGAAGGAAACACATTGCTAACAAAAGTAGCTATTAGCATATGCTTTAAAATTGCTTTTTGAATGCATTATTCATCAAAGAAAGAAGTCTTACTGATGTGAATTATGACCTTGTGGCATTACTTGAATGACTTGTCAAGATAACTGGGTTGACGTGGCAGTTATTGGAAGCCTTGATCTGGCAGATGGGACAAGTTAGGTGTTAGCCAGGTTGTTCAGGCTAGTAAACTGGCCTCAGGGATTGTTGGGAAGGGATTGGAAATGGGAAGCAAGGCAGAGGACTGAACCCCCACACTGTGGCTTACCCGTTTTACTCTATAGTACTGACCTCAACACCATCCTAGCACTTGAAGGGCTCACATGAACACTTGTTTTCTGTCTGTGTCCCCTTGGAACAAGAGAGGAGTTTTCTTTAGACGTTTGTTCAAGGAAGTAAGCAACAACAGAAATTTAAAAAATAGTAGCCAGTTCACAAAGCACGCAGATACTTGTCATGCTCACATTCTGCCATTATGATGACACTACAAGATTACTATGAAGATTAATAAAAATAAATAAATAAATAAGAGGAAAAAAAAAAGATGACCTATGATTTACTGTGGCCACATAGCTAAGAAAACTGAGCATTGGAGGTGGAGATCTAGATGAGTGGCTGTAAAAACTCAGCACACAGCTCTGAGCTGGGCTGTGCCAGGGTATTGGAGGAGCACTCACTGAAAGATGTAATTTTGAGAATGTAACTCAATGTGAAATTTGGTCATTTTGATTTTTTTTCCAGATTGTACTAAAATAGAAAAAAATGTGACCATGTTTTCTAAACATTTTATGTTGTGTATTTGTTTTGTCTGGTAGGTTCCTATGGAAAGAAAGAAAAAGTACATTGAAATTAGGAAAGAAGCGAGAGAAGCAGCAAATGGGGATTCAGGTGAGTGTTTCCAAAATGATGAAATTAATCAGCTACACTTAGCTGTATAAAAAGTTGCTAGCATAGCCAGATGGGACTCAGATAACATGCATTTCAAAAATTTTATGGCAAAATGAATTTCTCTTTTAGTGCAAGATTAGCTTGGTGTTTCTTTGATCACACATAGATCAGACTGTTGAGGTACAGCCAGAAATCTGCATTACAATTCAAGGGCTGCCCTACCGTTTTCCACTCATTTCCAGACTACTCAGGCCTCTGACCTGCTCACTACTCTCTGCAGCTTGCCTGCTTACCCACTCTGTTGCAGCAGCATGAACTGCTGCTGTGCTTGGTGACTGCCAGGCTTGCTCTTGGCCCCACGGTGTTTGCACTTGCTGTCCACTTTCATAGTCTTGCCTCCAGATGCCAGCCATGCCTCAGGACGTTGTCTGTGGTGTCAGCAACTAAAGGAGGCTCATGCTGGCCTTCCTGTTTCTAAACAGCCTTCCATCCCTCCACATGCTCCTTATTGCAGTGTTTGCTCTTTGCGGATTTTATCACCATTTATTGATGTAAGGATCAAATTTGGACCTGTTTTCTAAATCCCTTGCATAATCTGGGTTAGTTGTTTTTCAGTAACATTTCTTTTCATATTTATCTGAGGCTTAATGGACCAAGTGTACAATGTCAGATTTTTTAAAATGTTTTTTTTTATTTGAAAGGAAGGTTTACAGAGTGAGAGAGATACAGGGAGATCTTCCATCTACTGGTTCACTCCCCAGATGGCTGCCATAGCTGGGACTGTACCAGTCCAAAACCAAGAGCTTAGAGATTATTCCAGATCTCTCACGTAGGTGTAGGAGCCCAAGAACTAGTTCTCTGCTGCTTTTTTCCCAAACTATAAGCAAGGAACTAGATTAGAAGTGGGGCAGCCTGGAATTGAAGCAGAACTCATATAGGAATGCCAGCACTGCAGGCAGATACTTAACCTACTACAACACGCCGCCAGCTCTACAACATTAGGATTTCAATACAACGAAATTGTTAAAAATTGGATCCAGTTTGGAGCCTGTATGAGGCATAGTGGATTAAGTCAATACTTTCTTTTTGTTGTTATTGTGTATTACTCTTTAATTAGATTTTTGTTTTATAGTGTTCTTATCATTAGGACACTTCAAAATGCTCGAACTCCATAGGCATTTGTGTAAAACGTACCATTAAAAGAAACAGCTTCAGAAAAATTCCTATCCTGTATGTGGTGTGGAGGTGGAAAATATTCCATTGAAGACTCTTAGTCCCTTCTTTCCCAAAACTTTTGCCTTTTTTTTTTTATTGTTACTGTTCTTTAAGCAAAACCTTTAAAACTAAGATTTACAGTCAGTACTTTGTTCCTGAAGTGAGAAGTGTGCCCATTTTCATGTAAGTTGATGCTTTCGATGCCAGCATCCCATGCCAGAGTTCTGATGTGAGTTCCAGCTTTGCTGCTTTGGATCTAACTCCTTGCTAATGTAACTGGGAAGGCAGTGCAAGACTTGGACCCTTACCATCTATGTGGGAAACCAGGATGGAGTTCTTGACTCCTAGCTTTGCATTGGCCCAGCCCTGACTGCTGCAGGCATGTGGGGAGTGAACCTGTGGATGGAAGACTCTGTGTTTTCCTGTCTCTGTCTCTGTCACTCTGTTTTTAAAAAAAATATTTAATTAAGGATGAAAGTTTTAGTTAGAAACTTCCTTTAATTTTAATATCATTTGGGCTTAAAAAATTCATTTCTATCTGGTTGTGTTGAATACATGTATTTTCTTCTTTCTTATATTTCAGATGGCCCTCATTACATGTCTTCCTTGTCGTATTTGGCAGACAGTAGCCTGAGTGAAGAAATGAGTCAATTTGACTTTTCAACTGGGGTTCAGAGCTATTCATACAGCTCCCAAGACCCTAAATCTACCATTGGTCGTTTTCGGAGACAGGTGATCCCATGACACAAATTAAAAGAAGTTTGAAAAGTAGGGCGGTAGACAGGTGATGTCAAAGGATGTTTTGTCGCTATTGGCAGAAGCCAGTTCTTTGCCTGCCTTAAGTCCTGGGACAAATGCATGGGTTGGAGAGTTTTCCTAATACCCAAGCTCTGGGCCTTTCATCCTGTAGATTCTACATTCTGATGACAGCAGTCTGGGTAGGGAGTCAGAGAGCTGGAGGCAGCAGAGGTGCCCTGACCTAATTTGAACCTCAAGATTGACCATGCAGATGGGTTAGCAGCTGTGAACATGGACACAGCTGACCTGACAGGTTCAAGGGTCAATGTGGCAGAGATGTCCTTAACCGGGATGCAGCCCTGGGGAATGACTGAGCAGATAGGATCTAGGACCAGTATGGGAGTAAGGAAGACATATGGTTGTGTTTATTTTTCAGTTACTTAATAGCAGCACATGCTGAGTATTTTTGATATTATTGTCAACTTATCATTATGGACTAACATTTCAATGGTGAACTCAGTCTCTGGACTTGGCCTGTTTCTTAGGAGTATCCAGACTCCAAGGTCCAGGGTGATGTCCTGGAGTTAGAGATGGATGAGCTTGGGCAACATGAGTGCATGGCACCGTTGGCTGCCCTGCTGAAGCACATGCAGAGAAAGCTGGCCTTGCCCCAGGAAGAAGAGGTACGTGTCCCACTAATTCCAGTATCTCGGTTGATACTATTCACTGTTGTCTTACCGAGAAATTAACCTCTACTATTAGATGTAAACCAAATTGCATATCAAATAAACACATTTTTTTCCTTTCTGCTGTTTGTATTTTGGTTTGATATAGTTTTCTTACAGTAGCCAAGTGTGAGGTTATTTTTTCCTGTAATTTTTAAGGTAATTTTGAATGTTTGATTTCAGGGTTCAGTGTCAAAAGATCTTCCTCTTTGGATGAAATTTCTCCATGACAAACTAGGAAACCCATCAGTGCTACTGAATGTGCGTCTCTTCTTAGCCAAGCTTGTTATTAATACAGAAGAGGTGAGTTACTTTGTCATTGTTTTGAACAGTGCTTTGCAATTCTTTGTATCTACTTTTAAAACCACAACAAAGAAAGAAATAAAGAGAAAGAATATGACATTGTTGTTTACTGAATAGACAATCATATTTATGTACTTATGTAGCCTAACATTCTTCTCTCAATTTGTTTTTTTGTTTTGTTTTGGAGATTTGTTTATTTTTATTTGAAAGTCAGAGGGAGGAAGGGAAGAACAGAGAGGAGAAATATCAATCTTCTATCTATTGATTCACTTCCTAATGGCTACAATTACCAGTGTTGGACCAGGCTGAAGCTAGGAGCTTCAGCAGGGTTTCTCATGAAGGGGGCAGGGCCAAGCACTTGGTCCATTTTCCATTGGCTTTCCTAGACCATCTGCAAGGAGCTGGATCTAAAGCCAGGACACAAACCATTTGCCCACATGATATGCCATCATTGAAGGCAGTGGCTTTACCTACCATACCACAACGCCAACACTCTCAGTTTCTTTTAAAACAAGTATGTTAACCTCTGTTGAGTTAGCTGTTGTCTAACTGCATGTTATGACTCAAAATCGTATTTCTTTATGAGAGTAATAAATGGTTGGAAAAATACTTCTGTTAGCTCCATACGACAAAGAGCTCCCTTGTGGAGTCATTGTTTGGCATACCCCAGTTGGGCCATCTTCCACAGTGAGAGTTAGGTGGATCTCACTGCAGGCCCTTGAGCTAAGCTTGGGGACTTGGGGGGAGTTTGCATTCTGCATAGGACACAGTTGACCCAAGCAAAGGCAGCTGTGTGAGATTCATTGTGTGTCTGTGCCAGTTGCCTGAACAACATGGGTGAGGGCTGTGTTTGAGCAAGATAGTAATGCACCTATGTGCTGGGACCAAGCTAGAGGAGGCCTTGCAAAGTGTCTCTCATTGGTATTGATAGGGAGCCTCTGAAGAGTAGGGGTGATGGGAACCATAGAAGGTGCTTTGGGCACTCTGCAGTATGAGGAGCTAAAGCCATGCCCAGCAGGAAACCCTGGAGCCGTTGGCTGGAGACTGCTCTCCTGAGGGTCTCACATGATTTCTGGCTCCAGGGATGGCTGTCTGAGGGAACAGCACACTGGAGGACTGAAGTAGCGGTTATGTCAAATGTCTGAGAACCAGGTGTCACAGGGTTGGTTCCTTCTGAGGGCTGAGAGGGAGACACTGTTCTAGGCCTCTCCCAGCTCCTGGTGGGTTTAGGCATCCTGGGGCATGTAGATACATTTTCCCTGAGTCTTCACATTTGTGTCCATCTCTGTGTCCTGATTTCCTCTTAGGAGGATACCAGTCATATTGGATGAGTGCCCACCCTGAAGCCTCACTCAGCCTGTTTCCAAATACAGTTACATTCTAACAATTGGAAACTCAGTAGCCTTTTGAGGGATGCAATTCATCCCATAGCACTTGGGTTATATGTGATCCTGTAAGTCTATCTTGTTGGCTGCCAAAAGGAGCTAGGGACTTTTATTTGTTTGTTTACACTGAAATAACTTACCTGCTAGTTCCATTTTCCCTGAACTTTAAAAAATTATGCTTGGTAAATACTTCCAATGCAAGAACCTCAACTGAATTTGAACTGTGGTAATGCAGCAAGGTGGAGAAATCCACCATGGAGAGAGGGTTTGGGGAGGGTTGGGGGCAATCCCAGTGCCCATAACACTGTGTCACATAATGCAATACAATAACTAACTAACTAACTAAATAAATAAATAAATAAAGCTTAATTGCCAGATTAAAAAATTTCCTTATATAAAATAAATTATTAAATAATTATTAAATTATTAACTAAATTAATATATTACATATAATATATTTATTTATATTTGAAAGGCAGAGAGAGGAGAAACACAGAAAGAGATTTTCTGTCTGCTTGCTTATTTCCCAAATTGGCCATTACAGCTAGAGCTGGGTTGGACCAAACCCAGAAGCCAGGAGCTTCTTCTGGGTCTCCCACATGGATACAGGAGCCCAAGAACCTGGACCATCTTGTACTGCTCTGCTAGGCATATTAGCAGGGAGCTAGATAAGGAAGCGAAGCATCCAGGATGTGAACTGGCACCCATGTGGGAGGTCTGCACCACAGCACATTTAACCTACTGTACCATGGTGCCAGCCCCTAATTGTTGGAATTTACATTTATTTTTAATATGGTTCAAGTTGTAACATAAAATTTTGTTTATTTTACAAAAAAACATGCAAATAACCATTTTTTAAAAGATATTTTTGAAGGTTAAAGTTACAGAGAGGAAGAGGCAGAGAGATTTTCCATCCTCTGTTCACTTCCTAGATGGCCACAATGGCCAGTGCTGAGTAAGGCTTAAGGCTGGGATCCAGATATAAAGACCGTCTTTTGCTGCTTTTCCCAAACCATTAGAAGAGAACTAAATTGGAAGTGGGCGTCCTGGGCCTGGCATGCTAACCTAGTAGCTAAAAGTTGTCACCTTGAACGCACCGGGATCCTGCATAGGTGCCGGTTCATATCCTGGCCACTCTACTTCTCTTCCAGCTCCCGGCCTGTGAACTAGGAAAGCAGTAGAGGACGGCCCAAGGCCTAGGAACACTGCAACCATGTGGGACCACAGGAGAAGTTCCTGGCTCCTGACTTTGGATTGTCTCAGCTGCAGTCATTGTGGCCACTTGGGGAGGGAACCAGCAAATGGAAGATCTTTCACTCTCTCTAAATCTGACTTTCAAATAAAAGCAAATGAATTTTTGAAAAGATAGAAAGTGGAGCATCGTGCATAGATGGGATGCCCGTATTTATCTACTATGCCACAACACTGGCTCCAATAATGTAGAATTTTAGCTGATGCAGGATGCATTTCTGTATTAATATATTGGCTATGGAATGATTCTGTGATGTTTGCTTTTCCCTTTCTTGTGCAGGTCTTTCGCCCTTACGCGAAGCACTGGCTTAGCCCCTTGATACAGCTGGCTGTTTCTGAAAACAACGGAGGAGAAGGCATTCATTACATGGTGGTTGAGATAGTGGCTACGGTGCTGTCCTGGACAGGTTTGGCTAGTCCTGTGGTGAGCATTAATGCATTTTTTTAAAAAAGATTTATTTATTTTCATTAGAAAGGCAGATCTACAGAGAGAAAGATCTTGCATCTACTGGTTCATTCCCCAAATGGGCATAACTACAGGAACTGAGCTGATGTGAAGGCAGGAGCTTCTTCTGGGTGTTTCATGTGGGTGCCTACTCCCAAGGACTTGGGCCATTCTCCACTGCTTTCTTTTCTTTCTTTCTTTCTTTCTTTTTGTTTTTTTTTTTTTTGCAGACTTAGTGAGATCTTTTATTTCCCCACTACCTCTCCAAGGCACAGCCAAATGAAATGGCTCTTGGAACAAAATGGGCTCATTCCATTAAGGAGATGAGAGTTCTATTAATTGAGAAGAAAGTCTCAAAGGCAGATAGGTCACCAGCCAAGTTCCATAGCTAAGCACTACTATGTGGGCAAGGCAAAAAGGGAGATTCTCCCAGTTTGGTGGCAGAGGTTTGATAGCAAGGCTACAGTAGAGAGCACCAGCCTGGCAATCGCCATTAGCACCAACTGCAGTTGCCCTCTTCCACTTCCTACTTCTGTTGTTCTGAAACCTTTCCATCTTTGCATGTCTTGCTTCCGCACTACAGCTCAATCCCCACTGCTTGCTTTCTTTCTTTTTTTTACATTTCATTTTATGACACAGTTTCATAGGCTCTGGGGTTCCCCCAACCCTTCCCCGTACCCTCCCCCCATGGTGGATCACTCCACCTTATTGTAGTATTACAGTTCAAATCCAATCATGATTCCTTCATTTCAAGCATGTACCATGCATAGAGTCTAGCATCTTATTGTCCAGATAAATTCAACAGTTTCTTGCGTAGACCATCTCTGGTCTGAAAGTAGAGCTGGCATCCTGACCAATTAAAAGCCATAACATAACATCAACAACAGCTTACAACATTATTGAGTTAATTGACATGGTATTGAGTGACCAATATGTTAGAAAATGCAAGTTTTTAACCAAGTCCTGTGACTACATAATTGACATTGCTATTTTGGTTTATATGTAACTGGCTGCTATACACCTTAAAATGGCTATAGGGTCTATTTAGCTGTCTCATGTCTATTTTCATTTTTGTATTCAGCAGTTTATAATGTTGAAGCATAATTTTTACTGAACTTGGCAGATTTTAGGATAGTCCAAACTTCTCCACTGCTTTGTTAGGCCACAAACCAAGAGCTGGATTGGAAGTAGAGCAGCCAGGATGTAAACTGACGCCCAAATGTGATGCTGGTGCTTGGAGACTGAGGATTAGGCAGTTGAGCCGTTGTGCTGGCCTCTAATGCACATTTTCTATAGTGATGTCTTGGACTCCTTTGCCGTAAACCTACAGACATGTAATGAATGGTTTTCATTCTGCTTAATGGAATTGAATCACCTGTAGGTGTGACATTACTACTGTGCTCTTACACTAAATGACCTCACAATTTCTTGTTCAGTTTTCTTTACTTCTGCTTTTGATAATTCCTCTGACCTGGCTAGGCTCTGAGGGTCCACTTTACGTTCTTCACATATCAGTGTCCTTCAAAGGTCAGCACAAACATGGGGGCATCTCACTGAGGGGCCTGAAGCAGAAAGTTCCCTTTAGGACCCGTATCCTGGGCCTTCTGGAGATGCTGCAGTAATCCAGCCCAAGCCTGGAACCACAGTTCCCTGTGGCCTGTGGCGTGCTGTGTCTGGTGCAGAGGCAGCATCCCTCAGGCCTGCAGGAAAACAAGAGTCTTTGCCTTTGGTGTGAAAATTCACACCAAAGTTTTTAGCTCCTAGCTGTGAAAAAACAGATTTCTTTTAGACATGGTCTTTTCTGGAGTGGAATGCTGCAAGTTGTTAATACAGGCTTTTTGTATCTTTTCAGGGGACTCCTAAAGATGAAATACTGGCAAATCGACTGCTTCACTTCCTAATGAAACATGCTTTTTATCCAAAGAGAGCTGTTTTTCGACACAACCTTGAAATCATAAAAACCCTTGTTGAATGCTGGAAGGATTGTTTATCCATCCCTTACAGGTACTCAGTTTCTACGCCGTCATGGTGTAGAGACATTTAGGTTAATACCTAACCTGCTGCAGATGATAATTGCAATGAAATGTAATTGCATGCAGTCATAGGCTGAGGAATATAATTAGAAATAGAGTCCACTTATAAGGCAGTTCTATTTCTGCGAATGAATCTGAGGCCTCCTGAGCTTCACACCAGAGGCATCTGTTAGGTGGTCATTGGTGGCTGCTCTTGTGGGTTCCTCAGCTCAGTCTGACTTAGCCCCATGATAGGGAGGTAGGGTTGTGACCTGCCCTCTCCCTGCCCTTTCACAACCTAAAGGGAGCCCATTGGAGTTGTGTTTGAGTTCTTTGAGCATAGCCTGAGACAAGTTAAAGCTTTCAAAGTGTTGCTCCCAACTAAGGCAAAATTAAGTAAGTAATTCGGAAAAAAAAAAAAAAAGAATAAAAAATAGCCTGTGTTACAAAGGTAGAATCACCTGTCTTCAGAGCACCAACAAGGAGATGGTGTTGGAAGGAAAGGAAAAATGATCATTTGTCACTGCACGATATTCTGTTTGTCATCCTGCATCTCATTGTGTTCTGTGACCATCTGTGTGTTCTGCCCCATGCTTATGTTTTAGGATAATATTTGAAAGGTTTTCCAGTAAAGATCCCAATTCTAAAGACAACTCAGTAGGGATTCAGTTACTAGGCATTGTGATGGCCAACAACCTGCCTCCCTACGACCCCCAGTGTGGAGTCGACAGTGTCACGTACGTATATTCTGTTTTTTGTTCTGATTGTCTTTTAGGCGAAACTCTGCCTGGATTAGATGGACAGACTAATGGGGTGTAGTGTAATTGTGATACATTTAAGGAACATTTCTCATGTCAAAAATATTTATACCTAAATTTAGAAAGTTGGATTATAGGTCAGCTGAGAGAAGAAACCAAGGTACCTAGGATGAATGTGGGGTGTGCATTTGTAAAGCAAGTGTGGTGTCCTTCTGTAGGTGTCAGCAGATCCCAGGTATTGGGTGTGTGTTTGTATTGTGAGCAACATTTTCCCAGGAGAGGAACAGTGCTGAGCCTCGACTGTAACACGCACACCCCTGGGCACTGTCCACCCGCCCCTGGGCTCACATGCCTGCACTCTGTCTGTTCTAGCCCCAAAATGACGTCCCTCCTACAGGATAGGGAAGGGCCCAGTGTGTGGTAGTTTCAGAACATTGTCAGAGGGTCTTCCTAGAATCTGTATGTTCCAGTCCATGTCACCCTCCTCTCTCCTCTCATCCCACACAGCCTCCCCTCCTCCTCTGCAGAGTTTGACATTCTACTTGGTCCTTTGCTTGGTCGTGCCCAGCATCCATCCCATCAGTGCAGGTGCTCTTTGCAGCCAGTGCCCTGGAGTCTGAGACATCCGGAGGCACAGCACAGGCCTGGACAGTTGCATTTGTGCCTGCTGATTTCCTTTCAGAGTTGCTGCGGGGCTCACAGTTGAGATGTTGTTGCTTACAGTCTCCTGATGGCGCCATCATTTTATTGTGTTGGTCCTCTCCCATGAGATGACTTTTGAAAGGGAGCCCACATCTCATCATCCTGAATTGTAGCTCTTTCCCTCAACACAGTTTGTGTGGTTTCTGACCTGGGCTTCTTTCCAACAGCAGCATTTCCGTGTGATCGGATGGCAGGCCTCTCTGAGGCCACCATGGTTTTGATGTCACAGCGTAAATACCTATTTATATGTGTATTCACATGAGTGATACGCATCATGTCTTACATTGTTTTGTTCTCAGTTTATTCTGTTATTAGGTCAGACAGCATAGTGGGTTAATTTACATGTTCTCTGTATTTGTTGTAGGTACTTTCAAGCTTTAGTCAATAATATGTCTTTTGTAAAATATAAAGAGGTGTATGCAGCAGCGGCAGAAGTTCTGGGCCTCATTCTTCGATATGTTGCTGAGAAAAAAGATGTGAGTGTGTGATTTTCAGTGGACATTTCTGATGTGATGCTGAGATGTGTTTCCTGTGTGCTGTTAGGAACAGATTGGGCGCCTGCATGTATTTTTTGATGCTGTTTCCTACAGTGCATTGGATACAGCACTCAGATTTTCTTAAAAAGGGACATAATATTTTTTAAGCTGATGAAGTTGAAGAACATTAGGAGCTTTGGTGTCAGGGTGAGAGTGTTTAACCAGCCCCTCTGCCTGTGAGCTTGGTCTCAGCCTGTCCTTTTGGAAGCCATCATCCTCTAGAGAACTCTTGTGGTCTGATTGGGTTATCTTGGTCAAATCCTTCCACTGGTGGTTGACATTAATAAAAATGTTGATGAGGAGTGACGCCCCTCCGGCCAGCCTCAGATGCTGTTCCCTGCCTATTCTATTTTTTTCTTGAAGATTTATTTATTTATTTTAATTTGAAAGCCAAAATTACAGAGAGAAGGATGGAGAAGGAGAGGGAAAGAGATTTTCTGACAATTGGTTCAATATCCAAATGGATGCAATGGCTAAAACCGAGCCCAATCCAAAGCCAGGAGCCAGGAACTTCTTCTGGTTATCCCACGTGGGTGCAGGATCCCAAGACTTTGAGCTATACTCTAGTGCTTTCCCAGGCCACAAGTAGGGAGCTGGATCAGAAGTGGAGTAGCTGGTACCTAAACCAGTACCCATATGGGATGCCGGCACTGCAGGTGGGGATTAGCATGCTACACCATGGCACTGAGTCTGCCCTGTGCACTCTGGCAGGTTGTGAGAAGAGCTTAAGGATCAGGTGCAGATCCAATACTCAACTGCTAAATGAAGTTGCTTGTCATAGCTGTGTGTGATGTCTGGGGGCCCCCTGCTGGTAACCCCTCATTATAACTCAATTGAAAATAGGCAGAGTGATTCCTCCTGCGCATGCAGCAGCCCTCTCACCGGTTTGCAAGTGTCCCTGTGGTCACTGGATGTGATGATGTGGCAGGCTGACGTGCAGGTTCTGAGTCTATTAGGAGAGCATGGGTGGTTGATCACTCCTTCCAAGACTGTCTGGCCTGTGTCCCTGCTTTCCTGACAGCATCTTTTTCCTGACCCCAAGCCACCTCCAAGAGCTATTCTGTGGGTTTCTTCTTCTTTTTTTTCTCCCTTTCCCCCATCACATAGCTTCTAACTTTAAAAACTGCCACACTGGGGCCAGCACAATGGCTCAGTTGGCTAACCCTCTGCCTACAAGTGCTAGCTTCCCATGTAGGCACCAGTTTTTGTCCCAGCTGCTCTATTTCCCATCCAGCTCCTTGCCTGTGGCCTGGGAAAGCAACAAACGATGTCTCAAAGCTTTGGGACCCTGTACCTGTGTGAGAGCTCTGAAAGAATCTCCTGGCTCCTGGCTTTGGACAGCTCAGCTCTGACCACTGTAACCATTTGGGCAAAGGATCAGCAGATTGAAGGTGTTACTTTTTTTTTGCTCTCCTTCTCTCTGTAGATCTGTCTTTCCAACAAAAATGAATAATAAATCTTAAAACAAAAATAAAAACAAAAATGCTGCTTTGATGTTTGAGTCCTGGTTGTGTCTGCAGGCCCAAGACTGTCATGAAAGAGAAGTTAGGGAGTGGCCATGGTTACTGTGAGGCAGGAGGATGACAAGGACCCAGTTCAGCAACTTGGACCCTTGCCCGTTTCCTAATTATAGGTTTGTTTGGGTTTAAAAGAAAACTAAATGATACATGGGCCTGGTGCAATAACCTGATGGCTAAAGTCCACCTTACATGCACTGAGATCACATATGAATGCTAGTTTATGTCCCGGCTGCTCCACTTCCCATCCAACTCCCTACCTGTAGCCTTGGAAAGCAGCAGAGGTTGGCCCAAAGTGTAGGGAGTCTGCATCCATGTGAAAGACCCTGAAGAAGCTCCTGGCTCCTGGCTTCAGCTCATCTCAGCTCTGGCTGTTGTGGCCACTTGAGGAGTGAATCAATGGATGGAACATCTTCCTTTCTGTCTCTCCTCTCTTATAAATCTGCCTTTGCAATGAAAATAAATAATTCTTTAAAATACATTAAATGATACAAACAAAAAGATCACCTAGGGAAGGTGACACAATTTATTTTAGGATTAAGTGCTTTTTTTGTGAGTTAAAATTTTTACAGCTCAGAATGACTTGTCATTTTGACAGCCTGTTACACTGGGCTTATGCTGGGTAATATGCTTCACTTGTACCACCAGATGGAGCAGGCTTCAATAGAACCCCAAGTATAATCTGCTGTAAAACTTTCAACTCCAAAATATTATGAGAATAGGAGCTAGCGTTGTGGCACAGTGAGTTAAGCTGCTACTTGGCATGGACATTGTGTATCAGATTGACAGTTTGAGTTCCAGTAGCTCTACTTCTGATCCAGCTTCCTACTGGGAAGGCAATAGGTGGTGACTCTGCTACCCACTTGAGATACCCAGATGGAGTTCCTGCCCGCTTGACTCCGATCTGACCCAGACCTGGCTGTTGTAGTCATTTGAGGAGTGAACCAGTAGATGGAAGCTCTCTGTTTCTCCATTACTCTGTATTTCTTCCTTCTCTGTGTTACTCTGCAAATCAAGATAACAAATAAATAATTTTATTTTAAAGGAATACTCCAGAGTGATTAAAAATGTATGTGAAAAACAAAATTAAAAGCGACTTTAATTTTGGTGTAAACATTTTTTTAACTCATGTTCATTTTTTCTTTCTTTTTAAAAAGATTTTTTTAATTGAAGTCAGATTTACAGAGAGAAGGAGTGGCAGAAAGAAAGATCATCCATCCACTGACTGCAAGTGGCCATAATGGCCAGAGCTGAGCCTGTTTGAAACCAGAAACCAGCAGCTTATTCTCCCACCGGGGTGAAGTGTCCCAAAACTTTGGGCTGTCTTCAATTACTTTCCCGTGCCGCAAGCAGGGAGTTGTATGGGAAGTATAGCAGACAGGACAGGAACTGGCACCCATATGGGATCCCAGTGCATGCAAGGCAAGGATTTTAACTGCTAGACTACCATGCCTGTCCCTTTGTTTTTTCTTAGTATGTAGTTTCATGAACTTGTTGAAGGCTGCCATATACACAGATTTCAAATTTTTAAGTTAAATTTTTCTGTGAATATTTTGTCTTTTCAAAAAGTTTATTTTTAAAAAATTTATTTATTTTTGTTGGAAAGTCAGATCTACAGAGAGGAGAGACAGAGGGGAAGGTCTTCTATCCGCTGATTCACTCCCCAAATTACCATAACAGCCAGAGTTGAGCCAATCTGAAGCCAGGAGCCCCTTCCTGGTCTCCCATGCAGCTGCAGGTTCCCAAGGCTTTGGGCCATCCTCAGCTGCTTTCCCAGGCCACAGGCAGAGAGATGGACAGGAAGCAGGGCTGCCAGTATTAGAACCAGTGCCCATATGGGATCCCAGCGTGTGCAAGGCGAGGACTTAGCTGCTAGACTACTGTGCCAGGCCCAAGTAATTTATTTTTAAAAGGCAGAGTTACAGACGGAATCCTGTGGTAATTGACAGCATCAAACACCCTTTTTGGGTGCACTTGCATTTTCAAGATTTGTTTTTATTGCTTGATGGTAGCTTCTACCTTTGTGTATTTATAAAATGACTTCACTCTCCAGGTCCTGGAGGATCTTGTGCATGAACTAGTTGTCAAACAGTTGAAGCAGCAGCAGAATACCAACGAGGACAAATTTATTGTATGCTTGAACAAAGTGGTCAAGAGCTTCCCTCTGCTTGCTGACAGGTAGAGACCCTTGGGGCCACCCTTGGTGGGTGGTTCTCCCGGTCTGCAGCCGTCCACTGAGCACACACCCTATGGCTTAGGTTCTTGAACGCAGTGTTCTACCTGCTGCCCAAGTTTCACGGCGTGATGAAGACACTGTGTCTAGAGGTCGTGCTCTGTCGCGCAGAGGAAATCCCAGATCTGTACTTCCAGCTCAAGAGCAAGGACTTTATTCAGCTCATGCGACACAGGTGAGTGAGCAGCAGCCTCACACTCTGGCTCAAAGAAAAAATTTTTTGATCAGATATTGTCAATTCAGGAAGAACCTGCAGGTTCTCATGAGATGCCTGTTTGTGGAGAACGGGTGGCAAGCAGCCTGAGAATGAAGACAGTGCCTGAGGGGAACCTGCTTCACCGCTCCTCTCCTCCCCCCACAACACACACATGCCACCTTCCTGCAGGTGACCTGGGTTTGAGCTGTGCCCGGTAAGAATGTTCCATTGTGTATTCAGATTGTGTTAATTTACAGGATCACTGTAAGTGAATGACACTCTTTTCTTGTCTTGGTGTGTGTAATATAGTTTTACATAGTGATGCATTGCTGATCGGGGTGGAATCAGTGAGTTTCACAGAGTGTGTATCACCATGTTGTAATGGCCAGCATTTACCGGGTGTTTACCACACCAGGGACTGCTCTGAGTGTATTAGGAGCAAAAGACACAGAATGGGAGCAGGTGCTAACCCTGTCACACTTAACCTCACCATGTGATATTACACACCAGGTGGCACTTACAATTACTCTTTGAAATCTGAAAACCTTTGTATTTTTAGGTTATTTTGTTGAGCTATCAAGTTTTAATCCACAGTAAACTTTTCGTTTTCAAATAATTTTACAGAAAAGTTAAAAGATAGTACTTAGAACTCCTTTACATTCTTCACCTCGTTTTCTCATCTTATATAATCGTGGTATATTTATCAAAATCGAAACATTAGCAGCAGAACATTACTACTGTCTGCACTCGATCTTAGCCAAAAGGCCGAGAAGCGATGGAACCTTACTACTCTCTGGACTTTACTGTACTGATTCCTGCCCCCCCCCCCCCGGCTCATCCAGGGACTGGTCCAGGATAGTGCATTGAATTGCTTATTTTTAATAACCTAGCTCATGGTAATTATTTGTGTGAGTGCATTGTTTATGTAAGCAGAGTGTTATTCATCATAACAAAGACGAGGAGTAAAGAACGGCATGAGGGAGTGTTGCCTGTCACACTTTGTGGAAACACAGCAATGAGAATTGTTAAGTCTGTGTTTTTTTAAAATCTCTCTTTTATTGTAGAGATGATGAAAGGCAAAAGGTGTGTTTGGACATCATTTATAAAGTGATGGCAAAATTGAAACCAGTGGAACTCCGAGAACTTCTGACCCCTGTTGTAGAATTTGTGTCTCACCCGTCTCCTGTGTGCAGGGAACAAATGTATAATATTCTCATGTGGATTCATGACAACTACAGGTAAGCTCCATACTGATATTTAATAGGACTTTTCTTAGTGATCTTTTGGGTGCATTTAGCAGTCTGAAACATAATAGAACACTATGTAATCACGTAGTTCAAAGCAAAACATTTTATGTTGAATTTTGTCTTTTATGTTGAATTATGTGGTCTTGACTTATCCATAGTTTTGTTTATTGCAGTGTTATATGCCTGCATTTATTCAAGGTATGAGGATGGTAAATGGAAAGTTCCAGAAGTAAGCAAAGCATAGTTTGAAACTGAACTTGTACCGTTCTAACTAGTGTAACATCTCCCTCCATCCTTCTCTGTCCCACCTCAGGGCATGAGTCGTCCCTTTGCTCACTCACGCCATGTAGCTACCCACCCAATAATCACTTAATGTAATCACCTCAGCTGTTGTATTGCTGCTCAAAGCACAAAAACCACGGTGCTGGCAATCCAGATGTGCTGAGGAGAATCACAGCATGTCAGGGTTGAGGAGCATTTTTTCTGCCAAGGGCCATTTGTATACTTACAACATCATTCATGAGCCATACAAAGTTATCAACTTAAAAATTAGTTTGCTGTAGAGTCCTTACACTTGGAGTCTTGTCTGCAGGTTGCCTTGGCAGGGTGGGACCGTGTCTTCAGGGCCTCACACAGCCCACAGACTGAATGTTCCCCTACTCCCTGCTTTATGTGAAAAGGTTAACATAGAAAAAGATTTTTGAGAGAAAAACGATCACTTTCTTATTAATTTTACCATAGTACATTGTTATTGTTATATCTTGTTGATAACCTCTTCCTGTACCCAGTTTATAACTTTATCACAGGCAGGTGTGTAGATAGGAAAGCATGTAGTCTATAATGGATTTAAAACTGTCCTTGGTTTCAGGCATCCACTCAGAATCTCAGATCGTTTTCCCTCATGTCTGAGGGGGACTGCAATTTGTGTAGGAAGTAGTGAGGCTATTGGGTGAGCTAAAATGTGTCAGTATTCTGTTTGTAGAATAAAGACTTAATTTTGTAGTTACTCCTTATAGTCTGCAACATTGAGATGAACTTGGCCAGGATACCTCATCCTGCAGGAACCCATGGCAGCACTGCAGGCTGTTCTATGCCTGCTCGTGGTGCCCATGGCTGCCCTCTGGTCTTACCATCCCTCCCCTGCTGGCAGCAATGAAAGGGGCTCATGAAGGGGGAAGGAAGGTGTCAGGCCCAGGCACACACTAAGCAGGTACTGCTCTGAGCTGGGGCAGGTCCCGTAAGAACGCAGTTGTCTTCAATTCTAGATGGTATTCTTGAAGTCTAAAGGCGAGTGCTGATGTTTTGCTATTTGTTGTTTTCTCAGAGATCCAGAGAGTAAGGCAGACGGTGACTCCCAGGAAGTGTTTAAGTTGGCAAAGGAGGTGCTGATTCAAGGACTGATTGATGACAGCTCCAGCCTTCAGTAGGTCTCCTCTTGGAATAATTGGGCCAGAACAGTTGCATTTTAGGAGTACTGCTTTCCAGACAAACGTACAGTATTTTTAAACACTGTTAGAAATATATTGGCAATATCTTTAGTCTTTCCTGCATTTCCTGTATAGTCAAAATGTATTTTAAGTCACATTGTAAAGATTAAGTCTTAGAAATCCTAGCAAGTTACTTTAAAATTTTTGCAGAAGGTGTGGACAGAACATTCTGTTGGTACAATGAGCTAAATTGTTTCAGAGTAGAAAGAAAATGTGTAAGGATGATTCTTCTGTTTCCCATTTAACACAGACAGCTAGGCTTGCATGAGACATATTAATGCTGACTGATGTGTCTGGAACCTTAAGGCTGAGAGGAACCCATCGTGTTATCACGTGAGCGAGGATTACTGTGGCCTGAGGTACAGCCCTCAACCAGCTGCACGGTTGTCTAGTCAAGACTTCATCACAGTAGGAAGGACAACTCATCTTTGATGTGATTCTGTGTATCAGCTTATCTTTGTGTTCTGCTACAGTTTTAAATTCATTAAGATTTTGAAAATTATATTTGGATTTCATAAATCTCAGTAAATTATAAAAAAGTCTAAGCTTTTTTACCAGCTGAAGTTGGAATATTTTAGGGCAAGAATTTTTTTTTTTAAGATTTATTTATTTGAAACAATTAGAGAAGTTTCTGTTGGCTGGTTCACTCCCCAGATGGCTGCCATGGCCAGGAGTTGGGCCAGGCTGAAATCAGGAGCCTCTTCCAGGTAGGTCTCCTGTGGGGGTCACTGGGACACCAGCACTTTGGCAATCTTACACTGCTTTCCCCAGGCCATTATCAGGAAGCTGGATTCAAAGTAGAGGAACTAGAACACAAACTGGCACCTGTGGGGGATGCTGGTGTTACGGGGGTTCTGCCACACACAACACTGGTGTAATTTTTAGAGTGTTATGAATGATTATATGTATCCTCTCAGGATGTCTTTTCAGCTTCAACTTAGATAATATTATGTTCTCGTTCTTGAATATTTCCCAGGGGATTGAGATGAGAAAATAACATTCCCACCTCCAGTTTCTCACCTCTTGTAGAATGCGCTGCCCTTTGGCAATGTTCCACTCCTTCAAGACATTATTGTGTTCCTAGTTCAGATCATTATCTTTATGTTTACAGGCTTGGGTGTGCTCTCCCCCATGGTTAAGCTTTCTGTGTCTTCTCTGTGTGATATCCTGAACAGGATTTTTTTCTTCTCCATTTACCAATTCTTAAATTAAATGCACTTTTCTGTCTGCTTTTCAGACTGGTTGTTCGAAACTTCTGGAGCCATGAAACTAGGTTACCTTCAAATACCTTGGACCGGTTGTTGGCACTAAACTCCTTATATTCACCTAAGATTGAAGTGCACTTTTTAAGTCTGGCAACAAATTTTCTGCTTGAAATGACCAGCTTGAGCCCAGATTATCCAAACCCCATGTTTGAGCATCCTTTGTCAGAATGCGAGTTTCAGGTGATGTGTTCATCTCCGGGTAATAACAGATATCAAGGGCTTTCTGCATTTGTTAATGCACATTTTCTACTGGTGCTAAACTGGCTCTCTTACTTTCCGGAAAGAGGCTCATCTCCCTCTTCCTCTCAGCCTCTGTTGGATTTCCTTCCACCTTCCCCCACCTGCCCTGTCCGCCTGCACCTTCCTGGGGCATGCTCTGGAGTGTCCAGAGCTCCTGGAAGGTGGGGCCTGGAGCTGCACCGTCCACACTGGTGTCTCTAGTTATAAGAGTTAACCCTTATTAAGGGTCTGGCACTGGAAACTTTTGTTTTTGAAATATGAACATACACATAAATTTGGGAATGGACCCAAGTTGACTTCTGTTTCTTATACAACTTTTACACATAGCCTAAAGGTGACTGTGCACAACATTTTTATGCACCTGTGTTTTGACCTGGCCCATCGCTTGAGACAGGTGGGGAATTTTCCACCAGTGGTCCAGAATATTTGGGGTTTTGGAGCATCTCAGATTGCAGGTTATCTTGTCAGATATGCACAACCTGTGACTATCTCCTACCTAATGTTTGTGCACACTCAGAAGAGCTAGGCCACTGGCTTGCAGCATTGTGTCGTGGTGCTATTACTAGCTGTGCTATCAGCCTGGCCATGTAGAATGTGAAAGTAGAAAAATAGTCTTTCCTCCCATGACAGTTTTTTTTTTAATATTTGTTCATTTTTATTTGAAAGGCAAATTGTAGAGAGAAGGAGAGACAGAGAGAGCGTTCTTCTATTCACTGGTCCACTCCCCAACTTGCCACAATAGCCAGAGATGAGCTGATCCAAAGCCAGGAGCCATGAGATTTCTGGGTCTCCCATGTGGCTGCAGGAACCCAAGGACTTGAACCGTCCTCCACTGCTTTTCTAGGCCATAAGCGGGGAGCTGAATCAGATATGGAGCAGCCAGGACATGAACTGGTGCACATATGGCGTGCTGATACATCACCTTACTGACCCCAAGATTTATTGATTTACTTAAAAGACATAGTTCCAGAAATAAATAAGAGACAGAGTATCTGCCCACCTGCTTACTGACCAAATGGTCACAGTGGCCACAGGAACTGGTATAAGCTGAAGCTAAGAGCCAGGAACTCCATCGGATCTCTAATGTGGGTACAGGGGCTCAAAGATTTGAGCCGTCATCAACTGCTTTCCCAGATGTGTTAGCAAGTAGCTGGATTAGAAGTGTAGCAGCTAGACTTGAAACAGTATGTGGGATGCTGGTGTCACACACAACAGTTTAATGTGCTGCACCACAGTGCCAGCCCCAGCACTTAGCTTTTATAGTTGGCAAATAATTTTTTAAATTTAATTCTATGGGCCCAGTGCAATAGCCTAGTGGCTAAATCCTTGCTTCACATGTGCCAGGATCCTATATGGGCACTTGTTCAAGTTCCGGCTATTCCATTTCCCATATAGCTCCCTGCTTGTGGCCTGAAAAAGCAGAGACTCTGCACCCATGTAGGAGACCTGGAAGAAGCTCCTATCTCTTGGCTTCAGATTGGCACAGCTCCAGGCATTGCCTCCACTTGGGGAGTGAACCAGTGGACGGTTCTCCTTCTTTCTGTAAACCTGATCTACCTTAATAAAAATAAATAAATCTTAAAAAAAAAAAACCCACTGCCTTTCAAATAATAAATAAATCTCAAAAAAATTAGTTTAAATTTTGATGTTGTTTAAATAGTTAACAAGAATGCCCATGAGGACCACTGATCAGAGTGGGGAGGGTCAAGGTATGGGGAAGGTGAGTGGGGCAAATGTTTCCAATTTTTTTCCTTTTTCTCTTGTACCTGGGAGTGGGGGAACAAAGGAGGGACAGGGGGCTGCCCCAGCTGCCAAACTGCATACTACATCAGTATCTGGGGATGGGAGATGTCCACTTGATGTCATCTTAGAAACTCCGATATGGAGAAGAATGTTCCAAGGGTATAGCTTAAGTAGTTTTGATAGCTCCAAGACACTGCTGATTTCATTGCTCCAAGGTTGAGAAAATTCTTCCAAGGTCCATTGGCTGACAGAGTCCCCCCTAATGGATCCACTCACCCAGGCTCTCGCTGCCAAGGAATTGCCAGCCAACTTGTATACCTGTTCAGCTCTCCATCTTCTTACATAGCATTCAAGAGTCCTCAACAGACCCAAAAGAGCTGGCCATAATGTGCCCTGTGTGCACTTAGGCAATTGGCAAATAATTGAAACTTTTGAACTGGAGAACATTCTTCTCCCACTACTTTGCACAGAGAGATACAGACTCTCGGGACATCCCAGCCAGCAGATGGTCAGTAAGATTGGTGTGCAGCTAAAGCAGGATGTCATCTCACGCAGACCTTTCTTACCTGCAGGAGTACACCATCGAGCCTGATTGGCGTTACCGAAGCACCGTGCTCACCCCAATGTTTGTTGAGACCCAGGCCTCTCTAAGCTCGCTTCAGACCCGAACCCAGGAAGGCTCCCTCCTGCCCCGAGGGCCAGCAGCTCGGCAAATTAGGGCCACCCAGCAGCAGTATGATTTCACGCCCACACAGACCACAGGTGACCAGCTTCCTGCGTTCTTTTGGGGGTTAGAGCCCAGCAAAGATGCTTTCTTCCACTGAGAGATACACAGAGGTCTCTCTGACAATCACAGAGACAGAGGACAGAGGACCAGTAGAGGCCATGTAGGGTTCATGGGTAATGGGGAGCAAATGCCAGCACTGAGGATAGCAAATACTTGAATTGGTTTACTTTAATTAAAAAAAAAATTATACATTGGCATTATTTCTGCCTGGAACAAGCAGGTCCAGTATTTTCCTATTGTTTTAATTTTTTGTCCAGAAAAATTTGTATGGTGCCTCAACTTTAAAACATCTTACCTCAAAAGCATGGAAGAACTGAACCAGATTCATTTACCATGTCTTATACTTTATTCAACTGTTTTCTCAGGTGGTTTAGCTGTCTGATAAGCAAAGTACCAATTACAGAGTAAAATGTGGAAATAATTATATATAAACACTTCAGCCTTTGCTTTATGTAATTTCTTTTGCACTTGATGATTCTGGAAGTAGGACTGCTATGATCAATCATGATGAAAAGTCTATGACAGCAGTGTGGGAACTGTGGGTTCTTGGCACCTGGCAAATGCATGGCAACATCCCTGTGATGGCCCTAGCCTCCAGAGAAGGGGCATGAGGTGTTTGTTTACAAATGGGGACCCTGAGGTGCAGGTGCCTTGGTCAGCCTTGGGTCCCGCTCCAGGAACCTGATGGAGCCTCAGCTCAGTGTCGCAGGGGAGCATGGAAGCCCCATGTCACCAGGTGTGTCTGACCAGCCTCGCTGCTGGCCCCCAGGTCAGGCTGAGCTGTGCCATGCAGTGCTGAGTGAATGGCGTGACTGCTCTGACCATCCATGTTGCAGATGGAAGGAGCTCATTCAATTGGCTGACTGGGAGCAGTATTGACCCGCTGGCAGATTTCACAGCCTCCTCATCATCATCAGAGTCCTTGTCTTCTTCCTTGCTGTTTGCCCACAAGAAGAGTGACAAGGCACCGAGAACACCGTGGAAGCCCGTGGGACCTGACTGTCTAAAGAAAAGGCTGGGCCTTCCTGGGGACGAGGTGGATAACAGAGTGACGGGTAAGTCAGGGTCAGAAATAGCCTCCCTTGTCAGTTTCTGCAGGACCAGGAGTGCTTTTCTCACTGTGGCCCTGTGTCCTTGTGCTTGTAGTTAAACCCCTTAAAATTCCCTGCAGTGAACGTGGTCTGGCCACTTATCACGTGGAAAGCTTCGTTTTGTAGTTGTTCCCAGAAAGCCATTGAAAAAATTAAACCCAGTTCATGGTTTTCTGAAACAGCAGGGGTTGGTGAGGCAGCAACTGACACTCATCAAGATGAGGTAAAATTGGTAAAAAAAAAAAAAAAAAAAAGCTTCAAAAACAAGCACTTAAATCCAGGTTAGGAATGGAGGAAACACCTGGGGAGGCTGGGAGTAGGAGGACCCCTGAGAACAACCATGGGTGGGTGGGAGCTCCGAGGTTAGTTCACAGAAAGGCTCCCTGGCTGGGTGCAGTGCTGAGGGGGCTAAGAGGACACCTGGCAGGACCTGCCCGCTGCGTGCCAGGAGGACGGGCTGGGAGGTGGCTCTTGAGAACTACAGCTCTGGGATTGAGTGAAAACCCAGGGGAGGAAATATCCAGGGCAAAGCAGGTCCCAAGACAGAGGCCTGGGCAAAAGCCAGTGTGCCTGCATTGGTTTGGATATACAGAAGTGAAACTAGGGGAAATTTTTTTTTTCACTTACTATTAGCAACTAAAACACTCCCTGACATACAGTACTTGCACTTTGCTTCTAACTCCTTCCCTCAAACATTCCCAGTGCACATGTGGTCTGTTCACAATTCCCTGAGGGTCATAGCATGAGATGAGTTTTTTTTTTCCATAGGTTTCAGGGATTTCCCCTTTCATCCTCCCCAATCACTCTACCCCCCCACTATATTCCTCCCTATATTATATACTTTTCCCTATATTATTACAATGGCAAAGTCCTTCAACAACAGTCACAAGTCCATCATTGTGCTATTCAAATGTTTCATGCCATTGTAGGTATAGACAGTGGTAGAAATTCTAGTATTCTACTGTCATGATGTCTAACAGTTTCATTGGGAGTGCAACGGTGAGCTTTGCCCTCTTGCTGCTCCTGGCTCTCGGGGTGCCTCACTCTCAAGTGCTCTCCATCCCTTTCTCCCCGCTCTGCTGCTTCTCACTGTCTTTGCTTTACACCCTCTCTCATCTCAGCCCCACCACACATGCACAGCCCTCCTTTCCTGCGCATGGACCTCAGAGGCTCTGACTTGAACTTCTCCAAGGTGCCTGCACCTCTTAGCTTGCTGTTGTGTCTTAGCTGCAGCCTGCAGACAGCACTGCCAGCTGTTGAGTCAGGCTTTCCCTGTAAGCTTTGAAGGAGCACTGCCATCTAGTTACTTTAGTACTAGCAAGACCAACTCGGCAATAGTTGGTTTTTTTTTTTAGATTTATTTATTTTTCTTGGAAAGTCAGATTTATAGAGAGAAAGACAGAGAGAAAGATCTTCCATTTGCTGGTTCACTCCCCAAGTGGCCACAATGACCACAACCGAGTCAATCTGAAGCCAGGAGCCTCCTCTGGGTCTGCCATTTGGGTACAGGGTCCCAAGGTGCTGGACTACCCTCTACTGCCTTCCCAGGCTACAAGCAGGGAACGAGAAGGAAAGTGGAGCAGCAGGAACAGAAATGCGCCCATATGGAATCTTGGCGCATGCAAGGCAAGGACCTTAGCCACTAGGCTAGCACTCCAGACCCCAGTTGCTTTCTTTTTAAAAAGAGATGTTTTTAAAAAACATTTATTTAATTTTTTGCAAGCCATAGTTACAGAGACAGAGAGATATCCTCCTTCCACTGGTTCACTGTGCACATGAGTGTAATGGCCATGGCTGGGCCAGGCTCACGGCAGGAGCCAGGAGCTTCTTCCAGGTCTTCCACATAGGCCATCTTTGCTGCTTTTCCCAGGCACATTTAAAGGGAACTGGATTGGAGATGCAGCACCGGGATTTGAACTGGTACCCCGTAAAGGATGAGAGAGTCATAGATCATAGCTTTACCTGCTGTGCCGCAGTGCTGACTCCAGCTTCTTTCTTGAATGGCAGGAGGGGAGGAGGCGGAGGGTGCCGAGGCTCAGAAAAAAATGAAAGTTGTGAAAGCTGGCAGCAACGATTGTCTGCATCTCAAATTGTAACCTATTTTCTTGAGCATATTTATAGAGTAAAAATTAATGTCATGCTAAAATGAAGGTTGAATTGAGAGATCATATGTAGAAATTACTACATCTTCTGAGCCTTCTGATATTTTTTTCCCACATTTTTCCTTTTGCCTATTTTCTGGGAAATCTCTTCAACTTTTTTTTCCCAACCTTAGCTGTTTCAGTTTTTGACCTTTTTTTTTTTTAATTTCCAAAAGCTCTTTTCGTTCTGTTTCTTCAGTCCTTAACTCAGCTGTTATCAGCTCTTTTCTGATAATTAAATCTTTGCAAAATTTTTTTGCTACAGGGTCTGCTTTTAGTAACCATTTTCCTGTCATTTGTGTTGGTTTCTGCCCTTCATTTTTGAAACTTTGCTCAAAATGTCTGGTGACTTGGCGTTTTGAATTGTGTTTTCAGGTGGGGCACTAAAGCAGCTTTGGGCATAATGCAGGCACGGTGACTTGGCCTGAAAGGGAAGCGGGGCCAAACAAGCATGGTGATATGACCTGGGGAGGAGGTGGGTCAGGAGTGCGGGGTGATATGGTCTGAAAAGGAGGTGGTGTCGAGCAGGCAGGGAACCGTTTCATGGGGAAAAGGCCAGGTTGATTGCTCATGGTGAAGTGGCCTGAGAAGGAGATGGGGCCAGTTTCCCTGGAGATATGGTCTGTGAAGGAGGCGGTGACGATTGTGGCAGGTGGCGATGTGATCTGGGAAGAAGGCACGGTCATATGTGCCAGTTGACTTGATCTGGAAAGGAGGGGGAGTCGATTGTGCCAGGTAACTTGGCCCGAGAGAGGTGAATGGAGGGGGCAGGGTTAATATGGCACGCATGTAGTGGGGTCAAGCACACAGGGTAACATGGCCTGGCATCAAGTGTGTGGTGGCATGGTGTGGAAACATGGCTGGTCTTAGCGCACAGGATATTGTGGCCTAAGAAGGAGGAGTAGCCCTAGGAATATATCCAAAATACCTGTTACACGAGAAGCCAACATGCATCCCTATGTTCATAGCAGCACAATCAGTAATTGCAAAAACATGGAAGCAACCAAAATACCCATCAGCAGAAGACTGGATAAGAAAGCTATGGTTCATCTACTCCATGGAATACTACTCAGCTATTAAAAAAAACAAAATGCAGTTCTTTGTGGCCAAATGGGCCCAACTGGAAACCATAATGCTAAGGGAAATGAGCCAATCCCAAAAGGTTAGATACAACAAGTTGCCTTAATTTAAGATGAAATGATGTCAATATGTACCTGTAAATGTAATATTATCTCAACCTCAAACAGCCGGTCTCACATGCAATCAGATATTGTGAAGTAACCAACGAACCAACAATCAGTGCGAGTCCGACTGCTTATGATTTACATCAAAGAATTGTAAAACCCAATATACTTTTAATTCCCTATGTTATTCCGTAATGGGGTGGGAGAGTGGAGAAATCTTCCATCACCCTAGAAGGTGTGAGGAAGACGTGAAATATTAGTTGCTCCTCACTGGGATATTGAGGATTTCTCTGCACACCCCTCCTAAAACTGTTCTGCAACTAAACTGTTGACATATGTCTTGTCGGAGTTATAAGCCAGTCTAGACTACCCGAAAAAATAGCCAGGTTCAGCAAAATTATGCTTCAATGCTATAAAAGGCTAAATATTATCATGAAAATAGACACAAGACAGCTGAACGGTAATCTATAGCTATTTTAAGATGTATAGAACCCATTGTATATAAACTAAAATTGAAATGTCAATGAAGTAGTCACAGGATGTGGTTAAGAACTTGCATTTATTTTTAACATATTGGTTACTCAATACTATGTCAATTAATTCCATAATGTTATAAATTGTTGCTGATGTCATGTTGGAGCTTTTAATTGATCGGGATGATACTCTGCTGGCTCTACCTTCAGACCAGAGAAGGTCTCTCTAAGAAGTAATTGAACTTATCTGGACAATAAGATGCTGGACTCTATGCTTGGTATATGCTTGCAATGAAGGAATCTCAACTGAACTTGCACTGTGGTAATGCAACAAGGTGGAGGAATCCACCATGGGGGGAGGGTTAGGGAGGGGTGGGGGGAATTCCAGTACCTATAAAATTGTGTCACATAATGCAATGTAATTAATTAAATTTTTTAAAAAAGGAGGAGGAGTATCGATGGCACAGGAAAGTGCATCAGGTACCGTGGCCTGGCAACATGCCAGGGTCAAGTGTGCAGGATGCCGTTGCCTTGGTAGGACATGGAGGCTAGCACACAATTACATTGCTGGGAAGGAGGTGGAATCCAAGACACCTGGTAACTGGGAAACCTGCTGGGTTCTGGCGGGCAGTATGATATGTGCTGGGAAGCAGGCAGGATCGAGCTTGCGCGATGATCTGGCGTGGGAAGGGGCCTGGGTTTAGCGGGCAAGGTGACTTGTCCTGGGAGGATGCGGGGTCCAGCACCCATGGTGACCCTAGCCTGGGAATGAGGTGATTGCCCAGTGACCAAGCGCGCCCTTGGCGACTTGCTCTAGGAAAGAGTCGTGATCAAGCATGTGTGTTGATATTACTTGCAAAGGTTGCTAGGATTGGGCAGGGTGACGAGTGCTGGAAAGGAGGCAGGTTGAGCGCACAAGGTTACCTGGCCTGGGAATGTGTTGGCGTCAAGAATGTGGTGTTTGGCCCGGGAACAAGACATGGTCAAACATGCAAGTTGATGGCCAAGGAACGGGGCCTGGGTCTGGCGGACTGGGTGGTGTGTCCTGGGATGGAGGCGGAGTTGGATGCAGGCTTAGTGAGCTGGGCTGGAAAACTACTGGGTGAAGCTCAGTGACTTGGTCTGGGAAAGGAGGCGTGGTTGAACATGCGCACTGGCTTGAGAAGGGGCCTGGGTTTTCTTGGAAGGAGGCGGGACAAACGCAGGCGCACTCCGTGACCTGGCCTGGGAATCTGGTAAAGCGTCCCCATGGTTACTTGCCTTGGAAGGAGGCGTGGTCGAGCATGCGCGTTGAAAGCACCGGGAAGGCTACTGGAGTCTGCCGAGCAGGGTCATGTGTGGTGGGAAAGACGCAGAGTTGAGCACGCGTGTTTCCGGGTGTGGGAATGTGGTGGGGTCAAGTGTGCCAGCCTATGGGGCCTTGACCTGGGAAGAGTCGAGATCGGGCATGCGTGGTGACATGGTCTGGGAAGGATGCTGAATCTAACAGGCAGAGTGACACGTCCTGGGAAGAAGGCGGGGACCACAGCGTGCTGGGAAGGGTCAAGGTGGGCGGTGATTGGTCTGGGAAAAGGCACAGTTGAGCATGCGTGTTGACATAGCCTGGGCAGGGTGCTGGGTCGAGCTGGCAAGGCAATGTGGCTTGGAAAAGAGGCAAAGTTGCGCGCCGCAGTTATCTGACCTGGGAATGTGGTGGGGTCAGATTGGCTGTCAGTGATTGGCTTGGGAAGGAAGCGGGTTTAGCATATGCACGGACATGACCTTGGTAGGAGCCAGGCTGGAGCAGGAAAGTGACTTGTGCTGGGAAGGAGGCGGGGTCAAGCTCCTGCGGACCTGACATAGGAATGTGGTGGGATCCAGCATAGCCGTGGTGAAGGGTTAGCATTCGCAGTGACTTAATTTGGGAAGGTCACTGGGTTTAGCGAAAGAGATTTGTCCTCGGGCAGAACTGGGAACTTGGTTGGTCAAGTATGCCCGTGGTGATTTGGTCTGAGAAGGAATGGGGTCGAGTATTCATTGTGACATGGTTGGGAAGGGTCGTAGTGATTGGAGAGTGACATCAAGTGCACCTGGTGACATAATTTGAGAAGGACGCCAGGTAAAGTGCTCACCATGACCTGGCCTGGGGAGGAAGCGGAGTGGAGCACTCATGTTGACAGTATCTGGAAAGAATGTGGCTCTGAGTATTCACACGGAAGTGACCTGGGAGGAGGCAAGTCTTGGTGCACTTGGTGATATCCTGGGACAGAGGATGGGTAAGTGCTCACTTGACCTTGTTCTAGGAGGTGGCAATGAGGAAAGGAGGTCCCACCAAGTGCTGGGGGTGAGGTGTTGGCGGGACGTACTGGGTCACGTGGTCTGAAATGGCGGCTGGGCTAAGTGTGTGCATTGACTTGTAAACCTGCTTAATGTTCTCTAGGCAGCGACAGTCGGGTAGAAATACTAAGATTACGCAGACGATTTTTAAAAGACCAAGAAAAAGTCAGTTTAATTTATGCCAGAAAAGGCATTGCTGAACAACAACGAGAAAAGGTTCGTATCTTTTTTCTTTCTTTTAATTTGGTTAAAAATAGCTATTTTATCCGAAGGCCAGAATCCCCCGTCTGATACTGGTTCCCGTATGGATCTGCAACCAGAATGACAGAAGCAGCAGTGTGTGGGTTCAGGTTGCCTACAGGCCAAACTGTCTGAGCCCTTGGGTGTGAAGAGAGTTGAGGACACCTTGGCGAGAGTGCCCATGCCCCTGAATCTGTTGTTCACCTGGCTCTCATCCTGTGGGCCTGTCTCCACCTCCTTTTCTTGGCCCACAGCAGCCCAGTTTTGTCCTGTTTGCCCATGGTGCAGAGTGACCACCAGCCTTCCTGTATCTGGTGTCTTAGGGTGTGGGCAGGCAGGCAGGCCAAGCTCTCTGCCCCCTGACCAGAGCCCTGGAGAAGGATGTCAGAGCTGTATGTGGACCGAGCCACTGCAGAAGGTGTCTGTGCGAGGCAGGGTGAGGCCATGCGGTGGGAGAGGTGGCCAGTCCCAGAAAGGGGCACTGGAGTCTCTGTGCTGAAAACTGTGGTTGGAAACACGGACGGCGTGACTTAATAAACATCCCTCAAAATATGGACTTGAGGAAGGCCTTTGTTCAGCCGTGCTTTAGTTTTGTTAAGTCAATAACTGTGGCACAATTTCTAAGAAAGTTAAGATGGTTTGTGAATAAAATCCCTGCTGTTCATCTAATTCAGTTTAAATGCTCGGCCACTTTGTTAAAATCCACATCCAAGTGTGAAGTTGTTGAATGATCCTGCCCCTTCCTCTGGAAGAATCCAAAAATCAGGCTGTGTCCGAGCCCCTTTCCTGCTTCCCACACCATTCCTGGAGGGGCTTCCCTTAGCCAAGAGAAGGGGCCTTGGATTGTGGTGAAAACCAAACCTAGCAAGATGTGCTGACAAGGACACTGGTAGAAGGAAAAGTAGGCGTTGCAACTCCGTCCTGATCTCTCCTGAAGCGCGTGGGTCATCTTTCACCACTTTGCCCAGATGCGTTAGCAAGGAGCTGAATCAGAGGCAACAGCAGGATGAGCCCGTGTTAGGATCTGAAATGCCGGCACCACAAGCAGCAGTTCACAAACAGCTCTGCCACAGTGCTGCCTCCTCCTTGGATTTGCTTGGGAAAGGAATTCTGATCTTCTTGTTTTGGGGATTGTAGGAGATCCAGAGTGAACTGAGGATGAAGCAGGATGCGCAGGTGGTTCTGTACAGGAAGTACCGGCTGGGAGACCTGCCCGACATCCAGATCAAACACAGCAGCTTGATCGCGCCCTTGCAGGCCGTAGCCCAGGTCAGTGCCTCGCGACTGTGTCCTCAGCCAGCAGCTCAGGAGATCTGCTGCGGTTCCAGGGGTTTCCTGTGCACAAGCAAGAAGAATTGAGGCCGTTCTCTGTCACAGATATTTGTCCTGGATAGCGGACTTGATTTAAAGACCCTGGACTCTGTCCCGAGCCTCGCTGGGCTGTTTCCACTGTTAGGGTGTGTTTCCAGTTCTTTTCACACAGAGAGATTGACTTAGAGCTATGAGGACTTAGACCCCAAAAGTGAGTGTTTGCTTTAAGTCAGTTAGTGTTCAGTCATAGAGTCTTCATCTGTCACATCAAAGAGTTAATGTTAGGATGATACAAAGTGTAAAGCAAGTTGGTGAATCATTAAAGTGCCAAGCCATTCACACTGTTAATTATAAAAATTTTTTAAATTGATTTTGACTATACATTTTTTAAAGATTTACTTATGTTTGTTGTAAAGGCAGATTTACAGAGAGGAGGAGAGACAGAGAGGAGGATCTTCCATCTGATGATTCATTCACCAAGTGGCCACAACAGCCGGAGTTGCACCGATCTGAAGCCAGGAGCCTGAAGCCTTTTCTGGGTCTCCCGCGCAGGTGCAGGGTCCCAAGGCTTTGGGCCACCCTCTGATGCTTTCCCAGGCCACAAGCAAGAAGCTGGATGGGAAACGGGGTCGCTGGGATTAGAACCAGCACCCATATGGGATCCTGGTGCATATGAGATGAAGACTTTAGCTGCTAGGCTACCACACTGGGCCCCAAAGATTTTTTTTGAATATTTATTTTATTTTTATTGGAAAGTTAGATGTGGATGCGGGGAGACAGAGAGGAACATCTTCCATTCCCCAAGTGGCCCCAATGGCCAGAGCTAGGGGCCTCCTTGGGTCTCCCATGGGGATGCAGGGTCCAAGGGCTTTGGGCCGTCATTGATTGCTTTCCCTGGCCATGGGCAGGGAGCTGGATGGGAATCTGGGCCACTGGGATTGGACATTTTCCTTCTTTGTTTTCGTATTTACTTGGGAGGCACAGCTCTGACTCTGGACTGGCCTAGTTCCTACCATTGGGACTATCTGGGTAGTGAAGGAGCAAATGAAGTATCACTCCTCCCTGTGTATTGCTCTCTCTAACTCTTCCTTTCAAATAAACAAACAAATAATTTTTTCTTAGAAATCTTTTTTTAACTTTCTAAATACAATTGAGAATCTATTTAGAATTCTCATCTGGAGGATATGTTTGCATGTCTCTTTTCCAGTATGTATGAATGACATCATTTTTGCTGACCTGAATCGGTCTTTGCTTTGCATTTTCTTACAGAGAGATCCGATAATTGCAAAACAACTCTTCAGCAGCTTGTTTTCTGCAATCTTGAAGGAGATGGGTAAATCTAAGACGGTGTCCGAGCAGAGCAGCATCACTCACAAGTTGCTCCAAGACTTTAATCGTTTCCTCAACACCAGTTTTTGTTTCTTCCCGCCCTTCGTCTCCTGCATCCAGGTAGGTCCGCAGAGCCCTTTGTCGGCTGGGTGTCATCCACTCCGGCTTCCTGAGGCGGTCTCTCCAGCATCTCAGACAGGAGCGAGGCGTTGCAACAGAGAGGCTGTGCTGCTCGTAATTTATGACAGGGTCATGGTGTGTACAACACTGTCATCTCAACCTCGGAAAATAAAGCCTGCCCTCTACTCACTGTTGAGCCTAGTGAGTTCCTGAATTGCTCAGTTAGATTCTTTAACACTATTGGAAGCAGTGCTGGCTTACACACTAATTGCGTAGTGATGATCTCCAATGAGGTATGTAGTTGTCCTGTTTCCTTGTTTTTGCTGCCATTTTATGTATTCTGTTTTCATTGGTTTATGATTTACAAGTAGAATTCTATCATTGTTTTCTCCTGGCTACACCAAAGATAGAAGTTTTAGTAATTATGCTGAATCAGCTAAAAGGCAATTTCTCTTTACATTGTGTTCCAAATTTTTTTAAAAATAAGATTAATTTCCTTCTTGCAACCTGATAGTCATTTTTTAAAAAGCTGTCTGTTCATCCCCTGGTCGCTCTTTCTGTGAGTGGTGAGCCAGCACTGAGTAGTAAAGCACCTCTGAGAGCTTGCTGGTCGCTGCTCACCACGGGAGATGCAGTGGGTATGCAGGGGCGCCTGTGCTTTTCAGCCTCTGCTCTGAGTACTTCCTGGGGACTCGCAGCTGAGACAGGTCGTCGGAGCCCTTTGGCCCAGTATTTATGCGGGTGCTTCCTCACAAAGCCGGCAGCACTAAAAGTTTATGTAACCAAGAGTCTGCAGCTGAGAGGTTTGCTTCTGCCAAGCAACTCATTGTTTATAGAGTAGAATGATGCTGTAAACAAGGTTGCACTGAATGGCTCCTGTTGAAATTAACTTGCAGACCTCATTTACGTTAGACACGGTGACGTGTACAGGAGAGCTATCCCAGTGGGAATCATTCATTCATTCAGACTACTTCGTCTAGGAGCTCTGGGGCCGAGGATGAATGAGTGTTAAGTTCCACGCAGTCAGAGACAGTACTGTCTGCAGTAGCATCTGGGGCATAGCCGATCCTGGATGAATATTTATAAGGAGGGGGTTACTGGAACAAATAATGTATATGTTTGTTTAAAAGATGTCCTGTACCTTGTGGTGGGTCAATCAGAGTGATGCCATCTCAGAAACTGACAACTTGGCCATAATGAGCCTTTGCTGCATTATTAATTGCAGTATAATTTTTTAAGGATTTATGTATTGCTTTTATTGGAAAGGTAGATATACAGAGAGAAAGATCTTCCATCTGCTGGTTTACTCCCCAGGCGGCTGCAATGACCAGAACTTAGCCGATCTGAAGCCAGAAGCAGGATCCTTCTCTGGGTCTCCCACACAGGTGCATGGTCCCAAGTTTCTGGGCCATCCTCTACTGCTTTTCCAGGATGCAAGCATGAAGCTGGGTGGAAAGTGGAGCACCCAGGACACAAACCAGCCCCTAAATGGGATCCTGGGTATGCAAGGCGAGGATTTAGGGTCCTGAAGTAGAATTTTATGTGTTTCTTTTCCTTGTCACTCCTTCTTAGAGTGACAAACATTTTTGTTTGTTCAGGTGTTTGGGGAAATTTATATTCTTTTATCAGTCTTAAAGTGAAACTTGAGTTGTCATGATGGTCACCTGACAGGTGACCGGTGTGTGCGGAGCACGTGGGACCAGTGAGAGGGTACAAGGAGTACATGGCACATGGACACAGGAACCATGTGCACACTTGCATGCTCATTCTGTCCATATCCTTCTGTGTATTGAATTGGGGGGTGTTGTTCATTACTTTGATGTATATAGGACTCCAAATTGTAACCTGCAAAATACAGATTGTTATAATTCATGAAATGTAAGCATTGTTGAATAAGTTAGCTGTGCATGGAAAATATGGGGAAAAAATGAGGTTGCATGGAATAATGGGCAGATGAATCACCTACTTTTAATGAAAATACACAATCTTTGTATTTCAGCTATTTTTCTTAGCAAATCAGGCTAACTGTTCCTGGCAATTACAGCTGTTGTTGGGATATGTAAAATATATATAAATCTTCACATCTTGCTAGTGTTTTCTTCCTTTAAACTAATTTCGAGATTGGAAGTGTAAAAATAAAAGCATTTCCTGCTTGGAGAAAATTGAATATTGAGGGCAAATTTGTTAATAAAATTATACAGAGAAGCTTTTAGTGATATCACTACTTACGTCAAAACTTGCTTTTATGTTTAATAAAATGAATTATTCACTTGGTGAAGATACAGGCCAAGAACCACAGGCTAAACAGCTACATATGTTTGTGGTTTCGCAGGAAATCAGCTGTCAGCACACAGACTTGCTGAGCCTTGACCCGGCCGCCGTGCGCTCAGGCTGCCTGGCCAGTCTGCAGCAGCCCACGGGTATACGCCTTCTGGAAGAGGCACTGCTCCGCTTGATGCCCACAGAGCTGTCCGCCAAACGAATCCGAGGGAAGGGCCAGCCGCCCCCTGATGTCCTCCGGTGGATCGAACTTGCTAAGTAAGCTTGAAGTGAAGAACTCAGCTGAGGAGAACAGAGAATAATGGCTTCCTGTTGGCCAAAATGACTCAGCACAGTTGATAGTAACACCTCTTGGATGTTAAATACATCTTCTGGTCTGGTGATTCGACAGTTGTTGTCCTGGTCAGAATTGTCTTGCTCGGTGATGAAGAATTGTTTCAAACCCATTGCTTTCTTCTAGCATTTGATCTTTTAGACTCAAGTTCAGTTTCCTGTAAAATATAGCTGCAAATTATGATAGCTTGTGATTTTTTTCCCTGCTTTCCTAAACTGAACACAGGATGATTAATTGTTTTCAGCAGAACTGAGAATTTTAGTAACATTTTAATTCAGTTAGCTTGTTTACTTGGGAAAAACAAACTATTTTGTAGTTTGCAATTTTTACATTATGTGGTTTTATAATGAAAGCCAGTTCTGAATCTTGAGGAGGATGTTATAGTGAGTTTAAAATTAAATTTGAAGTTCTATTTTTAAAGTGCTGATTTTTAGATCTTTAGGTTCTTTGGGGAGTGGACAAAGATAGTAAAAGTGGGAGGCAGAGAGCCCCTGTCCTTTTGGCTGTTTTGTAGTCAGTTCCCTGTCTGTCTGAATGCAGTACCTTGAGTATGTAAGGGCTGTGCCCAGCACCAAGGAGAAGTGAAATGGATCAGACACTGGGCACAGGCACAAAGCCAACGATACAGGGGGAAATGCTTGTACTTTCACACAGAACTAGCCATACAGTGAGGCAGGAAGTTGTGAGTGCAGGGGCACCTTAGACAGACTGTAGCTAATGTGATTTCACCCCGGCAGTACTGTAGTCTTCAGCTCTACTGGAGACAGCACACACCTTGCATTTTCAGGGAATCAGAAACCCATAAAATATGTGTTTGCTGGATAAGTAGGCCATGCAGATCTTAAGGATTCACATTGTAAACATTTTTTCTAATCTTGTGTAATTCCTTATACTTTTGTATGTGATGATTTCTGCATTCCTTGGAGATAGTATAGCAAGCACAGGCCAGCATTTTGTTGCTATGCTACAGTCATCACTTTGATCTTGTTAAAGCGGATATAACTCAAGGACCCATATGGGGCACATAGGGTAATCCCTTTCCTGAGTTAATGGAAAGTGCCTAATCTCTTCTTTCCTGGACATCTGGGCTCTGAGTACTGTCTACTGCCCATCTGCCCTCACCCCTGCCTGCCTGCCTGCCCGCCTGCCTCACTTTCTGCAATGTAACATTTGTCCTGCAGTTTCAGGGTGACAAGAACTGCATCTATTACTAAACCTGCTTATTTATGGAAATTGCATATATATGTATATGTGTATATATATGTAGTGAACCTGAAAGCACATTTGAATATTTTTCTGTCTGCTACAACCCTTAGTTAATATGATGTGCAGCAGTCTAGTTGACCATTTCGTTAGCTAAGTAACTTTTAAACTCGGGAGAGTCAGTTGATGTGGTCTTTGTTTTGGCTTGCTTCGTAGGCTGTATAGATCCATTGGCGAATACGACGTCCTGCGTGGTATTTTCAGCAGTGAAATAGGGACAAAGCCGGTCACCCAGGAAGCTTTATTAGCAGAAGCCAGGAGCGATTATTCTGAAGCTGCCAAGCACTACAATGAGGTAAAGTTCATGCGGGTCGTTCACCCATTTCCTTTTTCTCTGCATGAAGATAAAAAAGTTAGTTTTATGCTTTGAAACTTCCTGCTGCTTTCACCTTATTCGTTAGTGCATTAGCCCCTTACTGTCTCCGTGGTGAAACGCCTTGGGCAGTCTGCTTATGACAAAAACACAGGTTGATTTGGCTCACAGTTTCAGAAGGTGAAAGTCTAAAACACAGCATGGATGGGGCCCTTTGAGGTCCAGTTCCCACCTGTCTGCAGAGTGTCACCTCAGGGCTGATAGCAGAGGTGGGGCATGAGAGAAAGTTATCTCAGGGCTGGGCAGGAAGTGGAGAGGCCCAGGAGGACCAAGCTCGGGATTTTTTTAGGGGTCTCTTGGGGAGAACTCACCTACATGCCGGAGGGCTACCTTCATGCATTTTGAGGGCCTCCGGTTAACTTAAGCAGCCCTACTAGGTCCCTCGGCCTTCCACACCACCAGACTAGGAACTAAGTTTCCAGCACACAGACCTGTGGGAGGACAAACAGCATCCAAATCAAAGCTCTTGGAATTTACCCCGAGGTTAATAATAGCCAAATGTTTCATAATGAGCAGATGTGAAGTAATTACTGTATCTCTTACTGTTTTTAAGAAAACCATTGAATAGAGGAGGGGGTTAGCCTTAGCAGTTAGGACACAAGGTGTTCACTGTGTCCTTATCAAGTGCTTAAGTGTAACACCAGCTGCAGCCCCGTTAGTCCACACCTGGGAGTAACTGGGTTCCTGTCACACCTCTGAGAGACCTGGATTGAATTCCCAAAAGTGGTCTGCCCCAGACCCTGCTTTTGTGAGCATTTAGGGAGTGAACTGAAGGTTGACAGTTCTATCTCAAATCAATTTTTAAAAAAATAAATGGAAACGAAATTGTTGAATAGAAGAAAAACCATTTCACATGTTACCAAGCACTATATAGAACTGTGTAATGTTTTTTTCCACATCTGTCGTTACTGTATAGTTTGTTTTTGAGTAGTTTGCTTCCCTGCTGTCAGTAAAACATTTCTAGCGAGGTATGGAGGAGCTTGGGAAGATGCATGTCGGCTCGGTCTCCTGCCCTTTGGGTTTGCGTGGCCAGTGTCTGCCTCGGTGCAGCTGCCGAGCCGCAGGCTCTGTGGCCTTGAGAAGCAGCCCTGGTTTTCACAGCCCTCCTGCAGTTTTCCACAGATGTCCTGAATTCTAGTTTCCATTCTCAGAACTTGTTGAGTTGTAAATAACTCACACCATTGACTTAAATCAAATTAGGATGCATTGGACATGTTCAGTCTTAATGATTTGCTCCATTGGTAAGTTTCTCAGAAAAACAAATGGCTTCCTCTTGCTTAGGGTTTTAGTATGCCTTGATCTTTTTAGGATTCCGTTTTTCTTTCTACCTAGTGTTCCAGGTAATCTCCCTTTTCTCATACCTTGCCCGAAATCTTAAAATAAGATCCAGAGTGTGCACGTCATCTTGCCTCCTTTTTTTTTTTTTTAACCTATGTTCTTTGGTCTTCTCTCCAAGTTTGCTAAATATTCTTGATGATGTTTCTCTGCCAGGCTCTCAACAAACAGGAGTGGGCAGACGGTGAGCCCACGGAAACTGAGAAGGACTTCTGGGAACTTGCATCCCTTGACTGCTATAACCAGCTCTCTGAGTGGAAATCCCTTGAGTACTGCTCCACGGTCAGTGTGGACAGTGGGAGCCCTCCGGATCTCAGCAAGATGTGGAGTGAGCCGTTTTATCAGGTGGGGAGGGCTCGCTTTAAGTCACTGAAATGAAAATTTTAGACAAGTCAGATATTCTGTACTCAATTTTAAAACTTTTCCCCAAACGGGTGGTAGTTGTAAAGTATTAGAGTGTTTATGGCCTGACTCCCCTACAGGCTCCATGGTATTGTGACTCTAGCCACTTGGAGTTAACCCTTTCAAAATGAGTGAGGTATATTTTAAAGCAAACACCGGCTTCCCGGATGTGATGACATGGAAGACTATTTCGTGCAACTCTTGGACCACACTGCATGTCAGTGCTGCAGGTGGTGTGCAGCCCTCACATGCCACCAGGGTGCCTGCGCCTCCTCACTGTGAGAACAACACCCAGCCGACAGCAGAGCCCATTTTCTGTTGAACATGTTCCTGTATATTTTGTGGTGGTCAAGCCAGCTATTACAGTTGAACTTATTTTAGAAGCTGTAGTTTGAGGTGTGAGTTTCGGCCTTATGCCTTGATCCATAAAATCAGTCCAGAGAGCATGTTTAAAAAAAAAAATCAAACACGTGTCAGCCAGGGCTCCCTGTGTTTCTCAGGAGACGTACCTGCCTTCCATGGTCCGCAGCAAGCTGAAGCTGCTGCTGCAGGGAGAGGCTGAGCAGTCCCTGCTGACGTTCGTGGACGAGGCGATGCAGCAGGACATGCGGAAGGTGCTGCTGGAGCTTCAGTACAGCCAGGAACTGAGTCTGCTGTACCTGCTGCAGGACGACATGGACAGAGCCAAGTACCACATCGAAAATGGCATCCGGATCTTCATGCAGGCAAGCAAGCAAGTCTATCTAAAACCTAAAAAGTTTGTGATCATTTTAGAAGCCAACTCACAGACAAAATCAACAAGCCAAGCTCTTTCCTGCTGCCCATTTCCTCCTCCTCTCTGTGCTTTCATGGTCTTCATCTTAAATGTCTTTCTTGAGTATTTTTTCCCTTTCTGCCTTAAATTGTTTGTTTGGGAGCCAGGATATACTAGATTGAATCCCAGCTGCTCTACTTCTGGTGCACCTGGGAAAGTAGCAGAAGATGGTCCAAGTGGCACACCATTCAGGGGAGACCTGCATTAAGCCCTGAGCTTCATCCTGGCTGAGCCCCAGCTATTGGGACCATTTGGGAAATAAACCAGCAGATGGAAAATTTCTCTATCTCTTTTTCTCTTTCTCTCTCTCTCACCCCCTTCTTCCCCTCCCTTGCACACATCTGCATTCTTTCCCTCACTTCCCTCCTAACTCTACCTTTCAAATAATAAATCTTTTTTTAAAGATTTGTTTATTTTTGTTGTAAAGTCAGATATACAGAGAGGAGGAGAGACAGAGAGGAAGATCTTCAGTCCGATGATTCACTCTCCAAGTGACAACAATGACCAGTGCTGTGCCAATCTGAAGCTAGGAGCCAGGAACTTCCTCCAGGTTTCCCACACAGGTGCAGAGTTCCAAGTTTTGGGCCATCCTTGACTGCTTTCCCAGGCCACAAGCAGGGAGTTAAATGGGAAGCGGGGTGGCCAGGATTAGAACCGGCGCCCATATGGGGTCCCGGGTACATTCAAGGCGAGGACTTAGCCACTAGGCCACTGCGCCGGGCCCTCAAATAATAAATCTTTTTAAAAATCCCTTTACAGAAAATTACGGTGTCACTTATGACAGCCGCATCCACTATTGCAGTGCTGGTGAAAGTATTGCCTGTTCCTGCTGACATGCCTAGTCCAAACACCTGGGCTCATGCCATCTCTGTGGGAGATCAGGACAGAATTCCTGGCTCCTGGCTTCTGCCTGACCCAGCCTTAGCTGTTAGTGCCATTTGGGAGTTGAGCCAGCAGATGGAAGATCTCCTTTCCTATTCATTTCTCTCTCCCCTTCTTTTTGTCAATCGGCCTTTCAAAACATCAATTATTTTTTAAAAATGAGTCATTTATTATTTATGTGACCTAACCATTCTGAGACACATTTCCAGGGCATTTCTTGTATTTTGTGTTTTAGAGACCCATGTCTAGATTTCAGGTAATAATTTGATTTACAGCAATACTCACTGATTTTTTTTTTCTAGACTTATTCCAGTATTGATGTGCTGTTACACAGAAGCAGGCTCGCTAAATTACAGTCTGTCCAGGCTTTAACCGAAATTCAGGAATTCATTGGCTTTATGAGTAAACAAGGTAATTAGCTTAACCTGTTGGTTTTTGCTTGTTTTTGTTTTTGTTTTTGTTTGTTTGCTTAGTGAAAGTGCATGCTTCTTAATGTATGGGTTGGACATGGCTTTGAACTTACTCCACAGATAGACATTTCAAGACCATTGTAATAAAGTGTTTGACATGGCTGGGTGCTAGGTTAGGCCCTGGGGAAGCAAAGCTGAAAGAAACATTGTTGCTGGCTTTAGCCACAGTGGTGTGGTGACCATATGGCACGGGTGCCCCAGGATGAGGGCAGGTGGTCTCAAGCAATGTGTCAGAGGGAGAGACTCATAGAGCCCTACCAGGTAAAGAGCAGAAAGCTGCAGTGGCAGCTGTGCCTGGGTGTCAGGCAGCCCAGCCTTAGGACAGGACAGTGACTGTGGGTGCAGAACCTTTACGAATGCTCACAAATAAGTTTTAACCTGGTGCTCATGGGAGGCCACGCAGAGTTCTGATGGAACAGGTGCATCTTAGTTAACGTGTTTCGGTTCTGGGGAACTGATACAGGTACAGCAGGTTCAGCTCCCACCTGCAGTACTGGCATCCCATATGAGTGCTGGTTGAAGTTCCTGCTACTCTGCTTCCAAACCAAGTCTTTGCTAATGCACCTGGGAAACCTGGGGAGGCCCAGGCCTGCCACGTGGGAGACCCAGATAAAGCTCTTGGTTCAACCAGTCTGGTCATTCAGGCACTCTCACTCCCTCTTCCTCTGCCCTCCCTCTCCCCCTCGCCAGGGCTGGGCAGCATTACATAGCGAAGTGCAGTTATTGAGTCACTGGTTGGGTTTCTCTACACAAAGACTCCCAAGTAGCCCTGTACCTGATCAGACCTGATGTTGACATCAAGAAACTGCTGCAGCCCTCACGAAGCCCTATTCGGTTTCCAGTGCTTGTTACATTTGAAACTGCACACAAGGGATTGTGGACCCAGAGTAAAGGCAAGAAGAATTGCCTGACCATGACCATGTCATCACATCCTTAAACAGTGGGGGGTGCAAGGTCAGAATACAGGATTGGTGGGGCAATTTCCTTGCTGCTCTTATGAAAGTAAGGATTTTTGTGTGTGTTTAGACAAGAAATTTTTGTTTCCTATTCATTAACTATGACCCCACTCTGACAATTGGTCTTCCTGCTGATCATGCTTTAATGTTGCTTTTAGGTAATTTCTCCTCTCAAGTTCCCCTTAGGAGACTTCTGAAAACCTGGACAAACAGATATCCAGATGCCAAAATGGACCCAATGAACATCTGGGATGATATCATCACAAATCGGTAAAATGTGGTCTTTTTGAATTATAAGTGGATCCATTTTGAAAATTGTGAGAATGATTTTTCTCACAAACTATGGCTTACAAAACTGGTGTCTGGGGTGGGTGTTTGGCGGAGTGGTTAAGCCACCTGTTGAGACACCCATATCCCACATTGGAATGCCTGGGTTCAAATCCTGGCTCTGTTCTCAATTCTGACTTCCTTCTAATGCCTCCCTGGGAGGCAGCAGGTGCTGGCTCATTAGGGAGATCTGTATTGAATTGTGGCTCCTGGCTTCAACCTGGTGCAGCCCTCAACTGTTGTGGGAATTTGGGGAATGAATTAGCAGATAGAAGATCTGTTTCTTTCTATCCCATTCTAAAATAAAATAGATGCTTACAATTATTAAGGAAAAGATGGCTGGTGTTTGACTCCAATATAGTTCTCTCTCTTACCAAGCCAGTTGACCGAGTTTTGTCCTAGCAAAGCAACTGTGCGTCCTGTCCCCTGGGGGGGAGTTGCTGCCCGCCCACTCAGAGGGCGTGTGGTGCCACTGGCTGGCTAACAAGCTCTGGCAGGGAGCATAGGTGGGGACACCAGGGGTGATAGGCATCTGCTCTCACTACAGCAAATGACAACTCTGTGGAGTGACTCCTGATTAAGCCTGTTGTGACACCCCTGCTCCCTTCACCCTTCACTAAGTGACTGTAGATTACCCTCCCTCCCCAGGTTGTGCTCACTCTCATGCCTTCATCTTACCTACCCTGGCTCGTCACTGCAGGATCCGGGTGGCAGAAGCTAAGCATCCACTTTTTTTTTTTTTTGCCTTTTGGGGTTTTCTTTTTCTTTTCTTTTCTTTTCTTTCTTTTTTTTTTTTTTAAGATTTTATTTATTTTTATTGGAAAGGCAGATAGGAGGAGAGACAAAGAGGAAGATCTTCCATCTGATGATTCACTCCCCAAGCAGCCACAACGGCTGAAGCTGAGCCGATCTGAAGCCAGGAGCTAGGAGCTTCTTCCTGGTCTCCCATGCAGGTGCAGGGTCCCAAGGCCCAGGCTGTCTTCTACTGCTTTCCCTGGCCACAGGCAGGGAGCTAGATGGGAAATGGAACAGTTGGGATTAGAACCAGCAACCATATGGGATCCCGACACATGCAAGGCGAGGACTTTAACCACTACGCTATCGCACTGGGCCTGCCTTTTGGGGTTTTCATTTTCTCCTTCCCTCTCAGGTACACAGATTATCTACTTCCTGAATTATTTGAGCATAATTGCACACATCATGTCTCTCCACCTGTCTGGATCGCAGTGTACATTTCCTGAATAAGAGTAATCAGCTTTGCTGCATCTGTGTATGCGTATGTGTATATATATTTTGTTGTTGTTTTTTCAGCTTTTTTCATTTTTCCTGCTTGTTTTTTGGTGCTTACATATTTTTAAATCTTATTTATTTGAGAGGTAAATAGATAGACAGATCTCCCATCTGCTGGTTCATTCCCCAAAGACCCACAAAAGCTGCTGTGTTGAGCCGGGCCAAAGCCTGGAGCCGGGCACTCAGTCCAGGTCTCCGTGCGAGTCACATGAAGTCCTGGAGGCGTGTCCTGCTGCTTCCCAGGGCGCAGAGCAGCAGGCGCTGGAAGCAGAAGCAGGGGTAGGATTCAAACCCAGGCACTCCCCTGTGGCACAGGAGCACCCCAAGTGGTGTATGGATCACTGGGTCACAGGCCTGCCCCGGTGTTTTCATTTTTCACTTGTAGTCCAGCTGAAATAAAGAACTTTGTAGCATTTTCTCCATCTACAGGACCAAATCCAGTCCTCAATCATGGATTGCATTTAGTTCAGTTAATCTCCCTTAAGCTGAACCCGTTCCTTCTCTCCACCCCTCCCCCTGCCTTTTTTTTTTTTTAATCTTTTATAGCATTTATGCTTGTGGTGTTTCCTCAGATCTGGGTAGCCCAGCCTCACTTAGCCAGCTACTCCTTTTCTGAGTAGGCGTTTTTTAAAAAAAGATTTATTTATTTATTTTTATTGGAAAGTCAGATATACAGAGAGGCGGAGAGACAGAGAAGAAGATCTTCAGTCCGATGGTTCACTCCCCAAGTGACCACAACAGCTGGTACTGTGCCAATCCGAAGCCAGGAGCCAGGAACTTCCTCCAGGTCTCTCACATGGGTGCAGGATCCCAAGGCTTTGGGCCATCCTCGGCTGCTTTCCCAGGCTACAAGCAGGGAGCTGGATGGGAAGTGGAGCTGCCAGGATTAGAACCAGCGCCCATATGGGATCCCAGCGCGTTCAAGGCGAGGACTTTAGCTGCCAGGCCACACCGCCGGGCCCTGAGTTGTACTCTTAAGCTGTCATATCACATGTGGCATATATGGTGTCCATTGTCTGTGTTTTACTGGTGACAGTGATTTTGCTCACTTAGTTAAAATGTTGTCTAATCTTTCAGGTATTAAAGCCAGGGTTTTTGTTTGTTTTATTGTTGTTGTTTTTCCTTTTGCAACCAAGGAGAAACTAATACAAGAGGTGTTTGGAGGTCTGCCTGCCCCTCTGTTTTTCACCTATGGTTGACTCTCCGCTCCTCCAGTGTTAACAAAGGTAGTGGCAGTGCCTGCCCCCACCACCCATTGCCCATTTATCAGTCTTTCTTAAGGAGGAGCCCTCCTCTCTCCCTCACCTGTTGATCTGCTTTTAAAAACTAAGCAATATAGCGTCACAGATTCCAGTTTTAATTATTGAGATATAACCTATTACTATCGCTATTTTATCTTCAAATGGTCTTTGTTTGGCCAGTGAGCGCCTGTTCAAACTGATATTCCAGACTCTTCCAAAGTTATTTTGTTTTCTTCTTGGAAATGGGTTGTTTTAGTTCTTACATTTAGATGGGTCAGCCACTGGAAGGTCGTTTTTGTAGGTGACGTGGGGCATGGTGCGGAGGAGTAGCCGAGAGCAGTCTGGCAAGTGAGGGAGGCGCGGAGAACCAGAGAGGCTTGTATCTTGGGAACAACAAAAGGGCAAGAAAGAGAATGATGAGGCACAGTTTTACCTGGCCATGAGGTTTCTAAGAAATCAGAAATTAGTTCTTAGATGAACAACAGAAAGTTGCTTGATTATTAATTAAGGATACACTTTATTTGTTACAGTTGTTTGCCTTACATCAGTGAACTTATAAAGGCACTTAAGCAAGGTCACATATGCAAAATAAATTATAATACAAACAGTAATAATCTTACACCAACCTAGATATGTCTTTCATAATTCTCAGTGCTTATTTATAACTTCACTGAGTTAAGTTTTTCTCCTGTGGATGTCAGACCTCAGGCTGGGAGATACATAAAAGAAAAATGGCTTCTGCCAACACACGTTATGATCCTCCATCACTGACAGAGAAAACTGCAAGCTTAAATGCTTCCTTTTGCAGAGTTGGAGGCTTTAAGGCATAGGCAGAAAGTTCTGTTGAAGTGGCCTTGGTGATCTTTGAAGAGTCAGGTTACTGACTGTGTGCTTTCCTGTTCCGGAGTGAGAATGAGTTTCATGACTCGCTTGCTGAGGGGCTGTCCGCAGCTCCCTGCTGGGACAAGCTGCCCTCGCACACCTCTGATGGCAGCCTCCCTCATCCTCGCCTGTGTAGGTGCTTCTTTCTCAGTAAGATGGAGGAAAAGCTGCCCTCCCTCGCCGACAATCACAGCATGAGCATGGATGAAGACCAGGACCCTAGGGTCAGCGGGGACGTGAGCGAGCAGGAGGACATTCGTTCACTGATCCAGAGCTGTAGGTTCTCCATGAAGATGCACATGGTGGAGAGTGCACGGCAGCAGGTGGGTGTCCCTGGCACATGCTCAGGTAGCTGTGCATGGCAGCAGGTGGGCGTCCCTGGGACATCCTCAGGTAGCTGTGCATGGCAGCAGGTGGGCGTCCCTGGGACATCCTCAGGTAGCTGTGCATGGCAGCAGGTGGGCGTCCCTGGGGCATGCTCAGGTAGCTGTGCGTGGCAGCAGGTGGGCATTTCTGGGACATCCTCAGGTAGCTCTTTCCCCCCTTAACTTAGCTTTCCTTTGAAGCCTATAGCTTAAAAAGAATCTGAAGGTTAGCATCTTTCTTTCTCTTTGTAACAAAGTAAACCTGAAGAAATGCTTGAAATTATTCAGAAAGTGTCTAAAAGTTATAATGTGCCTGTTAATCATTTCAGTGTTTGTTATTGAAAAAGCAAATGAGCTGAACATCAGGTTGCATTTTATTTAACAAAATAAATGCTTGCCAGTAAGTTTCAAGTTATTTTGAAGCTCAATTTATAGAACTCTCTCATGTCAGAGAGCATGCCTTGCTTAGAAGTTACTTGTAAAGTATTTTAATATATGAGCTCACATGTGTACCTATCAAGGAACCTGCTCATTTAATGGGCCTCTTGAGTATTGTTGCAAAGTAAAAAATGTCATTCCGAATAAAGAAAATTACTGATAAATCATGTGAAAATCACTGAAAAAGCTAAAAATTTTCCTGATAGAATGTTAACTTTCTTCTGGATGTTTCAACAGAATATATAAACAGCAGCTAATTAGTGTCACTGCCAGGAATACTGGCGGCAGAGGTGAAAGGAATATGTCAAACTTACAGAAGTCCTTCCTTGGCACTCACTTGACCTGCCGCATTCTCCTCAGAGCTCGTCAGAGTTAGTGATTTCAGAATTGAGTTTCACCTCTTATGCGTGGCCCAGCACTTCATCAGGGGCTACAGGTCCTGTGTGGAGCAAAATGTAGCCCCTGGACAGTTACCACCTTTGTGAAAAGCAGAAGACAGCTGCATGGGAGGGAGGCCCTGCGGATGCAGGAGGGGAAAAAGCCACCTTGGGGGAGGAGGCGGTGTGGGAGCTGTGAATGGAGATCCAGGACTGACCTTGGGCACGTGCGCTCCTGGGTGCAGCCCAGGCGGAAGTTCAGCTGGGTCTCAATGGCTAGGTGCCATTGTATGACCAAGCAAGAAAGTGCAGGGACGGAAGCAATGTGGGCAGCGATGTGTGCCCTTGGGTGTGGCGTAGCTGGGGCTGGGAGGGCGCCGGAGGAGCAGTGTGCTCCACCGACACCGGAGAGAGACTGTCGGGCTGAGGAGCTCCTCGGTTGTGACAGAATGTTTTGGAATACAACACTAGCGGTGTTTGGCCAATGTTGTCAATGTTCTCTTCCTGGAAAAGTTGTAAAATGAAATGAAGTGAGACTGGTGAGCCCCAGAGCTAAGGGAAGAGGTTGCTGTCGCAGGTGTGCCATGGGAGGCACAGGAAACTGTCATCAGAGGACTTGATGTGAACCAGCTTCATTTCTGCCCACCTGCCCCTTGTCACTCTGCTTTTTTTTTTTTCTGGTTCCCATAGAACAACTTCTCACTTGCCATGAAAATACTGAAGGAGCTGCACCGAGAGTCCAAAGGGAGTGCCGAGCGCCTGGTGCCGTGGGTGCAGAGCTACTGCCGGCTGAGCCACTGGCGGAGCCGTGCGCAGAGCCCGGCCGAGCGGATCCTCTCCGTGCTCAAGACCGTGTCGCTGCTGGGTACGGGCTGCTCTGTGCCCTGCGTGTCCGCTGCCCTTCCCTGCCACCCCCATGCAGCTGCCCTCCTCCCGTGTGACATTTTGCTGCTACCCTTCTCTGGTACCTTGGGTAGATGAAGCCGGTTGTGCCGGAGAGAGTGAGGCCAATGCAACTGGAGGTGAAGGCTGAGAGCCAGGCTCCTTGGAGAGTGCTGTTGAGCAGGGTCTTCAGCACTTTTTATCTGAGAACTAAAATGGAAATAAGAGGCTATCTAAAAACTAAAATGGAAATTAAAAGGTTTTTTTCTCTTTAATACTTAATGAAATTATGGGCCTAACAGTTTAAATACTCTAAGAGCAATGCACCTCAGACATAAAAGATTCAATATGAAAGCCTTTTCTATAGTAATGTTCTTCTCTGTAATAATGTAGCCTTTAGGATCCAGGGGTGAAACGAACTTACTCAGGCCTGGGTTGTGCTGGAATCCTGGAGTACCTGGCAGCACCAAGAGTGGACACTTCCAGAGGCTAGTATTGTCCTCTAGGGCCAATGTCACTGGCACAGTATCAAGGGCAAGAGCAGTCTTTCCACCAGATGAAAGCCATCTGAAAAATGCCTTAAGTAATTGTGCTGGGCATTGAGTCTGTTTCTATTTTGTAGCAGCCTTGCGAACCAGACAAAAAGCAGTGACCCTGGCCCAAGGCAGTGTGGCTAAGCTAATGAGGCCCCTTGTCCTGCATGTGAGAGCCCAAGCTTTCAATACAGCAGTGCCAGTGGCCTTGTCATCTGTAAGCCACATTTGGAAATCCTCCCCTGGTTATTAATGTAGACACAAATGCATTGTCAAGAGCCATTTTCTGTCCTTTGCATGACAGAATTGGGGGCATTGGCGAAATGCAGAGTTGACACAATATAAAAACTCATTCTGAGTTTTGATCACTTAGCCTCTGTTGCCTGATATGGCAAAGAACCCTGTTCATGTCTTAGCAAGAGTAAGAAACTCCCCGATCAGAATGTGAAGCCAGTCCATCAGACCTCCAAAATATATTTTAAGCAATATCTCAGCGGGAAATCAGTTTTGTAGATGGTGAGTTTCTTTTATTAATGCCATTACTGGTTTACTTCAGAATCAAGTCATGTGGGTTTGTTTTTCCTCTTTAAATCCAGGCACAGATGAGCACAACATATCGAACTACTTAAGCAAGAATCCCTGGGCTTGCTGCGATCAGAACATCCTTCTGGGCACAACGTTCAGAATCATGGCGAACACGCTCAGTGGCGAGCCGGACTGCCTTGCTGACATCGAGGAGAGCAAGGCCAGAAGGATTCTGGAGCTCTCCGGCTCCAGTTCAGGAGATGTGGAGCCGGTAATGAGTGCTGGCAGGGTGGCCGCTGCCCACCTGCGTGCTTGTTGCGAGTGTTTGATGCTGCAAGCTCCCGGGCTGCTGGAGAGTAATGAAGTATCGCTATTGGCTCCTAAAATGCAGTTGCACACAGCCAGGCTTCTGATATGGATATGTGACAGATTCCACATGTTCCCTGTTTGTTTGAAGGATACTTTTTTTTGTAAATGTGAGGAATGAGAAATGTGCATGAGATTTATGTGAACAGTTCTCCCATGACCTTTGTCAATGCAGTTTCCCCAACAGATGCCATTGGAATATCCCACTGGCTTGGGGCCCCCAGCAGCCTCTCCTGTTTCGTTCTGCCCCTGCTCTACTTGGCTTTTGTCAGGCTGTTTTGGTCTTTCATCAGTGAGCAAGCCCCTGCTCGTCAGTGGGCTGGCCTCGTCTTCTCCCTCTGTGGTGCCGATTGGGTCCAGGGAACTGTGGAAAGGCACCACTTTCTGTTTCTTTCTACAGCCCAGGGCAGAGCCGTGTGGCCCTGCTGGCTGGGCTCAGCTCTATGAGGCTTGTGAACTGTGGGTTCATGCTCGGCTTGGTCCTCTTCACCTGGAACGCACAGTCATGGAGGTGGCTTAATTCCCTCTCCTTTTCCAGCTAACTTGCCTTCAGTGCACCGTGAGGCTGCTGATCCCTTCTTAGTCATGAGTCCTGAACACTCTTGACAATCACATGTGGAAAGCAGAGGCCTTTGGGTGAGCTGCGGTCTCACTCATGGGCTTCTTGGGGGTCTCTGAATTTCAGGTGATTGCGGGTTTATACCAAAAAGCCTTCCACCACCTCTCCAGTGCTGTGCATGCTGCCGAGGAGGGGTCTCAGCCTTCAGGGGGACCTGGGCCCACCACCAGGGTGGTCGATGCCTACATGACCCTAGTGGATTTCTGTGACCAGCAGCTCCGCAAGGTGGAAGATAATGCAGCGGGTGAATCACAGAAGAAAGAGACAAGTTAGTGTTCTGTGACGTCAACACAGTCTGAAGAGTTGTGTGGATGGTTTTCGCTTTCTATTTGTTTTTTCATTCCTAAAGGTTTAGTTATTTGAAAGGCAGGAAGAATAGAGGTAAGAGACAGGCACGGTGGCCTAATGGCTCAAGTTCCCGCCTCGCATGCACCAGGTTCTCATGTGGGTGCCAGTTCTAATCCCAGCAGCCCTGCTTCCCATCCAGCTTCCTGCTTGTGGCCTGGGAAAGTAGTCAAGGAACGTCCAAAGTTTTGGGACCATGCACCCGCATGGGAGACCTAGATGAAACACCTGGCTCCTGGCTTCGGATTGGCACAGCTCCGGCCGTTGCAGCCACTTGGGGAGTAAATCACCGGACGGAAGGTCTTCCTCTCTGTCTCTCCTCCTCTCTCTATATCTGACTTTCCAATAAAAATAAATATTGAAAGAAAGAGAGAGAGAGATCTTCCATCCTCTGGTACACTCCCCAGTTGTCTACACCAACTAGGGCAGGGCCAGAATAAAGCCAAGAGCCAGAAACTCCATCCTTGTTTCCCGCAGAGGTGCCAGGGTCTCACCTCCTTGGAACATTATTTGTGGCTTTCCTAGGCATATGGCAGCCAGGTGGATTAGAAGATGAGCAGCTTTGGAATCAGGGTAGCTGGGATTTGTACTGGCACTCTAGGATGGCAACTTCCACAAGCAATGGCTGTACCCACTGTGCCATAATGCTGGCCCCTCCTATTTGTTTTTAAATGACCGTATGCTTAAAGATGTATTCATTTAAAAGGCAGAGTGGCAGGGAAAGAGGAAGCAAAAAGCTCAGAGCAGTAGCTCTTTCATCCTCTGCTTCACTCCCTGAATGGCTACAGCAGAGTTGGATGATGCCAGGAGCACCATCCAGATCTCCTAAGACTCAAATACTTGGGCTGTCATGTACTATTTCCCAGGCATACTGACAAGGAGCTGGATCCAAAGTGGAGAAGCCAGGACTGGAGCTGGTATTCAGTGGCAGCCTAACCCTATGTGCCATACATAGCACCTCCCCCAAAACCAAATATTTTGAGAAACAGCTGGTGTCTTCTTCAGAGGCAATGACATTTCCCTGTAGTTCCAGCTGTGCTTAGGTGAAGTCTAGCTGTTTCCTATGTTTAGATTTGTGTAATCTCCTCTGTGGTGTTTCCTGCCCTGTTGGTGATACTGGCTCATGTACTTCATCTGTTACTCCTGGAATGTTAAGTCAGGAACCAGGAAGTATCCCTGCAATTGCCACGCCAGAATGCGAACAGTGCCTTATGCTAAGCGAGGGCTCTCAGAAAGTTCAGACTGGAGAAAAGAATCCAGAAGTGGAACTGCTATTTGTCAACCTCAAGTGGCAGCTAAGAAGAGAGCAATGACATTCTACAAAATTGAAGCCAAAGAGAAAAGGCAGTTATTCTTTGAGTTTGTGGTTAAAGTGGATATACTGACTGTTGCTTTATTCTCTGCTTTCCTTTGTAGCTGTTGATTCTGTAGAACTGCAGATGTATCCAGCAATTGTGGTGGAGAAAATGTTAAAAGCTTTAAAATTAAATTCCACGGAGGCCAGACTGAAGTTCCCTAGGTTACTGCAGCTCATAGAGCAGTATCCGGAAGAGACCCTGAGCCTCATGATGAAAGAGGTTGGTATCTTATTCTAGCAAGCAGCTAGGACCTTACGTAATAAGCTCTTCCATCCAGATGGGTTCATGTGCACAGTGTCTGCATTATACCTTTTCCCAACTCATGTTGCGTTCTGATAGGTCTGAGAACACAGGCGTTTTCACGTTAGCATGAAGGAGTGTTCTCATTGACCCATTTTGCTCTGAGAGTTGGTGAATTACCGTCTCTGAGCAAACACACAGACTTGCTCAAGGGGCGGTGTGGAGTCCTGGGGGAGTCAGTGCAGCTACCTTGTCGTGGTCTGCAACATTGGCTAGTGGCCAGGGAGAAGGAAGAAGCTCACCTCCCCACTCCTGCTAGGCATTGTGCCTGAAGCAGCAACTGAGGCTGGGGCATGCGAGGAGAAAGGGCTTGTGTGGGGTGGAGTGGGACCAGCTGGCTGCTGCAGCGGGTAAGCTCTTGACCTGTGGGCACTGCCTGAGGGCAGTGATGCTGTGCCGCCTGCAGTCTCCTGAAGATCACAGATATTCAAGGAGCTGTGGGGCCAGTCTGGGAGTTCAGCAAGACTGAGGGGATCTGAACTGTACCCTTCACCTTCTCGTGGATTCTGAAGGTGGTGTTATCAGTAAGAAATGACATGGTTTCTAAGTAATTCAGATTGAAGCAAATTCAGAAGTGTAACCTCATGGATGTGTTTTTCTTTGGGATAAGGGAACAAAAGATTGTCATAACTGATTTTAGTTTTCCTCAAATCATATTTTACTTGTACACAGTCAAAACAGCATTTTGAATTTGTGATGAAAATAAAGGGAGCATCAGCCTTGTGTCTGACGTCCATCGTCAGTGTCATCTGGGCCCCCAGGAGGCCCTCATGACGGCATGCCCAGACCCTCATGTCTGCCTCGCTGTGGGCAGTGTGGATGGACCCCCACCTCTCCACCCCACCTGTTCTCTGCCCTCAGCTCACAGATGCTGTTGGGAAGCCAGCCCCAGGTTACTCCTTATGCCAACAGCCTGACTAAATAACTGCTTAAAGCATTGGAGGCAAACATGAACACATTTCTAAAAAGGGGCTTGAAGGAAAGAGACAAAAACCAGAAGCCATAAGGACACTAAGTTAGCACTTTTGCACAGAAGGAAAAAAGAATGCTGTAACTCAGGAGAGAGTGTAGCAGCTGTGAGAGGTAGAGCTGACTTCTCTGTCTCCAGTCACAGTAGGCCAATTGCAAACAGTTGAAGTGCGTGGATGAGTAAAGTGCATACAGCAAATGAACACAGAATGTTCCAGCAAACTGATAATGAAACGTGAAGACTTACATTAGACATCTTTACTTCTGGGAATTTTTTCAAAAATTTATGATGCCTAATCTTGTTAAGGATTTTGGAAAGTAGTTACACTAGTCATTTTGAAAATTGAAAAAGAAGTGTTAGGAGGGATTATAAAATTGTGTGCATTGTAGTTATTGTTTATAGTAATTTTGCTTCTGAAAATTAAAAAAGAGATTAAATTTGTGTAAAAGGCAAACAGACGGGTCTTCCGTCCACTGGTTTACTTTCCGATGGGCCTTAACAGCCAAGGCTGCCCATGCTGAAACCAAGAGCCAGGAACTCAGCCAGGGTCCCTCATGTGGCTCAAGCACTTGAACCGCCACCCGCTGCCTCCCAGCAACAGTGGGAAAGTGAAATTGGAAGCAGAGCTGCGTGTTGACGCAGGCACTTTGGGATGCTAGTTCCCGACCACTAGGTCACGTGCCTTTCTCTACTTTTCAGAATTTATGCTTAAAAAAAAGATTTATTTTATTTTTTTATTGGAAATATTGGAAAGTCAGATATATAGAGCGGAAACAGAGAGGAAGATCTTCTGTCCATTGATTCACTCCCCAAGTGTCCTCAATGGCCATAGCTGAGCCAATCTGAAGCCAGGAGCCAGGAGCTTTTTAGGTCTCCCATGCGGGTGCAGGGTGCCAAGGCTTTGGGCCATCCTCAACTGCTTTCCCAGGCCTCAAGCAGGGAGATAGATGGGAAGCAGGGCTGCTGGAATTAGAACTGGCATCTGTATGGGATCCCAGTGTGTGCAAAGTGAGGACTTTAGCCACTAGGCTACTGTGCTGGGCCTAGAATTTATGCCTTAAGTGTATATCACAACTATAGAAAGACACTGTGGGGGCCAGTATTGTGGTACAGCCAGTTAAGCTGCTACTAGTAACAAAACATTCCCATATTGACACAGCAATTGAAATCCCAGCTGCTCTACTTGCTATGTGCTCCCTGCTAATGACCTTGAGCATGCAGCAGAAAATGGTCAATGTGCTTAGGCCCCTGCCAGTCAGGTGGGAAGCCCAGAAGAAGCTCCTGGCTTTGGCCTAGCATAGCCCTGGCCATTGTGGCCAATAAGGGAGTGAACCAGTGGATGTCTCCTTTCTGTCTCTTTTCTTGCAGTCACTCAGCCCTTCAAGTAAATAAAATAAATCTTTAAAAAAAAAAAAAACAAATTGTGTATAGAGATGTCCAAGGTAGCATTATCTGTAATAACAACAAAAGAAACAAACAAAAAAAACAAACCTACATGTTTGTTGCAGAGCAGCTGTTAAAAGGACTGGGATAAATGAAGAACAGCCTGCGACACTGTGTGATGTGGGTTTTATTCTTACCAACAATGGCCATGTCTACACAGACTTAGGAAAATGTCTAGAGGACTGTTAACTCCAGTGGATATTTCAGCAGAAGAGGACTGTGGAACAAAGGGTTTTTATTTATTGTGTGCTTTTAATTTTTTTTTAACTTTATCCATGTAGTGATGCTACTGCCAGTGCCAACTGTTCTGGTAAGCCATGGCTCTCTGTGTTCTAGATGTCCTCCATTCCTTGCTGGCAGTTCATTGGCTGGACCAGTCACCTGGTGGCCTTGCTGGACAAAGAGGAGGCCATAGCCGTCCAGCACACCGTCGAAGAGATTGTCCGTCACTATCCACAGGCCATCGTCTACCCGTTCACCATGAGCAGTGAAAGCTATTGCTTCCCGGAGACAGCCACAGGCCACAGGAATAAAGAGTTTGTGGCAAGGTGATACTGCCGAAAAATCATTTGATCAAATACTGCCAGGCATAAAAAATGTGTATGGTGAAAGCACACCAGTGGACACTTATGCTTGTGTTCGCATTAATTAAGCTATACTTGAATTTAAAAATCTAAAAAATACCATTTGCTGAATGCATCTCTCAGGTGTGCTATTTCTTAGAGAACATCTTTAAATTACATTTCATTTTACAAGCTTATCTGCAAAACACCCAGCCCCTTGCTGGTAACTGGAATCTGCTTGGATCTGACTGGAAGGGATAGTTTTATTTAGTTTTAAGATTGATTTGTTTTCTTTGGAAAGATTTACAGAGAGAAAGGTCTTTGTCTGCTGGTCCACTCCCCGCAGTGGCCAAAGCTGAGCCAGGCACTACTTCCAGGTCTCCCACATAACTACAGGGCCCCAAAGAGTTGAGCCACTCCCTTCCCAAGCCACAAAAACGAAGCTGGATCAGAAGTGGAGCAATGGAGATACAAACTGGTGCTCGTTATGGGATGCCAGTGCCGCAGGTGGAGGCACACTTACTATGCCACACCACCACTGGCCCTTGGATAGTACTTTTTTAAGTGCTCCTTTACTTGTCTGTGTAACTGGATCAAATATGCAAATACATGTAAAATAGAAATATTTTATTTAATATAGTTAAACAATAGATTTTAAATTAGGTGATACATAAACTGTGTTATAATTTATATGCTTAAAATGACACATACACAATAAATAGGCCTTGATGTTTGCATGATCTTTGATTCCATTAACTTTTTGTTTGTTTAATAGGATTAAAAATAAGTTGGATCAAGGAGGACTGATTCAAGATTTCATTAATGCTTTAGATCAGCTCTCTAACCCTGATTTAATCTTTAAGGTAATAGAACAGCTTGTAGTACTTGGCACGTAGAACTTGGTTAACCTTTAAACCCTGCGATCTGCCTTGATTTTTCTCTCTATTTTCCACATAGGACTGGACTGATGATGTAAAACTTGAACTAGCAAAGCCTACTGTAAATAAAAAGACCATTGAGAACATGTATCAAAGATTGTGTGCGGCCCTGGGTGACCCACGAGCTCCAGGATTGGGGGCCTTCAGAAAGAGGTTCATCCAGGTATGTGCTGACACCGTGGCCAGCCACGCGGACAGCGGCCTCCCCAGGAAGTCTGGCCGGATTTTGGGTGGTTCATTAGCAATTCTGGTTTTAAAATGTTGTGTGTCTTAGACCCACTGCTTTCTCTGGGATGTTGATAGTATATTTTTTGGTTTGCTGGTAGCAGGTGGATGAGTAGGCAGAAGTTTGGGGTCTAATTACCTTCTGTTCTTCATACTCAGATCCATAGGTTATATGTGACTCCGTAATTTTTAATTTATTAGAGGATCAGAGGAGCCCTTTTAGCTTTTACCACTCAAGTTATCCTCCACAGCCCCCACCCGCCACGGTGAGCAAAATGCCTTTATCGATTCACATTAAGACGTCTAAGGACGGAAAGAAGTCTCAGGATTGGTGCCAAAGCAGAACTTTGTTCCTTAGGTTTGTTTAAAATATCTGCTTCATTAACATCTAAGTCACATCTCTCAAGTCCCCCATTTAAAGTATACAGCGTGGTAGTTTCCCCTTAAAACTGTCAGTAGTATGTCAACTGTAGGATTTTTTCATCACCAGAGACCAGAAACCCTAAAGCCATTAGCAGTTGCTTCCCATTCCTGGCTCCTGTGACCTCAGACACCACTGAATTGCATTCCGACTAATCCAACAGGTGGCTTCTTCCACTTAGTACAGTGGCTTTAGAGTTCACCCACGTCATGTCAGCTTGTCCCCAGGAACCAGCTTGTCCCCGGGAAGCCAGCTGGCTCTGTAACCATCCCTCTGCCTTCTGCCTTCTGCCTTCTGCCTTCTGCCTTCTGCCTTCTGCCTTCTGCCTTCTGCCTCCTGCACTAGGTTCGTAGGCTGGGACTTTGTTGTTATCTGTGCCTCCACACACACCCGGAACACTTAGTATGAGGCAGCTTTTGCTAGACGAGTGATGATGTAAATCTGGTAGGTTGATGTTGGTGAGTCATTTCTCCCCTTGGGAGAGCTTTAGTTAAAGATGTGAGTGCAGGAACACCCAGAGCCATCCATGGCCTGGCTGTAACCAGAGACACATCATGAACATGAGGCTAATGCCATGACATTCTGTCCTTCCCTTTACGATACCCATGAGGCTCCCCGTCATGGCTGTGCCACTGCCATTGGCTGTACAAGGGTCAAGACAGAGCCTGTGCAGACTCATGTAATGAAGTCGCGAGTTTTACTTCAGACCACCATGCTAATGTTGGTGCAATCTGTAGAATACAGAACGCTGGGTTTGGAGAAGTGTCTCAATATCTGTTTTTCCCTAAACCGGTGTTCCACACACTTTTCCCACAAAACCACAGATGTTTAGCTCTGCAGGCCACACCAATTGCTGTCCCTGGAACTCACCTCTGCTGCCCCAGTGTGGGAGCAGCCCCATATAGAGCATGGCTGGGTGGGTGTGCCTGGCGGCAGCTCACAAAACTATTCACAAACACAAGCGTCAGCCTGGACATGGCCTGCAGGCTAGGGTTTGCCCAAGCTCACGTTTAGCACGTAGCCAGCACTGAAAAGCAGGTGGCTCATCTCATATGGATTGGGAGCCACAAGGTAGAAACGGGTCCTCCTCATGCAACCGAGGCCAGGCTGCTCACTTCTGTAGCCAGCCCTGCCATGCCAAGCCTGCCCTGCAATTTGAAAATGTTCTCCTGTGGAAGAAGCCGCCCCCCCCCCCCCACACACACACGGGAAAAAGCACCTGTTGTCTCTGGACACCATAGACAGTATCCTAGAAGCCGGTTAGCGTGGCCTATGGTCCCTCCCAGTTGCTACCACTGCACATGCTCCGTCCTGCCTCGTGGACTCAGGGCAGGGGATGGGGCACCTAGATTGCAAAATTGCCTCCCTCCTCTCTCCTCTCTCCCAGGTAGGCCATTGGTTGGGATTTAGTTTCTAGTACCTTGGAAAACCTGTCCAGACCTTCTGGGCAATCTTCCTCTGCTTTTCACAGACCATCAGCAGGGAGCTGGATCAAAAGTAGACCAGCCAAGACAGCAGCCAGTACCCATATATTATGGTGGTATCGCAGGCAGTGGCCTTACTCACTGTACCACAACTCTTGCTCGTTTCTCTACTCTTAGCACACTTAACAGAGCAAAGAAGACATCTTTATATGTATGTATCAGTTGTCTGTAATGAGTTGTCTTAAAATTACATGTTTCCGTATCTCCCAGGTCAATATTGTTAGACTGTTTCTAAATTTGATAAAAACATTTCTTATTAAAATTGACTGAGTACATCTTAAGAGCCATTAAGTTACTTGTTAGTAAAAACACTTTTGAGTTTTATGTTTTATTTAATCAGGATTATAATTAAAATATATATCCGAGAAGGTACTAATTCAAAGAAATAGCCAGTACGTTCCAAACTGGAGTGCTACTTGTGATAATGGCTAGGACCATCTCTGTGGGCCGCTGTCACCCTGCTGTAAGATGCACAGCCTTGCTGGCAGGATGTGCTGAGGAAAGCAAGAGTCTTTGACTTTTCTTCTCTTCAGCTCTCATGAAGAATCAGAAGCTATTAATTTTTATTGAGTTACCCCTTTTATTTTGTTGTTTTCAGCTCTGTTCCTAATTGTTCGTGTCATCATAATAATGTGGATCCATAACTGGACAATGAACACAAAGAGGTTAAATTCTTTGCCAAGTGTTTAAAGCCCTTATTAGAATTTATAACGACAAGTCAGTGCCAACCACGACCTTTCTCAGGGCACATGGAAGCAAACAGAGGCAAGGCCCGATGTTTGGAGTAGTGATCTATTCGAGAAAAGCAAAACTATAAATCCTAAAAACACAAGTTTCTTATAAACGTTCCTAGGCTTAGAACCTTCTCCAAGGTCCGGAGCGAACGTTCCTGCTGACAGTCGGTTACTCTGCCTTTCAGGCCTTTGGAAAAGAATTCGACAAACACTTCGGGAAAGGAGGCTGCAAGCTGCTTCACATGAGGCCCAGGGACTTCGATGAAGTGGTCACCCCACTGCTATCCAGAATGAGACAGGACTCGAAGCCGCCCGGGAACCTGAAGGAATGCTCGCCCTGGATGAGCAACTTCCGCACGGAGTTCCTGAGGGCTGAGCTGGAGATCCCGGGTGAGCCCACTGCGGGGTAGCCACTCCTTGTGCGCTCAGCGGTGGCGATGTGGGGTCCTGGCTGCTCCCCGGCCTTTGAAGGAGTTGAAAACTTCACATTATTTTTTTCTTTACCATTAGGAAAATCCATAATTACTGTGAGTTAGCATGCTTAACTAAATGTCTGATGATATTATGTTTGCCTCCTGTCCTGGCTCTGTGCGTAAACCCTGGCCGCTGTCAAAGCACCTTCTATCGTTGTCAGCAGCCGGGCAGGTGCACTGAGTTTAAAAGTGTGTCCCTACAGGTGGCTCTTGTGCAACCTGGTTTTCCTTGCGGCAACCTTGTGTTCTTGTTCAGTGCATGAATTTTTTTTTTCTCTTTGGAATTTGTAAGAATAGGAAACCAACTGAAACATGCTGAAATTCAGCCTCAGGTAATCTTGCTGAATGAATAAACAAGAGGCCCATTTCTACTTTTGGTGATCATCACTCATATCCATAGCAACTGTCTGGAGTACTCCACACCCCTGTCAGTATTTACATGCAGTTAGCACCGCTACCAATGTATTTCCATTCATTGGTCAAATTGGGAAACAATAGGATTGCAGGAAACAATAGGATTTAAGATTTGTTTGTTTTTATTGGAAAGGCAGATTTGCAGAGAGAAGGAGACACAGAAGAGAAAGATCTTCCATCCACTGGTTCTATCCCGAAATGGCCACAATGGCTGGAGTTGAACCAGCAGCTTCCTCGGGGTCTCCCATGTGGTTACTGGGGTCCAAGGACTTCAGCCATCCTCTACTGCTTTCTTGAGTCATAAACATGGAGCTGGATCAAAGTGGAGCAGCCAAGGCATGAGCTGGCCCCCGTAAGGGGTGGCAGCGATTGGAGGTGGAGGATTAGTCAATTAAACTGTTGCACTAGCCCTTAGATTAGTACTTCTAAAAGCTAAATTAACAGGGGCTAACATTGTGGGTAAAGCCATTGGCTATTCCACTTCTAATCCACTCCTTGCTTATGTTCTTGTGAAAGCAGCAGAAGATAGCCCAAGTGCCTCGACCCCTGACACCGCATGGGAGACCTGGGTGGAGTTCCAGGCTGCTGGCTTCAGACTAGCCCAGCCCTAGCTCTTGCAGCTCCTGAGGAGTGAACTAGCAGATGAACGATCTCTCTCTTTTAGCTGTCCTTCCTTCTGTCTATAACTTTGCCTTTCAAATAAATAAAATCTTTCTTTTTTTTTTAAATGAACATCACTGTTTTAAAATAGAGCAGTGTATCTGAGCTCGCGCTGTGGTTGGTTCCAGGTCAGTATGATGGCCAAGGAAAGCCGCTGCCAGAATACCACGCACGGATCTCGGGGTTTGACGAGCGGGTAAGTGTGCAGCCGTTGGTGCAGGCCGGGCAGTTCCGCAGTTACCAGGGACGTGAGTGTGTCTTTCCCACACTGCTGCATGCGCAGAGTCCTCTCATTCTATTCTTGACTGCATTTCACTTGCAGTCTCAATCAGGGTCTCCTGAAACTGAAGAGTAAGCATGTGTGGAGTGTGTGCAGTCAGCCTCCCATGGAAGGTGTGCCGACTGGCCTGTACACGTTGGGAACGATGTCCCCCTTCACTAGCAGTTGTGTGACAATGGGGCAGCAGAATTCTGTGGGCACAGCATTTGGGCCAGAGCAGATGGCAGAAATTACTTACCGGTGCCCAAAGATGCCGGCCTGGCTTCCCTGCTCCCTCCCCCCCCACACTGCCAGTGGCTCTCCACAGAGGGAGACCCCTCCTGACACTGAAGGCATGGGAAAGTGGAACTGGTCTCAGCAGCACCTGAGCTGCCATGTTGCCTCTTGAAGGTGAAGGTCATGGCTTCCATCAGAAAGCCGAAACGCATCGTCATCCGTGGCCACGATGAGAGGGAGTACCCTTTCCTGGTGAAGGGTGGCGAGGACCTGCGGCAGGACCAGCGCCTCGAGCAGCTCTTCGAGGTCATGAACATCATCCTGGCCCGCGACGCCGCCTGCAGCCAGAGGGGCCTGCAGCTGAGGACATACCGCGTGGTGCCCATGACCTCCAGGTGCTGCCCGGCATTGTGGGTGGGGGGATCTCACAGACAGGGTGCCCTGCAGAACTCAGAAACCTTGGGAAACCTGGGGGTGAGGAGCCATTTTGCTTTGATTCTGCAGAACTCTTTTCCTAGTGAAGAAAGAACAGTTTGGATTCGTGCTTACGTGGAAACTTTTCATCCTCCTTTTCAGATTGGGATTGATTGAGTGGATTGAAAACACTTGCACCCTGAAAGAACTGCTTATGACTAATATGTCACGGGAGGAAAGGGAGTTTTACACCAGGTGGGTGAAGGCCGACTGCCCCTCACCCAGTTCCTGTCCCTCCTTCGTGGCCTGGGCTTGAGCACTTTCCTTCCCTTTGTGTTCCCAGAGGTGTATTCATCCCCTGACAGTTGGGGCCTCCCACATGGATGCAAAGGTCTCATAAAGGCTGCAGCTGGACCAGTCTGGAGCCAGGACCTTCCTCTAGGTGTCCTGTGTGTGGGAAGCAAAGACCTAAGCACCTGGGCCATCCTCAGCTGCTTTCCCAGGCTATTAGCAGGGGACTGAATTAGAAGTGGAGCAGCTGGGACTTAAACCTAAAGCAGAAGCTTAGCTTGCTGTGCCACAGCACCAGCCCTATAGTTGGTGCTCTCAATGCCCACTAGCCTGGCCTTAGCCTTGCTGTTGGCTGGGTGAATGACCTAAGCAGAGTACAGGGTACTAAACAGTAGTTGTGGGGTGGGCACTTTGCAACAGAGTTTTTAAAAGTATAGCTATGAAAAAGAGAAGCCGTGAAAAAGGGGAAAGAGCTCAGTGTTAAGATTAGTGTGCCAGAGCTCGCCTCAGCTCTCACGGCCTCTGCAAGGAGTGCGTGTGTGGGAGCCTGTGAGGGTGGAGTTGGGGTGTGAGGTGCCAGCTCCATGGATGCTTTTCTTGTCTTTTCCTTTCCTTCCCATCCCATTGCCAGCACCAAATGTGGACTTTCAAGTCAGGAGAGTTTTAAAAGTTTTTCTCAGGCCCCCTGATGAGAGGTGTCCCAGAGGTGGTTGGGCAGCTTCTGGTGGCCAGACGAAGAGGGAAGAGGTGGTCAGGGGAACTGCAAGGCCCATTTCCCCCACTGCGCCCTCCCTCTCTCTCTGGGAAGCATTGAAACAGGAGCCAAACACATTCCTGGTAATGGTCCTGAATGGGGCACTTCCCACCATCTCTCTGCTGCAGACATTTTTGGAGTGCTTTGCCTGACTTAGTTTCTTTCCTGGGAAAGCTTGGGAAGTTGGAAGAGTGACCACTGGTCTACCAGATGCCAGCTGACAATGAGGTGCTGGGGCTGGACAGGGCCTATGCCTTCTGTGCCTGCCTCGCGGGGCCTGGCAATTCAGAACTGCACAGGCATGGCCAACTGGAAAAAGCTTTTCAAACATCCTTGTTATATGATATTACTATCCCTGCTTTCAAGGAAAACAATATGTGATGTATGTGTATGGATGAAATATTAGTATGAAGATTTCCAACCACTCTTCTGAATGAGGCATTGTAGGCCAGCCTATGGTATGACAGCTAAAGCCAGCATCCCATTGAGGAAACAGCTTGTGTCCCCACTGCTTGCCTGCTGATCCAGCTCCCTGCTAATAGCGTGGGAAAAGCAACAGAAGATGGACCAAGTGTTTGGGCTCTTGCCACCCATGTGGGAGACCCAGATGGAGTTCTAGGCTAGCTCCAGGTGTTACAGCCACTCAGGGAGTGAATTATTGGACTGAAGATCTTCCTTTGTGTCTTTCCTCCTCTCTATATATCTGACTTTGCAATAACAATAAATAAATCTTTAAAAAAAAAAAAAGATCTTTGTTGGAAAACTGTGAAGTTTTTGCCACAAACCCAAGAGATGATTAAATGTACAAATGCTGCCTGGTTTCCCGCCGCTCCAATACTGCCTTTTTGCTGCGAAACACTGGAATGCAGCTCCGGTGTGCAGTTGACACATCCCTTGTCATCTAAGGCAGTATGTTCTCACGCATCACGGTACACAGGCACCGCAGTGGTCTCAACATAGCGGGGAACAGGCCAGGCTCCATCCCACAGGTGCCACGTGGGCGTGTGTCTGCGCAGCCGCAGGCTGAGCTGTGACTTGCTGGGGCCCTGGCGGCTCCATGAGAGGCTCCGGCTGACAGCGCTGGGGCACACTCAGCGTGAGCTCCTCCCGGGCCTCTCTGCGTGAGATGGGGGACTAGAGGCTGTGACTGCTAAGTGCCTGGGATTTCCCACAGACAATGGCTACAGTTTCTTTGGGAGCGACTCATGTGTAGTGGCTAGATCCAGCGGAAAGTGGGGGTCACTGTGAGTGACTCAACACAACGAAGTCACTTTTCTTGCCTCTGTGCTACCTTTCAGTGACATCTTGATGATGTCTGTCTCTGGAATATTAGCTGATGCTGATTCCCTTTTTCTTCCTTGCTAGTGACCCCAGAGCACCAGTGCGCGACTACGACGAGTGGCTGACAAAGATGTCAGGCAAGCATGGCCCCGGGGCCTACACACCAATGTACAGGTGAGTTCTGTTTTGATTTTCCCTCATTCCGCTCAAAGTTGCTTATTTATATGTCTCAGAAAGCTGTGCCTAGATATACTGAACACCTGGTTGATATTTGAGCTTATTGAAATGAAAAGAATTTTAAAATCACAGTTTAAAGCCACAAGACTTTTGTTGTAGAGACATGCTTCCTGTCATTAAATCACAGGAGAGCGAGTCGTACAGAAACCATCACGGCCTTCAGGAGAAGAGAAAGCAAAGTGCCCGCTGACCTCTTAAAGTGAGTTTCCCCATGGCTGTCCTCGCAGCCCGCCCTGTGCCAGGTCCCAGCTGCTGTGTCTGTCCCCATGGCTGGCCCTGCAGCCCGCCCCGTGCCAGTTCCCAGCTGCTGTGTCTGTCCCCATGGCTGTCCTCGCAGCCTGCCCCGTGCCAGTTCCCAGCTGCTGTGTCTGTCCCCATGGCTGTCCTCGCAGCCTGCCCCGTGCCAGGTCCCAGCTGCTGTGTCTGTCCCCATGGCTGTCCTCGCAGCCCGCCCCGTGCCAGGTCCCAGCTGCTGTGTCTGTCCCCATGGCTGACCCTGCAGCCCGCCCCGTGCCAGTTCCCAGCTGCTGTGTCTGTCCCCATGGCTGTCCTCGCAGCCTGCCCCGTGCCAGTTCCCAGCTGCTGTGTCTGTCCCCATGGCTGTCCTCGCAGCCCGCCCCGTGCCAGGTCCCAGCTGCCATCTCTTTCCCAGGCGTGCTTTTGTGAGGATGAGCACTGGGCCTGAGGCCTTCCTGGCACTGCGCTCCCACTTTGCCAGTTCTCACGCACTGCTCTGCGTGAGCCACTGGCTCCTGGGCATTGGAGACAGACATCTCAACAACTTCATGGTGGCCGTGGAGACAGGGACTGTGATTGGAATCGACTTTGGCCACGCGTTTGGCTCAGCTACCCAGGTACATTGGCCTCACCAGGCCATGGGAGAGAGGACCTAGGGCTTTGTGACACCATCTGAAGTGGATAGTTTTTAAGGAAGAAAGGAGACAGAGGGGTGGTTTTGGTCCTGGCCAGTGGGTCTGACACTGTTTCAGAATGGGTAGTGATCTTAGCTTCGTTTTGGTCTCCAGAAGGGGAGGAGCTGTGCGGCAGATCACAGTGTGAGAACCAGGGGTAAAGTGCAGAGGATGTGGGAGGCACACTCAGCTCGGGGAGACCTCAGCACCAAGCTGCCTGGCATGAGCTGATACAGGTCTCTGTTCCCGCAGTACCCTCTGGATGCATCTCCCTGCAGGGTACATGGGCCCTCGCACACACGCAGGCTTACCCACTGAGAGGCCATGGGAGCTGGGCTCAGTGCTCCCAGCACACGAGCTGGCCTCTGTAACTGGAGTGCAGGACCCAGAACTGAAGCTCTCAGAGTGTGAGCAACAACTTGGGGAGAAGCTGGTTCGCTTGTGCTCTATTACTTGGCAATTTCTGATTGGCTCTTCTATCTCTTGGCCCGGATTTTCTCTCTCGTGCAGTTTCTGCCCATCCCGGAGCTGATGCCTTTCCGCCTCACGCGGCAGTTCATCAATCTCATGTTGCCCATGAAGGACACGGGACTCATCTCCGGGGTCATGGGGCATGCGCTGAGGGCCTTCCGCGCCGACCCAGGCCTGCTCACCAACACCATGGACGTATTTATAAAGGAGCCCTCCTTCGACTGGAAAGTAAGTGTCCACCCGCTGTGCTGCTCACTGCGCACGTGGGCTCCGTGGTTCCACACCGTCCCAGGGTGTCCCAGCTTGTCCTGGCAGTGCCGCGGGTCTGTTCACTGGAGCATTCACAGGGACGGATGCAACAGTTCTTAAAGCCCACCACTTGGGCTTGTGTGGCCTGAGAACCAGCGGGAAAGGATAACGGATGGAGGCAGTGGGTGTGGTGCAGGCCGCTGGGCTCATAGCTGCCTGGTGTGGTGGGAGTGCCCATGCCCCCCACACAGCTCTCTCAGTTGGAAAACCATTACAGGTGCACTCCTCCTGGGCCCTCAGGGCAGGCGGCGCTTCCTGAGTCTTTTTCCTGAGGGCAGTGATGTCCCAGGTCGGGAGGGAAGCCTCCCGCTGCCCTGCACACCACACAGAAAGCTGTCGTGCACCTGCCCATTACGGGGATTAGTGTATTTTAAGGTAAGGGTGCAAATAAATCTGCATGAATGTGATTGCAAAAGCGTGTTCTCCTCTTTCAGTGTTTTGAACAGAAAATGCTCAAAAAAGGAGGCTCATGGATTCAAGGAGTAAATGTCACAGAAAAAAACTGGTACCCCCGACAGAAAATCCATTATGCTAAGAGAAAGCTGGAAGGTGCCAACCCTGCCATTATCACTTGGTAAGATTGTCATCTCTGGGGAGAAGCCACAAACCCCTCCACGCTGCTCCTTCTTTTCCAGTGGGCAGACATGCAAGATGCAGGATCCCCACCTGGCAGCCCACACGCCAGGGGCAGCCTTGGCCCAGGCAGGGGAGACCATGACCTGACACCTGTGTGCCAGCCCCACCATCTGCTGGGACCTGTGGCCTCAGCCCTGGTGGCTGCCTCTCAAACAGCAGCCAGCTTCCTGCAGGAGGAAACCACAGGGCCCAAAGCGTGCAACACACATGTGCAAATACAGTACCAGTCCTTGCTGGCTAACAGTCCAAATGGCATTGACTGGTGTTTATGTCAACCTTTCAGTCTTTCTTGTTCAACCCTAAATCAAATAGAAATGTAGAGAATGTGTGGAAAAGAAAAACAGTTGGACTTTAGAATGAAGAAAGTGACAGTCTTTATATATGATAATATGTGTACTATTTTAGAACCAGAGAGAGAAGTCTGTCCACTGATTCACTCACCAAATGCCCACAGCAGCTGGGCTTGGGCCAGGCCTCTAATGGGAGACTGGCTGTCCCTTCAGCTTGTCCACGTGGATGATGGAGACCCAAGCACTTGAGTCACTGCCTGCTGCCTGCCTCCCAAGGTCTGCCTTAGCAGGGAGATGGAGCTAGTAGTGGAGCCACTTGTTGAACCCAGGTACTCTAACATGCAGGTAGCTCAACCAGCTTCTAAACCAGTAAGTCAAATGGCCAGCTTGTTTTTGAAAGGATGCCAAGACCTGTAAATGGACTTTCCAACAGGCACTGGTGGAAGAATGAAGTTGGAGCCCCATGTCCCACTATCTGCCAAAATGGATCAACAATCTAAATATAAAAGCTAAAGCTAGGGGCCAGTGTTGTGGCAAACTGAGTTAGGCCGCTGGCTGCATGGCCAGCTTCCCATCCTGAAGCACCCATTTGAATCACACTTGGCACTGCTTCTGATCCAGCTTCCTAGTAACGGTCCTGGGAAGGCAGGGAAGGGTGGCCCAAGTACTTGGCCCGCCACACATTTGGGAGACCCTGTCCAGATGGAGCGCCTGGCCTTAGCCTGGCCCAACCCCAACTGTTGCTGACATTTGAGGAGTGAACTAGCAGATGAAAGATCACTCTCACACACATTAAACCAACATTTCCTTAAAAAGTTCATAGAGGGGCTAGTGCTGTAGCACATCTGGTCAAGCTGCCTCCTGTGGTGCCAGCATCCCGTATGACCGTTAGTTGGGATTGCATCCAATCCAGCTCCCTGCTGATGTGCCTAGGAAAGCAGTGGAAGATGGCCCAGGTGCCTGAGTCCCAGCCCTCCACGTAGGAGATCTCAGTGGAGTTCAGGCTCCTGGCTTTGGCTTGGCCCAGCCCTAGATGTCATAGCCATTTGTAAAGTGAATCAGTGGATGGAAGATTCAATCGCTCTCTCTGTAACTGTGCCTTTCAAATAAATTTTTTTAAAATTTATGGAAAATGGAAATAAATGAGAAGTCTTTTTTTTGTACAAAATATTTGGAAGCCCATGCATAGCTTTTTGCATAGCACTCATTTTCCATGACCTTTTGAAGACCTATCTAATGCATGGATTTCAAAACATCTTGTACCAAAATAAGCTTATCTCTGAATTCCGTGTTCTACAAACTTTTTGATGTTAACTCATGTCTGATAAGGAGCTTATGTCTGGGGGAAGGAAAAAAACAAACCCTTGCAACTCAGTAACAGGCAATGCAGCTGAAAAATGACCGAAGGAATGGAATGAATATTTTTTTGTAAAAAAAATAGGCAACGAGCCAGTAAGCACATGAAAATAAAAGCATAAAGCTCAACCTGAGTAGCCAACAGCAAACTACAGGTAAGACAACATGTCACACCTAACCACCGAGCTGCCGGGGCCTGTAGAGGATGCGGGACCCTCATGCATTGCTGACCGGGGCTCGAAGCCTTAGGTGCAGCCTTAGCATTTGACCTGGTGCTGGCACTCCTCAGGAGCACCCAAAAGACCTGGCACTCCTCGGGGTGGGGAGGAGGTCGCCCCAGGAGGAGCCGGCACTCATCAGGGGGCTCCCCAAGAGGAGTGGGAGCACACGCCTGCACACCATCTTTGGAAATGAATGGTCAGCCTCACCTTTCACCTTCTGTTTTCATAAACTCCCAGCTTTAAGTTCAAGGTTAAGTGTAAGAGGGAGTGCTACGTGAGGAGGAGAAGGAACATGTGGACCAGGTGGCTGGACGGACAGGCCCCCGAGGAAGAGGGCTGTGCCGGTGGCATTTTGACGTGTGTCACCTCTTCTGTTCCAGCGACGAGCTGCTCCTGGGCCACGAGAACACACCTGCCTTCAGGGACTTGCAGGCTGTCGCTGCAGGAAACAAAGATCACGACATCCGGGCCCGGGAGCCCAAGAGTGGCCTCTCCGCAGAGACTCAAGTGAAGTGCCTGATCAACCAGGCCACGGACCCCAACCTGCTGGGCAGAACCTGGGCGGGCTGGGAGCCCTGGCTGTGAGGCCAGCGGGCCTTCCGCTGCGGTGGGTGAGCTGCTGTGGGCTCTCAGAGCAGAGGTGCCTGCGTCAGCCACTTGAACCTGTTGTCACTGAATGGTATTTTGCCATACGATGCATCATCACCTGTTTGTCAGTTCACCAAAGGATGAACTCTGGGATCTTTCCAAGTTGGGTCTACGATGAATAAAGCTGATAAAAAAAAAAAAAGAGGGTCCTGAACTTTCATTATTAACAATGATTTGACTTCTGAAACATGAAAACAAAAAGCAATTTTTGGTGTGTATCAAAGATTATGTTATCTGAGATTAGGTTAGGGTAATAAGATGTAATTAGACATGCATATCTACATTCATCAGAAATGACTGTACTTCATTCTTTTTATTGTTGTTGACTTAATTTTTTTGTTGTTGACTTACCTAAGAGACAGAGTCACAGAAAGGGAGAGATGGAAGGGAAATCTAACCACTGATTCATTCCCGAAGTGGCTGAAACAATGGCTGGTGCTAGATCAGGGACCTCGAATTCTTATCTGGGTCTCCCATGTGAGCGGCAGCAGCCCAAGGAGTTGTGAGCCATCTGCTTTGCTCTCCCTGGGAGCATTAGTGGAAACCAAATGGGAAGAGGAGCAACTGGGACTGGAACCACTGCCTGTGTAGAGGATGCTGGCATGGCAGGCAGCACCCTAACATGCTGCACCACAACACCGGCCCCTACTTTTGATGGTGTTTTTTTTTTTTTCTTTCATTTTCTCTTCTAGTTTTGATATTTCATAATATGGTTGTTCTCTGGAAGAGAAAGTACTCAGGGAAAAGCCACTTCCTAGTGTCCAGCTGCAGCCAGAGGGAGGCTCGTAACCCTGGCAGGGCCCTTGAGCCATGGCAGTGCCCTGTGTCTGAGCCCCAGGAACGTGGTGCTGTTTGCCATGGCGGATCGGCTGTGGAATGCAGAGACGGCCCGCTGCGTCCCGCCGGCCGCACGTGCCTGGAAGTGTCTGCAGATTGGATTCCTGCTCCTTGTTGGAGTTTTTTTTTTTTCTCTTTCTCAAAGCATTCATATTTGGAAACTCTCCATAAGTTTGAGAAATAATCATCTTAAGCATATGTAAAATTTTTTTTCCCAAAAAACAGGGCCTAATTCTTAGTAGTTGCAAGAATATCAGTGTTGACCTTACACGATAGTTTCTGACATTACCTGCCAAGTTTATATTCTGATTACTACGAGTTGATTGAATAACTGCCGAGAAAGATTTCCTGAGATTTCCTGGTCACAGCCTCCAGCCACCACCCCCACCCCACCCCCACCCTGATGGTCGCCAAGCCCCTCAGTACCTGGGGTGAGGGCTGAGGGAGGCGGGTGGCAGCTTCCTGGCCCTGCCTGTGACCAGCAGAGGGGGCGGAGGGGTCGTGTGGGCTCTTAGCACAGCCAAGGCTAAGGGCTGGCTTGAGACTGTCTAGAGCTGCCCTGCTGTGGGGGTTCTCGAGGGCCCTAGCACCCCAGCCACCCCTCCCTGCACTGGGGAATTCCTGAGTCCCCTGCTTCTGTGTTTGCCCGGAGAAGGGGAGGAGGGGCCGGCTGCCTTGCTGGAACTCCCCTGACAGCGCCAGCCAGCTCCTCTTCACATGGAGTCTGCTGGCAACCAACAGTGCACACAGCAACCTTCAGCTGAGGTGGAAGCGCCTGGCACGGGCCTCTGGGCCATGGTGGAGTTGCCCCTGAGTGCCTGGGTTCAAATTCTTGCTTAGTTTTCTGTTCAATGTCCGGCTAGTGCTGTTCCCCATCTGGAGTCACCCTGGCAGTTCCAAGATGAACCCTCCCGCCCGCGGGTCTCATCCTCTGGCCATTATGAGCAGTTGGGAGTTGAAGCGGCAGTCAGAAGATCTCAGTCTTGAAATAAAAGGGTATTTTCTTAATGTTTAAAAAATGTTTTTCAAAGTATTTTTATTGCAAAGTCAGAGAGGAAGATCTTCCATTTTCTGGTTCACTCCCCAAATGGCCACAATGGCCAGAGTGAGCCAATCTGAAGCCAGGAACCTGGATCTTCTTCCAGATCTCCCACGCAGGCACAGGGTCCCGAGGCTTTGGGCCGTCCTCTACTGCTTTCCCAGGCCACAAGCAGGGAGCTGGATGGGAAGTGGAGCCCCCAGGACACAAACCTTGCTCATATAGGATGGCAGCTTGCAGGTGAAAGATTAGCCTGTTGAGCCACTGCTCCAGCCCTGAAATAAAGGTTTTAGACCAAATAAACCCAAAAAAAAGGAAATGTTATGCTATGAAAATTAAACATTTGTGTTCTCAACAAGCCATTGATCTATATAAATAGACTGAATTCTGTTCAGATATATTTATAAGCTTGTTTCCCTATGTTAGAAACATGAAGTCATGTCTGTAAAATCATAATTTAAGAACTCAGGAGAATCTCAGGGATCCCATTATCTCTTGCCTTCTTTGCAAAGAAATTGTCTCTAAATGTGAAATAATCTTAAAATCCTGGTAACTTAACCTATGTTAACTAAATTTACTATATAATTACTACATCATTCTAGAGAAATCTTTTAAGTCATCAAATATTGTTGAAAGTCCATCTTAATATTCCTTATAAAAATTGTATTGTTCATGATGTACTATAAAATCAAGCTTAAAATAAAAAATGTTTTTTAAAGAAAATTAAACATTTATGTTCTCAACAAGTGGCCAAAGAAATTTTACTTTATAAAAAGAATTTAGTTTATTTGGCTCACTCTCCAATTGGCCACCACGATTGGAAGGCAGGCAGAAGCCAGGAGGCAGGAGCGCCCCCATGTGTCAGGGTCCAGGGAGTTGGGCCGTCCTCTGCTGCTTTGCCTAAGCAAATTAGCAGGAAGCTAAATCGGAAGCAGAGCAGCCAGGGTTCGAACCAATCGCTGATACGGAATTCAGTATTGTAGATGGTGGCTTAAGCAGCTGTGTCAGCCCAGAAATGGTTTCTTTAAATGATCATGCAGTAGGAAGCTTCCAGAAATTTATGGAAATACATGTTGGAGAGGGGGAAAAACCACAACTTCATGGACTTAAAAAATGTTGACACCAAAATAAATTTAATCTCACTGGTCCACAGGCTTTGAGTATCTTTGTGAAAAATCCTACATGCACACAACTAAGGAAAGCGTTTGGGCCACAGCACCAAGCTGCCGGAGCTGATGACACAGATGTCCCTTGTAGCACACGTCTCGTGAAAAACATCGTCTCCTGCCGCCTTCCTTTGTGCTCGCATCCCAGTAATGCGGGCTGAATGAACGGGATCAGCTGTGCGGTGCGAAACACTGATTTTACAAGGACAGCTTTCCCTATTGGTAAGAGTTGGTTGGTCCAGGTGCCAGTGGGCCTGTCTGCTTAGGAGTCCCTCGTGGCACACAGTGCCATCAAAAGCAGCTGATGCTGGGCCCATTGCAGTAGCCTAGCAGCTCAAGTCCTCGCCTTGCACGTGCAGGATCCCATATGGGCTGCAGTTCTAATCCTGGCAGCTCAGCTTCCCATCTATCTCCCTGCGTGTGGCCTGGGAAAGCAGTCGAGGATGGCCCAAGGCCTTGGAACTCTGCCCGCAAGTGGGAGACCTGGAAGAGGATCCTGGCTCCTGGCTTCAGATTGACTTGGCTTTCGCAGTTGCAGTCATTTGGGAAATAAATCGTTGGGTGGAGGGTCTTCCTCTCTGTATATCTGACTTCTCCAATAAAAATAAGTAAATCTTAAAAAAGAAAGAAAAAAGGAGCCGACGCAGTGTAGCATCCAGAGAGGCGCGCACACAGTTGCTCCAGGTAACCGTCCTTCTTACGCACTGCATGCTCACCCTCACTGCAGCCCCAATCTCAGTGCTATGATTCTTTAATTTTTTAATTCTTTATTTTTTATTGGAAAGGCAGATTTACAGAGAGAAGGAGACACAGAGAGAAAGGTCTTCTGTCGGCTGGCTCGCTCTGCAAGTGCCACAATGACTAGAGCTGAGCTAACCTGAAGCCAGGAGCCTGGAGTCTTTTCCAGGTCTCCCACATGACTGCAGGGACAGAGCCACACAGGCCATCCTTTGAATGGCATATTAGAAGAGAAGTGGAGCAGTTGGGACTCGAACCAGGGTCTGTATAGGATGCCACCATTGCATGCAGAAGCTCAGTTAGCTACATCACAACACTAGCCTGATCCTAACTGTGTAGTTTTCTTGCTTGCTTGCTTGCTTTCTTCCTTCATTTCTTTTTTCCTTTCTTTCAGATTTTATTATTATTATTGTTGGAAAGGCAGATCAAGTTCACAGAGAAGGAACGATAGAAATAGCTTCCAATTGCTGCCTCATTGCCCAAGTGGCTGCAACAGCTAGAGATGAGCCCGTCCAGAGCCAGGGGCCAGTAGCCTCCTCCAGGTCTCCCACACAGGTGCAGGGTCCCAAGGCTTTGGGCCGTCCTCGACTGCTTTCCCAGGTCACAAGCAGGGAGCTGGATGGGAAGCAGGATTAGAATCAGTGCCCATATGGGATCTGAGTGCTTGGAGATGAGGATTTTAGCCAGAGAGCCATCACACCGGGTCCTGTTCTGTTTTAAAGTGACTGCACAAACTCTGAGTTCATGACCGTGCCAGCATTGCTGCCAAGCAAAATAGAGGGCCACGTTCCCATGAGCCCCTGCCCACAGCATTGTCTTCAGCTGATTCCAATCTGAACTTGTCGTAAGCACGTTTAGACACCTAACTCAGTAGGTATGATTGGTTCCTGGCTATGGGGCTTACAGCCTACCTGTGTCACGCTAACGTGTGTCCTTTTTATTTTACTTTTAATATTGTTTACATAGTTGAGAGGGGTGCACGCTCATATGGGCCTCTGATTAGGGTGGGGAGGTTCAGGTGTGGAGGAAGGTGGGTGGAATATATGTTTGGTCTTTTATTTTTTGTTTTTTTTCTGAATCTGTATGGTGGGGAGGGGGAGGGAGTGCTTGTTTGTATTAAACTACATCAGCACCTGGGGATGGGGGACAGTCATTTGGTAATGGCTATAAACTCTAGTATGCAGAATTGCTCCAAGGCTGTTACTTGAGTAGCTTTCATAGATCTGAGACAGTGCTGGTTTTATTGTTCCAGAGTTGAGAAAGTCTTGCCAAGGTCTACTGACTGACCAAGTCCACCTTAGTGCTTCCCCAGGTGCAGGAACATGCTGTTAGCTTGGCCAACATTGTCCA